AGCTTAATATATGGTTTCAGATAGTCAATATTCTAATCTTTCCCTTACAAATATTCCTACAGTAGAAAATATGTATTTTATGCTCTGAAAAAGCTTCGGTGGCTTCTAACGTACAGATGAAAAACCGAGAAGTTTTTTTTTTTTTTTTATCTCTTTAGAATAAACTAAACGCCGTCCATCCTACACAGTTTCCAAAGTCGGCATCTGAACCATGCACATAACTAATACAATAGCAAAGAACTTCGTAAAGAAATAAACCAAAGACATTTTCAATGGCCCTGTATACATCACCTAATAAAATGTGCGAAAATTATGAAATGGCGTATTACGTCATCATGAACATGACTTCTATGGGATCTACAGTAAAGTATTAAATTTTGTTGATTTCTAGTTTTGCGATCGTGCCATATGTAGGCTATATGACGAAGGGGCAGACTAGTCATTCAATAAATTAATGCTTATCAGTGCTATCTGTAGAAGCTAATAAAAAGCACGTGTTATCTTGGTTTAAAATCGGATTGTATCTTTTTCAAAGCAAAGCTTTTGTCTCAATAACGAAGCCACTACACGAATCTAATTAGAGTTAATACTAACAGAATTACCGAATGATAGTTTTTGGATGAGCCACATCTGATGCATTATCCCGTCATGAAGCCACTTTTAAGAAAATTGTTAGTTCAAAATCTTAAGCTCTGGTATATGGGAATCTTATTTTGAGAGAAAATTGCTATGATTTATTCTGGACTGTTTATCCTGCAGTATAGATTGGTTATTTGAACCAGTGAAATAAAAACAAGCGCACCAAAAACTTACTGGGCACCATGTTTGATAACAGCTACAACTCCCTTTGCATAGTGACCTGTGTTTAATAAGTACATGGTGTCGGGCACCTGGATTATCGTTTTATGTTCATTACTCAGCCACTATACATTTTCTATACCGACATTCTTTGCCACATGTTATTTATTTGCAATCTTGAACATTCAGTGTCAGTTTTGTTGGATTCTGTGAGAATTTATTTTTCTATATTCACATCAGAAAGACTTTTATATTTTCCTACAGTAACCCCGCAGTGAAAAAGCGATTTTAAACCCTATAAATACAAACGAATACACAAGCTCCAAATTAAGAATGTTATATTTTTGGTAAAATTTAGGGGAAACTGCGGTGAACGAAACTTTGACGCTTTTCATCGTAGAAGAAGGATGTGGGCATACAAAACAGAATTTTACTTAACAAATTTTGAACACTTAATACTTTTGTAGAGTATGGTTAATAATATTTGGGTCAAATTTTGTTGTTGCCTGCACGTAAAATGAATATATGCGACAATACATACTTTTAATAGCTTAGGAAATAGTGGCTATATTAATTTCGCTTTAAATGAAATGGAAAATCAAATCATTTTTTCTTCGATAAAGCGTGTAACAGGAGCATTTGACGGTGCATTGTGTTGAATGAGCGTATATAGCAAGAGCAATGGTTCCGAGAAAATGCTCAGTAACATAAAGAAGCGTCGATCTATACGTGCAAAATGGGGTAATAAACACATCCGTAAAGCTCGTTTCAATATTCTGTACATTTTGAGTCTCAAATTGATTTACTACTTAATACATGTAACATCGTGAAATTTCCTTTTCTAAAATTTGTTCACAAAATCTAACCTTTTTTATTCATGCATGCAAGTTATATTTTCTATACCACACACACAAAACTTTGTACAGGAGCACAGCTGCACAAAACATTTGTCGTGATAGAGCGATCCAAAAGTCATAGAAAACCAGATTTAATGTTTTCTTTGAAAGATGTTTAAATTGTTTCACTCGTTTTACGTAAAGGAGCACCATGCGGTATGTATCTCCCTTATCTTATGAACAAACCCTTTTAGCTAATAAAATCATGCATTGAAAAATGACGTTTCCAAGACAAACATAACCATAATATGTGAACAGAAAACTAAGTAACGCACGTGAATTTTATAAACAATCTCTTTGAAATAAATAGCTACGAATACTCTTTTCTTTTCAATGAACTACACATCATTAAAATAGATATTGTCCTCATGATACTTATATACTAGTATATATTTTTTAGTTGTTTTTCTTGGAAAAAAAACAGATAATTCAGAGAAGCAAACAGGTGAAAGTTTGAATGAAATCGGACTAAAAAATGAGAAATTCTTATTATTATTAGTTGCTCTTCAGACTGGCGAAATCGGTAATGTCTTTGCGATGTAGTGGCGGACAACTAACTAAAATTTCCTCTCTTTTTCCCCAAAGATTTATGTCTTGGGATGATCCTTTTTTTTTTAGAGAGAACCTGTAATAATATACTCTCCATATTACATTATGAGTATAGTAGTAGTGCTCCAAGGGTGAACCTCACTTGGGAGAAGATAAAGAAACTAGTGATATTTTTGTACAGGACAAACGGGAGAGTTATTTGTCACTTCGTCACAATCCACTGACAAAATTACCAATATTTCAAACATTCATAACTTTCTTATTATTGGTAACATTTATTTCAATTTTGATCTATTATGTTTCTCTTATTTTTCTGATTTCATTCTAAGGAAGTTATTACAAGGATTGGATTGCCCTAGGGTAAGGGTTAGGGTTATCCGAACCATTTTCTATACTAATGTTCTTTACATTTTTTTAATATAATGTAATCAAAAACATTTTACTTTATTTAAATGTATTAATACCCTTTCTAATCAGTATTTAGCTATGTATGGGCAATGAGCAGGATAGAAATGATAGGTTTATGACTTTCAAGAAAATGGAGAAAAACGATATCGCAGATATATCAAAGTCTTTTACAAACTTCCACCAATCCACCCTATAAGATATTGCGATTTGGTAAGGTATCCATAAACACCTGTTCATGAATAACTTTAAATAGACTAAAATATTATAGTTCTAGATTAATTGAGTGTATAGGTGTTAAGCGTAGCATTACAGAAAGACAGAATGAAAGAAACATGTTTGAAGAAGACACACGCCTATATTATATATATATATATATATATTTGAAGGATGCAGATGTAATAAATGAAAGAAAATGTGTTTAATTCCATCGACAAAGTCCAAATATAGAAGATGAGGAACAGGAAAGAAACTGAACCAAGCACTTCAAATAATATACACATTGCGTGCACGGCAAATACATTTATATCATTTACGTTGTATCTGTTCTCGTTGCAGTTTGTTTGTGTCTAATTAATGGCGGCTAATTATGCAAATCAACGATAATTATCTCAGTGGTGTTTGCCCGGTCGGGCGTTGGCAGATAGCTCTGGGGCAAAGTTCGGGGGAGTGGGCAAAAAACTATAAGAGGCCTAAAGGGGTTATACACGATTAATTTAAGAAGTCATTGACAAGATTGGGTTTGATGGATACAAACTCAGAATGTATCGTTGTGATGACGTGATCAGGTGCTGGTACGACCTGATACGGAACGTGCATTCTTTCGTAATTAAAAAAACAAAACAAAACACCTTGAGAAAATTAAAGCACGTCACAGAGAATAACCTCCATGAGGAAGAAAATGAAACTTCTAAAACAATGTGACACCTCAACAAAATTATTTCTTTTGATAAATTGTTTTTAGTATGAGTAACCCACTGTAGGCTTCATTAACCATCAATTGAATCTAAATATGAAGACAGGGTGAACTATAATGGCACAGGGATAGAACAATATGGGAGTAAGGAGATGACAAGACTGAGGAGAGAGAGAGGGGGAGAGAAAGGGAGGGGCGAAAAACAACAGAAAACAGAAAAAAGAAAGCACTGCAAGAAGCGCAGACGTTGTTTTTTCACAACGTGCTGATTCCGAAATTTACTTCCTTCACATGAAATGTGAGGTTAACATCCTTACTTTTTCTCTTTTTTCGTGCGAAAATGAATTACATAACAAGAAGGAAAAAGTTACTTGAATTTTATTAGGCTGAATAGACCAGATCACAGCTTTATTCACATTTATGGCCTTATTCAAAAGGCTTGTGGTGAACCAAAGCATTCATTTTGCCATGGTCATGTATGAGTTACTGAATTTCAGAATACATGTTGCATTATCAGTAGCTGCTATACCAGACGAGCCTCTGACATGCGTTAAGATCGTTACCTTTTGCCTCGATCTGCAAGAGAACGCAGGCGCAAAATATACATACGTTTGTACTTGTCTAGAAGAAGGGGGTGGAAAATGATAGAGTTGAAAATCCGCACGCACCTGTTAAAATGTGTTTGCGCGGGCTTTGTTTTGCGCATGCGTGATAAATTGCAACCGATAACACCGATGAGGTAATGTTTTTATCTGCAATGAAAATGACCAGGACGGGACGGATATATTCGAAACTACTACTACTAGACGGATGCTGCTTTCATTGTGTTTTTATGATATCAATTAAACAACTTTCCTGGTAAATGTAGCTTCATAAAGTTGTACTGACTTCACAATATATAAATACAGTCAAACCTGTCTATAGCGACCGCCCAAGGGAAACACAAAAAGTGGTCTTTGAAGACAGGTTCCTTTAGCACATGTTTCAATGACAAACCATTTATAAGGGAAACAAAAAATGTGGTCTTTGTAAACAGGGGGTCCTTGTAGACAAGTAGTCACTAAAGCAGGCTTCACTGTAATAATATATTGATTAACAATACCAATAGATCGAATATTGGTTTATGTGGTGAGGGAGTGGGTTAAATATATAGGTTCGGATAGTATATTCATAAAATATCGTCATTTCAAGATTAAATTATAATTTCTATTTTCAACTTTTGATATATTTCCTATCACGAACAACTGGCATCGATTGCGATTTTTCATGCTGGAATATTTCTTAAGATTTATGTTTCATTCATTCCAAAACCTTACACAAGAAATGGACTTGAGACTGTTTAATAGGAAGTGTCTTTAAAAAAACATTAATTAATGAGGCGTGTTTTTAATTTATACAAAACGATATAATAAATGGGTTGGGTCTATATGAAGATATTATTGACAAGTCTAAAGCCGAGGGGTCACTTTGCCACACGAAAGTAGAAGTCGTTGGTAATTCTCAAAACAAAATTCAAGCCATTAGTTTGAACTTGAATAATAGATAAAGAAAACTGGCATTTTTCCTCTTTCTGTTGGGTACAGGCACGAGTTGACTGTGTCAACATTGTCGAGTTGTGTACACAAGAGCAGTGAGGGTATAGTGATGATGGTTGGAGCATCTATACGCCAAAGACTACAGATGGGACTAGGGCAGAGAAAGGGTATTATAGTCGCTGTGACCGCCAGCTAGAGGTGTACTACGGCAACGCCATAAATGACATGCATTGGTGCTGACACGAAGTAAATAGATCTTGATTCGTGTGGGTTTGGCGGGTTTACCAGGGATAAGCTGTTGGGTGGATTTTAGAGAGAAAAAAAGATGGCGGGAACATTTATTTCGGTGTATCTTAGATCTGTTGATTTTGATTCAATCTAATGATTGTTATTTTCAAAATAAATTGTTTTGATTTCATTATTTTGATTTCATTTCGAGTATACGCGACGAGTTCTTTTGTTTTATCGACGCTGCACGCCGTTATTTCGTATTGTATATTTTCCCCTGTTTGAAATGACAATTGTAATGGATTTCTGGTATTGATGATAATCTGTGTTAAACCATGCCCGGGAATTTGACTGAATTACAACGGCATATGATCCATGCTTTGTTTGATTCTGGTGTGAGTCCTGACGATGTTCTGAGCGAGCTTACAAACCAGGGCTTCCTCGCTGAAGACGCCGAGATACAGGGGACAGCTGATGAGAAGCACGCCGAGGATTCCGCGCCCGATGCCCTGAATGCTTGCCCTCCCCCCTCGTCATCCACCTCCTCCTCCTCCTCATTAACCACCCCTTCCTCGTCATCTCAAACTAGCAATGAGGAGAAATCAGATGGAACATTGTTGTCGTCTTCTTTGACGGCAAGTCAAGAGAATCTATCCTTACGGCAAACAGATTTAAATTCACCGGACCGTGGACGAGGTATTGAAATCATCAAACTGGAAACATTACCCCGAACAATAGGCTCGCACGCCTCTCTGTCTTTCCCTGCCGCCGCCGTTACAACCTCACCTGTAAGGGATGCTCAGACCACAGCTCAGGTCCACTTGAATTCTCTGGACCGAGTCACTGTTTTCCAACAGGTGGACCAGGAACCACATATTGAGGGAGAAGAAACAGAACAGGTGGTGGTCAAATCAGAGCAGAGAGAAGTTTTAAACGAGAATTTGCATGCGGGGGAGATGCTGCATTCGGGTGACGAACTAGTGAACGATACCATGGGCGAGGGCGACAACGAAAGCAACGGAACGAGTTTGTCTGATTTCGGGGACGGTGAAGATAGCATGGCCGAATACAGCCCACAAGATCCTAACCAACCTCGGATATACAAACACGAATTACTACGGTAAGTTCTATTCAACGATCAAATCCTTAATGATTGTTATGTCATACAAATTAAGTTTAAATTAATGCTGTACCCATTTTCTTTATTTCACAAATGATTTATTTTATTAACTGGCATTCTATTACTTTTTAAACTGTTAACTAGATAATCGCAATACCTAATCAGCTTATATTGTGTTTATCGAATTGTAGAAGCAGTTGTAATGCACTTTGTTTCTTTAAATGGCATGAAATCGTCAATAATTAATAGTTTATTACGCGTATTCTTCATTGCGAACGATTAACATCAGTTAATTTCTTCAGGGTTATGTCATCTGTAAATCATTAAGAAGAGCAGATTATTATCTAAGCGAATACCAACACTTATCTCACCAATACCAAATCCAACATGGGGTAAAACTTGAACTATACTCTATTAGCATCAGATTACATTTATTGACGTGAATATTATGTTTTGTCCAAATATTACTCCTGTATTGGAAATCAGTTCGTTCTATAGATGTAACATGTTTTTTTGTTGGTGTATGTATGAGAAAGAGAGTGTGCGTGTGTGTGGATAAATCTTTATATTCCCTTTACTTCGTTCAGTTTTCTTATTTTAGTTTTACATTTATTGACATGAATATTATGGTTTATCCAAATATTACTCCTGTTATATTGGAAATCAATTCTTTTTATAGATGTAACATTTCTTTTTGTGTATGTATGAGAAAGAAAGTGTGCGTGTGTGTGTGTGTGTGTGGATGAATCTTTATATTCCCTTTACTTCCTTCAGTCTCCGTATTTTAGTTTGGTTACTTCCCCCAATTCAACAATTAAACTTTATTGAATACAGTAATGGTGCATGATTGAGTATCAATTATTATTTTCTGTTGTCTTTACATAATTCTGAAATTCTTGAATCCTGAAATTGCAGGCGTAAGATTATTTTTTTAGCTCGAACGAAATGTAACAATGCAGAATATTTCTTTTTTGTCAGAATTGTATGGATACTGAGGAATATATTAACATTATTATAATACAAAGTTAACTATAACTAAAGCAAAATCATTGAAAATGTGAAAATAACCGGGTAATCTAATAATCATATCCATATCTGTTCTATTTACATATATTTTAGAAACATTATAAATTTAATCTCCCGATTTTTTGAAATCCCCATACGTATTTTTGTTCACACCATAATTATAAAGGATAAAATACATGAATGTAAGGAACATTTCAAGAAGCAGTATCTTATTCTCGAGCCCACCAATACCGGGCTAGTGCTCAAGCCATAATATTAAGGCTACTTGTATAAGGTTCTTAAAAGGCTCATTTTAAGAGTCTATGTTTAAGATTTTTTTTCCTGTAGTCACATTCGTTACACAGTGGTAAACTTCTTTTTCAGGCATTTATTGATCAATGCTAAAACAATTTCAGAGGTGGAAATTTGTTGAAAATCAAATAAACCTCGTGTTTTTTCATTTTGAAAACTAAATCAGGTCATGCTATCAATTGTTACAAGCTTTTTATATTTTACTAGACGTGTTTTACACCTTGTATTGGTTGTACTAAGAAACAGGGTGATGCCTCGTGCAAGATTCATTGTCAAAAGTTCAATATAAAATGAAAAGTCGAATACTAAATACACCATGACTGTTGCACAGACGTTGCATCTTAAGGGTAGGTTTGTGCTATGAGCTCGCATAAAGATTAGTAACATAACCTTTTAAAGTAATTCACTAGTACTACCAGTATAATCAATATAAGTAAAGACTTTCAGCATTGATTAAACAAAAAAACAAACAAAAAACAAACGTGTGATCCAATCCATTAATCTGTACTAAAGATTAAAGTTTAAACTTTTAATTTGTGATTATGAAAAAAGAAAGAAAGAAAAATGTACAAATTTGTTTTATATTATTGTGATCACACAAAAGGACAAACAAATCGCTTGAAACTTTACTACATCTGTTTTCCTTTATATTGGAACAATCTTAAACACAATTTAACCACCTTTCCCTTTTAGTTTTAAAAAATTGTAGAATATTGCATAAAAATGGATATTTACCTTAACCAATTAATTATTTGTGTCTTTAAAAAGCAATAATGAAAAAAGAGTATATTGCTTATACAAATTAAAATACATTATTTAAAATACATACATGCTAATAGGATATAGGGCAACATTAAAGAAATTCGTGGAAGGGTCTAAGTGCAGTCTCACTGTTTCAAAATAATGACAATGATACTAAACTAGCGTCGATATTAGGAATAAATTGTTGCCTACACCTATCGGAAAATCTATTCTTAAAAAACTTTTCACTGCAATTTAACCACTGTTTTAATATCTTCAAACTACATATGTTTCCAGATTAATTTTCATTGATAATGGATATCATTATTTGGATGTTTTGCAGTCAATACCTATATGAGGATATTGTAAACTAACGAAGTCTATGAAGTTCGAATGAAAAAAAATGTTGAATTACCCATTTAGGGGTATTGTAGATGAACTTATTTACAACCTAAAAGCTTTGTATGCTGTGATGCTTTATGTTATCATTGATCCAGAATTCATACACCTGAAAATCATTTTAAATGGTAAAACTTGTATAGTAATGATGTGGACTTTTTCAGTTTATCAAATGAATCCACACTGTCTCCCTTCATTTAACAATTGAGATTACCTTAACATTGTGAGGATTACAATATTTGAATAATTAATCAACATGAGGAATGACTATCGTTAAATTCTTGAAATTTGAGGAAAAGAGGAATTACATGAAAAGAGAAAAAATAAGGTGCCATATAATTATGAACACTTCAATTTGTTATCATATCAAGCAATCCAGTCTAAATGCTCTGTTTTCGACGTTGTATTCAAGATGTACAATTTATTTATATAGAAATAGTGAATATTGAAGGAAAAAAATCGTTAAATAGCAACTGGTAACATTATGAAAATAGTTTTCTGAGCCAGAAGGTGCGTTGAATTTCTTTTCTTTTTTTTTGCCCCAGCCCAAACGTACCTGTTTATCAGATTAACATCTGTCCTGAAGTCCCGCACTTCTCAACACAATCCAAATGGTTCTTGTAAAAGAATATATAAATATATAAATCCAATATTTCCAATTATATGTTCTCTTCCTGTCGCCCAAGAAGAATGTTATGAATCCACATTAAAGAGGAGAATGATTGTACCCCATGTCAGACCCCGCTGCTGCTAGTTTTAATATGTTGGTATCTGGAGCATATCGGCCTTTATAGATTGTACTTTATTTAATTCTTAACTTGGTGAAATAAAATCTGATTGGGGGTAGGTTTGTAAGTTATGAGCTTAATTCCTGGTTATATCATAACTAGACCTCCGTACCAAAAAAATAAATGATCAACTTGGTATTATGGCTTAATTGCAAAGACATTGAACAGTGTTGGTAGATCATTTGCTAAGTTTATAACTTTATCGGTCTTTTGGCTAGCATGATTTGTGGCTTCACCTAAGGGCGTTGAGATAGGAGAGATATAAAAACCAACACGACTGCGATAATCGACACCTCCAAACAAATTCTTAACCAAATGTTGTTTTTCTGTTTTGTCATTCTCCTCTCGGAATATTAACTTTGATTAGCTTCAACTATTTGCCTCGATTTTAGTTAGGTAGGGGAACGAATCATAATTTCTATTATTTAATTAGTTTGATATACAAAAATATTGTATATATTATACTTTAAAATATCCTATTTTCATGTTTTTTGATTGGCTGTCGCAGGTGTCCTTGCAGTCGATAATTCTTTGCTTGGTATAGACTTTGACCTAATATCTTACAATGATTAAATTTATATGACCCCCAAAATAAGACACTTAGTGAACTTTGAGTACATGCAATAAAGTTCGTTAAAGGAAAACTTATTATTTCAAACAAGGAATCTATCAAAACATAAAATACAGAAAAAGAAAGCGATGCATTGGCGTTCACCTTTTTCACGTACACGCAGTTTCAGGGGCCATATATTATTATTATTATGACTCAGTACATCTGTTACCATAAAGCGATCTATTTTGTTATTTTAGTAAGAAATGAAATGAAAAAGAAAGAAAATTGGGTTTGATTAATGATTGTTACATCTCACATTTTCTCTTTCATTCTCTTTTTTCTTTTCTCATCTTCTCCTCGCAATCTCCCTCCTCTCTTTATTATTTCACTTTCTCTCAAAACGTTTTTTTTGGGTGTGTGTTTTGTTTGGGGCTGATTGATTTCTCTTCCTGCAATGATTAACAGTGTTCTTGTGAACATTAATCGAAACAACCAGCAAGGGCGTGAGAGCATAACGGCCGGTGTATGATGTTATACAATCTTTAACAACAACAAAATCACATAATGCTACAAACTTATTCAATTTGTAGCCTTTTAACCAAATATGTGAAAACATTAATATAAGGGAAACTTGAAATCAAATTTGATACAAGGGATTTGACTTTTTGTAAAACAGTGTGAGATGGAAACAATACCTTATTGCTTATGAGTATTGTCTTTCCTCTTAACATCGATGTACTCTAATTATATACTTAACTGGACAAGAATGCATTACTGACCTTCCTGCAAGACAAGTTTTGTCTTGTAGCACAGTTAAATGATTCGAGCAAACGAAAATGAACATATATTTGATAAGTTGCTGAAATGTTAAACATGTCAACAATATCTGACAATTTCTCATACCTTATAAGGTTGTAAACAAAAACACTCATGACCTCATTATATATCTGTTTTGCCTGAGTGTGTATTGTTGGTGTAGTGACTCAATTTACAATTATTTTTTTTCTTCATATTTATTTATTGAATAACTGCGTCCATCACATGAGCCCCATAAAATATCTGTAAATTGGACGTTGATATTCGCAATCAACATAGTACTACTTCACTGTTTGGTATAGATATAATGATTTCCTCAAGTTTTTTATTCAGATTTCAATTATACAGTATTATCTAAATATGATAATCTTTACTTCTTAGTATTTCATGATTTCTTTTTCATCCTAAGATTGAGTCAATAGCTGCCTGTATATCAACCAACTATCGTTCTTAGAACCCCGCATGTCATGAACTTAGTTTTTCCCGTGAAATATTTGTATTAACATTAATGATAATGAGGTAGATGATAATCATGATAACGATAATAATGATGAGGATAGTAATACTAATAGTAGTCGAAATAGTCCTAGTAGTATTAGTAGTAGTAGTCGCAGTAGTAGCAGCAGTAGTAGTAGTAGTAGTAGTAGTAGTAGTAGTAGTAGTAGTAGTAGGAAGAGGAGTAATAATAGTAATAATAATAGCAATAAGAGGAAGAAGAAGAAGGATATAATATCGAAGTGATTTGATTAATTCAATGACGTGTGCTTTTCTTAGAACGAAAATCAGCGAATATAAACATCAGGAAAATAATTCGTCATGACTGGAAAACCTCCTAGTTAACGTCACCTATATGACTCATTCTTCTCAAGCACGTAAAGGCCATTGTATGGGATACAGGTATGCTTTATTGCCCTCGATTCCCAATAGATTTTATTCGAACTTCACACCAACTTGAAAACATTGTCTTCAAATGAGTCCTCCGTCGTAAATCGTAATTTGATTTGGAATGGGCTCTTCACTTTGCAGAGATTTTCTTTGGCAAAATATGTGAACAAGATAGAATAATATAGCAAGCTTTTGCGAATAAGGTATACAAATCAAAGGGACCGTCTTAGGGGTATCACTACTGCTTTACAAACATGACTACAATTGCTTCATTTGGTCGTATCTTTAAGAACTTGAGCACATTTCTAGTGGCTATCCGCTATAATAAATGAGCGGCTTCAGCACATAGGAGGATTAGTCATCTTTCTAAACTGGTTTGTGTTAATGCGTGTTTTACAAATAGATTTTCATTGGAAATGGCTGTTCCTAATCCGCTTGTTAAAGAGTTTCTTTCTTTCAAATCTCTTTAAGACTCCACCTGGCCCTTCTCTTTGAGTGAAGTCTCACTCTATACCGACCGGGTCCACATGGTTTTAGATCTCGCTCCATTTGTTTGGCAGTCTGTTGGTTCATCAAACATTTTAGCCCGCTTTAGGCATTATGCAAACAGAAAACACTCGACCCACAAGCGTCCGTTTTCTGTGGGGGTACTTTGGACCTCGCCGTTTATTACCTCCGATGCTCACGTATCCTAGAGATAGCTTGTTGAAATTAGGGTTGAAATTTAACAGAAATTAAACCCTACTGGTCTATCTCTGCAAAGAGTAGAGGCAAGAAAGTCCTTTGTTATTTCCCATTGTGGATAAGTGTTGAGCCGAACAGGAGTCAATTTCAGATTCAACACAAAACAATGTTGCCTTTTTTTCGATACAGTTTCTAAAGTGTGGGTGTGCGTGTCCTCACTCGCACTGTGGAGGGTCACACGAGACATGCCTATTAGCTCGTGTTTGTCAATGTACAAGGGTCACCACTTCTATGCCAAACTTCCTTCTTTTTTTTCCCTCCTTTCTGTTTCTCTCCCCCTGTTATTATTCCAATTGTCCCACCTCGATATCGTTCCTTCGAGTCTCGTATTTACTTGTGATACAGGCTAACAAAGTCATTTTTAAGCTCTTCCTTTCATCGGGCTATGTTAGCTGGTCTTTATTGTGATCGGTCGTGCGATAAATTGAGCAATTTAGACTGAATAAAGAACAGTTTAGTCAATAGATTCTATGAGGCTTTGACACACGTGTATGCTTACAAGAATATAAAAGGATAGAGCATCGATGTGCAAAATTGTAAATGTGCCTAGGGCTCAGTATTTTTTCGAAGTAGCATTATTGTGATGCCGTTGTGTTTAATCACTGTAACATTGTCTCAAACCCAATAACGACGCGTAAGAATGCTTACTTTAATGGTTGAAAACCCATCTCTAGAGTTTTAAATGAACATTATTTCATAGCTACAATATTCTTTTATAGATATGAGTGAATCTTCCAGCAATTTAGAGGTGTCACATTCGATTCTACTATGCCAATTCCATGTATTTCATGCATAATCTGCATCAGCTACAGTTTGTAAAATAGTAAAGTGTTTTGTTTTTTTAACCAAAAAACCCTTTCAACATCATTTTAATTGAATTGTACATTGGATATATATTTATAATTCGATCGTTTATACTTAAATACCAAGAACGTATTGGAAAATGAAATTGAAATGAGAGAAGGCTAAACTCAATGGGAGGTAGTCATTCTACTCTTTTTTATCAGAATTAAGAAATGTCTTACCCTCTCGGATGAGAGGTTCAATAATTCGTGTCTAAAACAAGACAAGCTAGTTCTATTATCTTCTAGTTTTTATTTTTATATAGCAATGACACTAATTTTGATTAAGAGTAGAAGCGAAGAAGCGGTATAGAATGAGGTTTCTTAGAAGCCGTCAGATTTAAATAAGCAATATAAAAGTGAGAAAACAAATAAGCATAGCACAATGTATAAAAAAAAAAAAATTGAGACCATGTTGTATAATAAATACAGGTTTATAAAATCTCAATATACCGACATTATTTAGATATGTGCTGATTTTGATTGTGGATGTCACCACCACCCTCTACCTCCATCCCTCCTACTAGCAACGCCCAAGGCTGGTACACAAGTTCTCATATGTCCTGTCTAAACATCATTCGCAACTGTTTAGAATTTACTTATGACCTGATATGACAATGATTCTAAGGAAGATATTTTGACCCTTATCAGTCCATCCACTCATTTGAAAACCACGTTTCAACTTCTGTTTCTCTCTTTTTTATTTCATTAATACAGACAAGATCCATGGCAAGTAGCGAAGATGATCAAGCTGTATATGCAACAACATAACATCCCCCAGAGAGAAGTGGTAGATTCCACAGGTCTCAACCAATCACATCTCTCGCAGCATTTGAATAAGGGCACGCCCATGAAGGGCATTAAACGAGCCGCCCTCTACAATTGGTTTGATGTGAAACAACGAGAAGTTACAAAACGTAAGTATCCCATGTTCTAGGGTCTCATAAAGCTCATTTCTAGTTTCTACATCTGCAGCAAATAATAAAGTCTTGGAATTGTAATATTGGTACAATAATTCTAAGAGCGATGCGTTAGAAGAATCATAGTTATATATTCATATCACTTATTAATTCGTTTATAAGGCTGAGACGTATCATGTCAATTTAGAAATGAAATTTTTATTCGAGGGCTTAATATGCGTATGTTAGAGTTTCTATCCCAAAACTCAAGGCGAAAGTCATAGGGTTATAAAATGGTATTTCTTTAATTACGTTTGTTGATAATCATTTGCGATCTAGAGAATTACATTGTATGAGGAAATATGTTTCAAAAGTAATTGCATTATTTTAAAATCATATTTTACCGCACGAGAAATCTCAGTCTGAATACAAAAGCTTTTTCAAGGTATCTCCGACAAAGCAACAACGACTGTGAGGTATAGGATTCTATCATTGTGGTATCCTTTAGTTCTGAGACGTTCATAACACTGTTTTCAAAGAAATTAATGCCTGTATATTGGATTTTTCTTTTTAAATGACAGAATTCACGAATCCTGAGACTGGTCACTACTACGTGCAGACTTCGGATGAAAACCCAGCGAAGAGACAGCGAAGGAATCGTTTTAAATGGGGCCCAGCCTCCCAGAGAATCCTCTATCATGCTTATAACCAAAACAGGAACCCGAGCAAGGAAGAAAGAGAGAATCTTGTCATTCAGTGCAATGCGTAAGTGAAATAGATATTACATGTATTTAGTTTATGTTTTATCCATCTCGTCATGGGTGTCGATCTCGGGTGGGAGGGGGGGGGGGCAGAGATATTGTCAAGAATATTTAAGGGAGTAATTTATATAAATGATAGATAAAATACTTCTTTATTCATTCTCCACTTAAAAAACAACAACCAACTACTAAGTTATAAACAGAGCAATTAAAGGTAAAATACAACGTACATTAAATGAATTCACATAAGATAAAAAGAATAAAAGGAGCCATCACGAAAAGCCTATTGAGGCTTCACATGTCGATGGTCCCAAGAATGTGCAAGTCATGATATTAATATTTCGTTGGAAGATGAAAACAAAATAAGGTAAAACAAAGGTCTTGGGGTATTGAATTAGAAAATTTAATTAGAACATCTGCTAAAAGGAGGATAACTTATTGTTAAGAAGAAAGCTGGTATAATTTAATTATACATGCAATGCTGTCAGCTAATGCATTTCCCCCTCCTCACCCATCGTGAGATGAATTGCTGTACGTAAATCTCCTAAAGAGCAATGTTATTTCCATTTTTTAAATAATTTTTCAATACTTTGTAAAAACATCTTATTTCTACTCGTTGGCAGTACGCTGTTGTTTTTTGTTATTATTGTGTTGTTTGTAATTACTGCTGTTACTGTTGATGTTGTTCTTTTTGTTGTTGTTTCTGTGGGTTTTTCAGAGAGAGAAACACACTGTTTAGTTGATTATCCCCGTAAAGAAAATTACTCCATGTGATGCCTGCAGGGTAATAATCGGGAGCGCCAGGAGGGTCAAATCTGACTGACATGAGCGCTATACAAGAATCCACTATTATTATTATTATTATTATACTTGCTTGATTTACATGAATGTGAATTATAAGCTTTATCAAGTATAAAACGAGGATAAATAACGATACAAAATACCAGAGAGATGGGAGTGATATCTCCGCCGATTCCATTTCATGAATGAACCTTCTAAAAATTCGGCGCTTCTTTACAATATTGCATTTAAGTATGCTGTCCACACAATATGCTATAAAATATCTTACACGTGAAGAAGGTGATATTTCGTTGCTTTCTTCTTCTACTACTTCTTCCTCTTCTTCTTATTTTTGTTTCTTCTTCTTATTATTATTATTCACCTTCTTCTTCTTGTTTGTTGTTTCTTCTTCTTCTTTATCTTCTTCTTCCTCACCTCCTTTTTCTTCTTCTTCTTCTTTCTCTTCTTTTTCTTCTTGTCTTTCTTATTCTCTGCATGAACAGAGTTTGGGACCATCATTACACTCTTTCAGCATATTATTCACCCCCTGTAACCTCTCCATATCTCCATATTTCCTATCTCTTTCTTTATCAATTTTCACGATCCCGTGCATGCACTACAACTGTTTATATATAAACAAGCAGAAGTTTATATCTGTGTTTCTTTCAAAAGAGTCATGTTAGTCTTTTATTGTCTCGTCTAACTGCCAATCATTTTTGGAGGACAATTGCGAATAAGGATTAAACGGGATCATCATTCATTAAAGTTGAATGACGTATGTGAATGTTTTTCTCTCGTTACATTATTTTCTGTGATTTCCGTGGGAATATAGCCACGCTCATCAAATACCCATATATGAGATTTGATATGAAAGCTGCACTCCTGCAACATAATCCGAGACTGTGTCCCCCAACACCCCCGGGGGATAACACCTTGCATCTCCGCCCAAACTGTTTAACTTCATCCGGTATCAATTTGTTAAAGCTTATCATTCACCATTATTGAAACATCCATAGCATAAAGCATAATTCAGCGCTGGTCTATCAAATTTCTTTCGCATTACCATTGATAGAAATTGACCTGATATTGATATCATGAACGTTACCCTGGTTCGTATGTGTTTTTGCTCTTAACACATCATCATAATTAAGAAAAATCGATTTCTTTAAATGAATATCAAATAACCTGTTAAATATTTTTCTTGCTTTTATATTGAAACACTATATTAGCAAAATTTGAATTCAATAACTACTTGGAAACATATGGTGACGGGCTAGTATAGACCCGCTGTGCTCTTAAGGGTTAATCATTGAAAATCAAGGGATGCTTTGAAATGGTGAATGATGAAGGAGTTTGGTTAATGTTTAGTGACACAGGAAAACAACTCGTTGTTCGATCTTCACCGATTTTCGATTGGAAAATATCGGGGTATCAAGTTTTGTATGCACACTCGGCAAAGAAATTTTGTTGAAATCCATCAACGTAAAATAAAGACGAATAAAATCTGCCTTTATAGTTCGAATCGCAGAACATGCATGTGTTTCCTGTATGAAACTGATATCAAAAAGATCTCACCAGGTCATTGAACCTATTTCTTGCCATAAATATACCTTTTCGCCTACGTCATGTCTAAGAGGTATTAATTTGAAATATATATATATTTTTACATTGATTAATGATCAAAACTAATTCTCAAACCGCAACCCCAGGCAAAAATGATTGCATACAAGTCATATATCTATAACCAAAGCGATTATAGTAACAAGCATCATTGCTGGCTGAGTGCACTTTTGCAAAGTGATATCACTTATCCTCTTCTTCGAAAGCTATTAAAGATTATAAAGACATATTAATTATAGAGTTGTATATTGCGGTTTCTATTCTCCTGAATGACATCATTTGTTGTTCATCATCAATCCGTAGTATTTTATTTCACTTTACTCTAACAGAAATAATACAGACGGATGAAGGTGTTTTTTTTTCTTCTTCAGATAGCAATTTATATCGCACGAAGATAAGGACTGAGATGTTACCCCTATCTAAACTGTTTAATTTTCATCATTAATATTTTCATCTTTTTAAGAAGAGATATGTATATTTTACTCAAACATTTCAGAAATACGTTATCCTGATTCCTGTGAAATATGAGTATTTTGCCCTTGCGGTTGCGTTGTTGTTGTCATTATTATTAATATTATTATTGAGTATTTGGCGTCACCTGTTCTTGGGAGGGGAAAAACGAACTGAATCATTGTAACCCTCGGGTCTCTCTTCCTGATATAACTGATTGGAGATGCACAGATGGGCCACTACACTAGCCCCCCCCCCCCCCACCCCCCTCCTCCTGCTCTTATACGAACAGATCAGTAGGTTCTTAACGTGTAAATATTGTAACTCTCCTCTAAACGGGGTCTCCATTTAACGTCCTATCCGATGGACGGCCTAATTTACAGTTCTTTCTTAATTCATTCTTACCCCTATAACCTTCAGTAGGCCTATATGTATTATTTTGTACTACTTCATGATTTCTGTTGTTCTAATACAATTCAACCTTAAATTGATATGTATTATGACATACGTTACTGTTTCTCAAAAGATAAAGATTCCTTTGTCTTGTGTGTAAAGTAATATAGAAATGATTGGTATAAACAGTGTGGTTTTTTTTCTTCCAAATTGTTTCAACTGTATAAGTTCACATTTCAGGCATATTCTACCCCGATACAAGATGAACACAATCGTTCGAAGACATCATTTTGATTGGATAGTGTCCCTCAAAATAAAGTTAAAAGAATAGACCTAACTAATAAGGGCAGACTAGTAAAAGGGAATACTGTTACATTTTACGGACTGGGCGAGGTGTCTTGTTTGCTCGAGTGACGAAATACCGGAAGCTAGAAAGGTTACTAGGCCTCTCATATAAAATGTTACAATGGGTTATACACACATGTCAAATTCTCTCCACGGGGAAAAATATGAAGGGGAAATACTTCCGTGGGCGCGTAATGTTTTCATTTTCATGGAAGGGCTCTCAAAATAGTCTGGTTTAATTTAGTCGTACTGAAATTGGAAGTGAGCTCGTGCTAGCTGTCTTATCACCTTGCTTGTGAATGTGATTAATTCCCTGTCAGATATCATATTGCACAATAATGATTTAATCGTTCTTTTTTAATCACGTTTCGCAATGCTCTTATAACCCCCATCCATTCACCCCCCCCCCCCCCCTCTCTCTCTCTCTCTCTCTCTCTCTCTCTCTTTCTCTTTGTCTCTCTCTATATATACATAATTTTTGTAATATATCTTTCTCTTTCTATATCTCTCTCTCTCTCTACATAATCTTTATATTTCTCTCTCTCTCTCTCTCTCTCTCTCTCTCTCTATCTATCTCTCTATATCGTCATATTCCTCTGCCTCCCATTTCCCTCTCTTTCTCTTTCTATAATTGTAATTATTATATCTACTTATCCATCTTTAAACATGTTAAATGTGTAAGAAATATCGTGCCTGCGTATCTTTCCGCTGTCGTTGAACACCACTTACTGAGATCCATGCCATTACTTTGTTAAAAATATTATTCTAAACATGTTAAGTAATATCTTGTCAAAAGTTAATAGTGCAGTGGCAAATATTTCATAGTCCAGTGTGACAATCCCGATATAGACCACGAATCGAAAAATGTTAAGAAACCTTAAAAATGAGTATGATGATAGTCTGTTAAATTCATTCATTTTTTTTCCTCGACACGTTAAATTGAGAAATCTGATCATGTGTATACGAGTATGGCCCTTCAAAATAATCTAAATTATATCATTGTCAATTCAGTGTGCTTATAGTTCCTTGTAAATATATACCCTTTTTAAAACCTACTTGTAATACTTCGACCTTGGCACTCACGCAGTAGTACGCTAATACACCATCGGTGGATTGTATTTACGAATGAAGAAGAAGAAGAAGAAGATGTCGTATACAATGGCATTACAATAAGACAATCATTATCTGGATCAAGCCCTTTACCTATACGTACATGTATAATTATTTGTTGTGTTTCCATAAGGACTGGATTCAAGAAAAATGATTAAACATCAGTGTGTCATGAAATATATTATTAAATGATAACTATCGACGTTCATCTCATTTTTCTTTTCCTCTCTCATTACTTTCTTTTTCAAGTCTTTTTTAAAATTCATACAAACTTTCTTTTCCCTTTCTCTTTGCTTTATATTTTGTTTTTGGTGTAATAACACATGCAATAATGTCACAAAAATTAAGGATATCGTTTTTTAATATTATTGTTATTCAGAGCCGAGTGTATGCAGAGAGGTGTGTCGCCCTCCCAGGTTGGGGGCCTAGGTTCGAATCTCGTCACAGAGGTACGGGTCTATAACTGGTTTGCTAATCGACGAAAAGAAGAAGCCTTCAAGAACAAGCTTGCCTCTGATGGGATCAACACAACAACCAGTGTCAGCTTTCAGCAACAAGGTAGCTTGACCTTCTACTTTAGAGCACGAAAGGCCGTAATCATTCAAAGCCCAAATATATATTTATTTAAGCCCGATATACCAATTTCTTAGATTTGTCGGATGCATATATGACTGTGTAGATCCTTCTCCGACAGTGGATATATGAAAAGTGAAGTAATAATATAGGATGACCAGGCTTGTTAGTCAAGCAAACTATTTATTTTTCGTTTAATTTGTAAATTAGATTTAAATGTTAGATTCAGATTTAAATCCATGGTCATCAAACTATTTATCTTTCTTTTAATTTGTAAATCAGATTTTGTATGTTAGATTCAGATTTGAGTACAAGATTTTAAAGATTTTTTTCAAAAATCCAAATGGCTTTGCTTATATTCTTTGTATTGTGACATTTGTAATCATTATAGTTATAATAATCTCTGGTGTCTCTTTTATCGATTGTGTGCTGTTAAGCTACTCTTTAAAAATCAATATCTTATAACTCAATCGCAATCTATGACATTTGATATGCACTTTGATAAATTTGATTCTTATTATACCCTTTCATAGGGTGCCTATATTATCAATTATTTTGAAGCACACCTAAACATCGTAGATACATGAACATGTAGGAAATTCATTTTCTTATTTCTTTGCCGCGCTATAACTATAAGCCATCAAAAGCTATCATGCGCAACATTTTATATGTATGATATTCTACTCAAAATGTTTTATTTTGAGTGAAAAACACGCTCAAAAACAGACATTTCAATTTGATAATTGTACTTTCTCTCCACCCAGTGTCAGGCGTAGACACCATCACAACGAACAGCGTTGGTATGGGAGAGGTGATGATAGGGGATCTTATCGGGCATGCTACGGGGGGCTTGCAGCCTACCATCACGGTCGCAGCGCCTCAGAATGGTCTACTTCATCAAACAAACTCCGTAACGTTAGCACAGCTGCAAGCCTTGCAGGATAGCGTGGGGAACGGGGTAGCTCCGGCGGCTGGGGCAGGCGGGATGCACCTGACCATGTCGACTCAAGCGATCGGGGGACTCAAGAATGAGGGCCATGGATTGGTAAGAGCACTAACCTTTAAATGCGAATTAAAGTCAAGAGATATGAATTTTAAAAAGCAATGTTAATTATTAGAGTTTGGCCAAATTAACTTCCTGGATTGCGATAATAGTCATCTTATCAAGTTCATTTTTTTTTTCTTAAAGAAAAAAAGAAGAAAAAAAATCTTACGTTTTTCACAGTGTATTATATCTGTTTTGAAAGTATTATCATAGTTAATTAATGTAATGCAATATACTGAAGGAAAAAAAAAAAAAAAATCAAAATCAATTTAAACACCCTTCTTATGCATATACATGTACTTATATTTTTGTTTGCAAGTAGGATCATTCATGTCCAATTTGGTAGCAGTGGGAGCATACAAAGGCAAAGTTAAGATACAGAACGAGATAACAGATGAACAGATGGTGTACTTATTTTCCTGCTCATTGGATTTTAAAAATAATAATCTACCTAGTCAATATTCATTCTGTACTTTCCGTTACGTTGATACCGTGTAGTAATTCAAGTGAATTTGTTTTTGTTCTTCTTCTTCTTCCACTTTAAAAAATATCGTTAGATGATAAGGTGTGGCAATCTCTCAAGCATTACGTTTATAATTATTGTCATACCTATGTATGCTTCTGTATTATTTACAATTAAAAATGAACAATGATCATAATCTCCTAGTGTTTACTTCCGTTATGGTCATGATCATACTATGTAAACTGTTGAACCATGCAGAAATAAATAAAGAAATGAATTCACGTAAAAGATGTGAAAGCTGTATATAAGTTTTAATCGCTGGCTTCCCACGAGTCGACCGTCAATCCTATCGTCAATACAAAGCTTTTATATATTATATTTCTTGTGGTAAGCCGACGAAATATAATAATAAGAGTAAGATGTATACAGGGCTTAATACTGTTCCCAATCATTGCACTGTTGAACCCCGGCATTAGCCGAAATATTTACTTCAATAATATTTATTCATTCTATTCATATGTATTTTATTCATGATAATAATTATATGCAGAGCACGAAACTACCATCGATGGGGAGTTTACCCCGGTCTGGCTACGGCACTCGGAACCTACTAACCACTACGTCACAGGGCAACACATCGTATGGATATATGAGTGATGCTAACAGCCAACAAATCAACTATAACCAAACCATGGCACAGCAAGGTAAAGACCTAACTCGATGTCTTCCAAAATGTTATCATCATTGATTACAAAATAGAATTGTTCATTAATTATAAAAACTTAGATAATGGTTATTTGATAGGGATATGCCAAAATAAACACCTACAACGTTCTCCTTTTTGAACCACAAGACCTATAGTATATCTGTTAGATTTTATTTTCCGTCTGCCCTTTTCTACTTACGATGTTGGCCATTTAGTATCGCACATTTGAAAATTGTATTTACCATGAGTCATCAATATCATTCATTACACGCTTCTCATCCGTTCAAATTCATTTCATAATACACCTACCCAATGTTTTTTTTGTTTTTTTTTAAGTTGCATCTTTAAATTTGGTCATTGAAGTATTTAATCTTCATTCCTTAAACAAATTTTGAAGGACAGTATTCTTATCCTGTTCAACATGTTCCTTTTCTGTTCTCTCTTCCGATTTCCGTAATCTCGAGTTACAACATAATAATCCACTTTAATCCGGATATTTCCACACAATCTGTCTCGTAGTGCTCAGCTTTTCATTTACCATCTACTGTAGATTTCGTTATTATTTTCAAACGCTTTTGTTTCAATTTCTTGACAAAATATCGTGTATATATCCAGCTCAAAGACTATAATTTTTTATCCAGAAATGGACTTGTCTTATCTCAATTTATAAACACAAGTTACAAAATTAAACTATACAAATATGGTACTATCAAAATATGGTACGATCAATTGGGCAAAAAGAATTTCTATTTTTGGTTTAATAAAGTTTGGAGTGGACTATTAGGCTATTATTATTATTATTTATTATTATTATTTCCTATTATATCCTGCATCGAAAATCTATTAGTTTTTGATTGGTTGAAAGCTCATCACGTGGCCAGAAATTTTCTTCTTTTTTTGCTCTGATAATGTGCTATTATTATAATCCCTCTCTTGTTTATAATGATTGTCATTTTTTTCTTCAAATAAGGCCTGCATCAAGATGCTAGCTCTCGCCTTGGGCATCGTACTCATCAACCCTCATCCACAATGCAAGCTCTTCAGCAACATCAGCAACAACAACAGTCAACCTTGCATCGCATGATGAGAAACAATCAGCAGCAGTTGCAGCAACAACAGCAACATGTTTCTCAGATTAACGATAACCCATCCTCTAGAGCACTGAGTCAATTGCAGTCACAACATCTACAGCAACAGCAGCAACACCATCAACAACAGCAGCAACAACAACAGCAACATCATTCACAACAGCAGCATCAACTTCAGCAATATAACATCGACCCAGGGTTGCTGCAACAGATTTCACAAGGTATCAGAATTTTAACAAATTGTTTACCTTTTTCAAAACTTTTTAATAATCATTGTGAATTTCAATTCAGTCTACATTACGTGAGAGTCGATAGATTGCAAATCATGCATCTTCCAATCATCACAAAAAAATGTAAATTTACAAATAAGCTATTCCAGGACTATTCTCATCACTCTATTTTGTTTCACTCTTTAACAGTCATTAATTCTCAGTCACAACTCCAAAACGCCAGCCACCTTCAACTTGCCTCACCAAACCAGCAGCAACAGCAGCAACAGCAACAACAACAACATACCACATCCGTGGGCCAACAAATCTTGCCTGAGTTTACCCTCCCTCTCAACGCCATCACCGCCATCTCCTCACAGAACCCGTCGAAGCTAGAGACGAGTGAACTGCAGATGCTTGTCATGACACAGTCTGCTAAAGGTCAAGGGTCAGTGACCGGGAGTCACACCACTGCTGTGACGTCAGGAAGTGACATCGGGTCAACCAACATCAGCATCAAACAAGTCACGCCCGCGTCTTGTGCTAATGACGTTTCGAATAGATCTGCAGCAGGTAAGATGCAATTATTTTTTGAAATGTTATTTGTTGTTTTGTCAATTTTCTAAGAAGATTTGTGATGACATGATATTAAAGACTTTCTAGATAATCAACTTAAACGCAGTTTCATTTTCCTATTGTTTTGCCTACCGAATCATGTTATATAATGTATGTAATAATATATGTCATTGTAATATTTAAACATTTCTACAATGCTATTAAAATTGCATTATGTTGATTTTTTTTCCAAATTTTTGCGATTGTGTTAAATATATCTCCATAGAAAGTTATCACTGATGTACGACATCATAATACGGAGTTTCGACCAATTACAAAATACATAACAAGGTCAAGAGATTTATGAAAATGAAAATAGAACTTAACTTTGATTGTTAAAACATGTTTAATTTCTCTCCAATAATGTTGGATTCAGGCTAAATCATTTGAATAGGGTTTAACTCAATTTGATAAGTTTGTCTTGATCATTCTAAGAAGGTCTTTGAGACCTTAATAAGTTATTAAAATAGTAATCCTGACCAATTTCTGAACACTGACGTCATAATTATGTTACTTATAAATCTGAATGCACGTGCCCGTAGCTTTATAAACAATAGAGGGCTCACAGTCACCAGAAGACTGTAGCAGAAAAAGAACTTCTATGCGATTGGTCGAAAGCTCGTACACAAACTCAGCTTAGCAGCTGGTTGGCTAATTGTTGAAAAATTGTGATTAGTCGTAGCTTAATTGATCCCAGTGATTATATTTGTAGTATTCATCTTTTGTTAAGTTTTTATGTTAGATGTCATGGTTGCTGTACGATTTCTCTACTTTCCTTCTTATAATGATGATGCACAAGTACATATTTTTTAAATAATTTCCTTTTCCCCTTCTCTCTTTCTTCAGATCTCGAGTTGCCGAGTCGCGTACTAGACTTCACTAGCAGTATAGCAGACAGCACTGTCACAAGCCAGCTTCATACCAGTCAAATCAGTCAAATCAGTCAAATCAAAGGAAACAGTCGTACCAGGAGAGATGAACATACAATTACTACTAACAATGCCACGCTCGAAGGCTATACGGTGGCTACACGCGTAGTGCCTGTTACTGCAAACATGTGAAATCAACTCGATTTTCTCTTCTTTTTTTCCATTTTATCTCAAACACAATGGCAAATGACACCGATATAGTGATTATATACACCAATAGTGTGATGTTGCTCTGTATTTATGGACTTGATTAAGGTAAACTTGTCAAAGTGTGGAATTTCAAAGACATTTGTACACTTTGATGTGTAAAATCATTGCATAACATTAAATTTGATGATTTCATTATAATGAATGAAAATTTAGAGTGGTGAACGCGATAAAACTCGAAGAAGAATTGTAAATTCGTGATCAGTGATTAGCAAGGAGAGAAAAAGCAGATGGAGTGAAAAACTTTCATGACGATTATTCGAGAAGAAACACGAGATAATGGCGATAGAAGAAGGACAATTTTGGAATGAAATAATGAAAACAATTCTCTATAACTGATCTCTACTTTCTGGATGGAGCAGATATTATCTTTGTGATGAAATGACCATCATGTAAATTAAGATGCCTTGGAAACTGACTTTATTTAAATTGGAAATGGAGAACAACTGCTGGACTATTGATGGACATTGATGGATAATGAAGAGCTGACGAAGAAAGCAAAATCAATTCAAATTCATGGAGGAACTCAAAATATCAAAACCGAGAGGAAAAACATGTTCGAAAAGTATGAAACGAATCACAACAAATTGTACCGTGAGTGGTGGTTATAGCGTTAATGAGAGGCAGGCTAGAGAGAAAGAGAAGGAATCATCCGCAAACGTGGTCAGTATGAGGAACATATTTTGATTGCCAGATGTGATTATTGAATGACTATATATGACAAAATCATAACTTTTGTCCAAAAAGAGAAACCTCGTCGACGTATTTCAGGAGGAAGATGCAAGTTGTGATGATGACTCGACGAAAAAAAGATGAATGAAAATGAAAGATGATCAACAAATCACAGAATAACACTGACGATAAGAATCATTATCATGGATAAACGAAAGCATTCAAACTTTGTGATCAGACCTAGCTGTACTCAGCTAAACCAGGAAATGCTCGGATGATTTCAAATGCCAAAATAGAAATGTAAGAAGCCTGTTAACGTCATATGCAGAACGATTCACAAGAAGTATACAGGTCGTCATCTCAAGTCATGTTAGCGGCTTTCCAATGAATGGTGTGGAATGCAGGGCCAGTGGAAGAGGGGGGGGGGCATTTGAGTGCCCCAACTATTTTCACCGTTTGGGGCATTTTGCTCGCTCCGAGCACCCCCACTTTTAGCTTGTGTCAGTTGAGTCAAACCAACTTTCAAAATGGTTTTTGCGGTGCCTCGAATGTGTTGACTCTACATTCAATGGCGTTTCTTACTATACACCAGTAATGTAAGTCTCTTAAACAAAGAAAATTCAAATATAATGGTTATAATCATGATATTTCAGTTGTATTTCTAATTTCCAAGATTTGGCTCGTTGGGTAATATGTCGTACATGACAAATATTCAATGGTGGGTGTTTTTTCTACATGAAATTTAACGGTGCACTGTTTCATGGGAAAAGTTATGTAGAATATTTCTGAATCGTAATTGTTTGTATATAATTGTTGTCCTCATGATGATCATTCATGTTACCTTAAAGCCAAACAATGTTTAAACCCTTGCCAGAATTTGTGTACAGTGGTATAGCAACGGATATTAATATAGTTTGATTTTATGTACAAAACAACTCATTAGACCTACTCTTGGGCAAGCCAAGCTCTTTTGTTCCATACGTTACCGACCAAATCAAGGATGTTAAGCTTGCTTTCAAATCTGACTATTGTATTAAGGTAAATAGCACTAGTTTTGAAGTGAAATGAAGCAATTCAATTTGATGTAAATGTGTGCAGAAATGCATAATACTCGGTATAAAGGTATACTAAAAATGGAATGACCAGATACATTGGAATTATTTCCCCTTTAAGACGATTTGGTAATTTAGGTCAAATTATTGACACACTTAATTGGTATACACCAAACATGCTATAACGTGCCATCGACAATCAATAAGATGTATAGTGCTAGAAGAAAAAGAAGAAGAAGAAAGAAGACTAAGAAGAAGAAAGAAGACTAAGAAGAAGAAGAAGAAGAAGAAGTAGAAGAAGAAGAAGAAGAAGAAGAAGAAGAAGAAGAAGAAGAAGAAGAAGAAGAAGAAGAAGAAGAAGAAGAAAACAAGTACATTCCACTTATAATGTGCAATGATTTTTAAAGTTGTTTGTTAGTCAACAACAGAGACACATATTTCGACTCTCGATGAACTGCAGTGCGTATATGCAGCCGTCTCGTGAAAAAAAGGGGAAAACTAAGCAAATAATTTAAAAGGGCAAATACAGAAAAGTCTAATAGATTGCGCTTGCGTGCTAGCCACAATTGATAGTAAAAAAAAATGTCTGAACCATAAATTGAGGGTCAATATTTGCTCACTTTTTTGTGTGAATTCGGGGGTATTTTTGAGAGGGTTAACAGTGTTAGGCACAGTGCTAGGCATGGGTCGCTCTAGTTGGAAAGGACCGATACTGGTATATTAAGCACAGTCTTCTATAATAATCTTTCAATTACAACCACATAATTAAATTCATGACTAAACAAAACCGCATAAAAGTTCACGAAACTATGTATTTCAATCTAAGTTGACAAATGCTATCAAAACAATTTTTTCCCTCCAACATTATCATGAAGGAGAAATTGCACGGGTATTAATCTTACATGATTGTTTAATGGAAAATATGAAACTAAAGTGAATACGTTTTTCATATCAAAAGGAAATTGATAGGACACGTCACAAGTTGCTATAAAAGTAATCCTCAATCTTAGGTAGTCTTATTATTTATCGTAAAGAGGAACAAGAAAAAGCGATCTTGAAAATTTTCGATTCCCTTATATCTCCCCCCCCCCCGAAATGTTCTCTCAATATATTACTCTTCTTCATCTTTTGGGGGAGGGGGTAGCAATTGCCCCCGATACACTCCTCTTCCCTTTATTCGATGTTCAAATGCAGGTATTTTGTTTTTGTAGCTGAGAACTGAGAAAATGGCGATATTAAGATGTTGGACTCTTTTTCCCTTTATCAAAATTCCCTCAGTTTGTTCTTTCTCATAAACGACAACAATAATAATAGTAATAATATTTAATTTTTATAAAGCGCTTAATACAAAATGTCTCTAAAGCGCTTTTACAAATATACTATTACCCCGGTCATTGGATTCAGTGCTTGCCCGCACACACTGTGTGCACAATCTCCATTCCCTGGGGAGCATTCCAGCCGGGCGTTACCATACGATGAACTCATACTCAAAAGACCAATAACACTGCAGCGTCGGTTGATTTTCATGCTGTGATAATAAAAGCGAACCTTTATAATTATAACGATTCCGCCTATATGTCGTGTAAATATACATTTTTGGCGATATAAGTAACAATTCAGTCAGACTAAAATATTTATTTCATGTGGATATACGTTGCTTTTCTTCGAGTGCTTATTTCTGTTTAAAATGTATAAAGCCTTTCATTAATGAACTTCATACAATGTGAATTTAAAAATCCAAATTTGAGGTGATTATTATTTTTGTGTATATATTGAATTATAATGACTGAAAATTATTTTTAAATGGTATCAAAATGTGATTATGATGATTGTATATGTAAATATATGTAGATATCATATTTATGAAACAGCGTGTTGACGTATTTGTTTTGTTATCCTTATTGTGTTCGTGCTATGTTTTGTTTATATGAGGAATGGCATCTAATATACCAGCTTTATAAGGGTAATGGGTTGTCATATGAGTTGGAATATTCATGAAGAGCGGTAACTTCAGCATACTTTTCTTTTGGAGAAAAATCAATGTTCGGCAAACTAAATTCGTCCCGTGACGACTTCTCTCATTTCCTTTGGTCAATAATGTTTCCAACGAATAAACACCTTATACATAGATTAAAGCAGCATTCATTGACTTCTACCTGGGCCCTATAACACAAAGCACAGTCATTGATTGTACGGTCAAGTGAGTGAACGTCATGGTCAGTTGCAAAATAGCAATCAACTTCTGACTTATCTATGTGTTACCGGGTCCTGGGGGGTGTTTCACAAAGATTCTTAGTCGAACTTGACTCTAAGTTGAACTTAAGTATTATGGAGAGCCATTTGTAGCCTTATAATGAAATATATTCAAAAGCAAAAATTCAAGTACTTTAGACTTTTCATAAATTCCACATCAAGAACATGATAATATAAAATATGAAGATTTGAATCAACATTTTATGCCTTTAAAATAACTTTTACAAAATATTTTCATAGATGCTAATGGCTTTCCATAATTTGTAAGTCCAACTTAGAAATAAGTTCAATTTAAGATCTTTGTGAAACATTCCCCTGGTTATTGAACTACGAATGCACTCTTGTCTATTTTATGTTTCTTTCGATTGCGATATATTGTTAGCGCAAATGTTTTGCTTCATGTTTTGTCAATAAACAAGGAGTTTTTGTGGATCTCCAATGCGGATACTAGCTTCTTCTTTCTCTTTTTTTGTTCTTGAGTTAAAGGATCAAATACAACTCCATTCAATGTCATTGTCATTCTTTCCATATCCGATTAAAATGACAATAATGAACATAGAATACAATGAAAACAAACTAAACATACTTCAACTAAAATAAAATATACAAAAGGATATATAATAGATAAGACAATTAACAAAAAATTATAACAATGCGGGGGGGGGTAAATAAAAAGCCAGAACAAAAGCAGACGGTACCTATCTTTATGTAACGTATGTAAATGTAGTGTAAATATGGACTGTTTTGTGGTCAATCCTTTAAAAACTTTGCTGAAATAAGAACAGCGACAAGATGTATCCATTGCCCAATTGCCTGTTCACCGGCCATCTAATAACTTCGCCCTATAAGATCTACATCCCCTGTTCTGCTTTTCTACAGTATGTTCAGTGAATGTTCTACTTTGATTTGATTACGAGTGATTTCCTACTTTGTCGCACTACATACATGACTGTAGCACTGTATAACATGTGATGGCAACATCTCTTATATCTCTTCTTTCTCTGCTGTAGTTCCTTCTCTCCCTCTACCTCGCTCTCTCTCCCTGTCTGTCTGTCTTTCTCCTTCTGCCTCTCTTTCTCTTTATCTCCCGCTGTTTCTCTCTTTATTTATGTCCCTCCGTCTGTCTCTCTCTCTCTCTCTTTGTAACCTCTAATGGATTCTTCCTATGTATCTCTCCATTGTTATTATTGTACGTGGACCCATTTTTCATCCCTCGGAGAAGACTTCAAGCTGTCGGTCCCCTGGTTGTTTACTAAAAAGCATACACATGCTGTCATAGCAGCCAGATAAAACAAACAAACAACCGCTGTCCCCATTAAAATCAAACATTTTTCGATACATGTATTCTAGAAAGTATGTTATTTATTTATTTGTCATGTGCAAGCGGATCAGTAGAACAGGAAATAAATACATATAATACATAATTATCAGTAAATGTAACAACCTCAATTTGAATGAAAAGAATGAAATATGCAAAGCTAAAAACACGTCAGTAGAATTTCATTACACAGGGAATGTACACCATAAATCATTTGACAGAAGAAAAAAAAATGAACAAAACAAAAGGAAAGGAAATCTAATTATGTATGTACATAGATTGATGAACATCTCAACATCTCCTAACCCGAACTCTTGTATATCGTACAGAAAATATATGTCCTCTATCATTTTGAAAGTCTTTTCTCCATGGTAACGCAACTTGTCGACTGCTCAGAGATACCTACAACAAAGATGGTATATTATTTACAGGTAGCAACTAATTGATAAATAAAGACAAAAAAACAACAGCAAATCATGTTAATTAACAAATATATATATTTCTATCCTTCAAACTGCCAAGGACAACTAAATAGCCACCACACCATTATCAGCGTACCCCTTATATATCAATTTTCATTTAGAGCTCTGCCTCTTGGACATCATTTATTTTCTTGAAATGTTCTGGGGTTTTCACTCTGGATCATGTCTCGTCCTCCACATGGTTTCCATTGGGTTCTTAAGATTCCATTGGAGAAAAATTGAAGTAAAATTTAATGCAAGCACTAGCCATTCAGTATTCATGTAAGATATAAAACGCACTCACTACTCATACTGGTAAACCAAATTATATGAAAATCTCTCAAAATTCAAGTGAATAAATGGCATGAATTATCCATGCTCGTGATCTCTGCCAAATTGGGAAAATGACCCTTTGAATGAACAAATGAGAGTTTTATCATAATTATATGGTATCTTTCAAATATAACTTTAGAGTTTAGATTAAATACTTCTGGTCTTTTTTTAACTTTTCTTTTTATATAAAAGAGAAATTCCTAGGCAAATTGAAAATTCAGCAAAACATTTATTTGTGAAGTCACATTTGGGATTAGAAAAAACTTGATATATATAGAGTTTTTATGTCAGCAACATTTTTTTAAACAGACCACAAAATGTTACATTATCATCAAAATATTTGCATTTATTGTGCAAACTACTGAGCATGGATTTGATATATGTAATTATATAAAGAATTCTCCATTATGAATTGCAAGTTCAATCTATAGTGACAAGCTCATTGGAGAAAAAACATAACTCGGCCCATTGAACTATTTTCGAAAAATCAACGCAAGGGCAATTTCAATACCCTATTGTATTGTACGTCCCATAGAAATCATGTTGGGATTTATTATGATTATGTAACACCTCGTTGTCATGTTCACACATTTCAATAGGTATTGCACAAGGGTGTTAAAGGTATTACAAAGTTTTGGGAAATTTTGAAAATGGGTGGATAGTGATTCTTTACAATTTTAATATATTTGGATGCCCCTGTGGATGTTTTTGAAACACCATAAATTGTAGCCCCTAAAACACTTCTACTTTCGAGAAAAATTGAAAATAAAGATTTACCGGTGCTTCCGGTAAATTTTGATGAATTTCAAATAGCTCCTACGGCCGTTCAATGGTAGCTGCGACCATGAAAATCTCACAGTATGTAGTTGTGGTATATAATTTCCGAACGAGAATAGCTAATCAGTCAATTTGAGTCAATACACATTGTTTTACAGCTGAACTAATATATTGACCTTGAGAGGGAGCTATTCAACATCAAGTGTTTATTATTTACAATTTCATAACTTTAGAGTCGATTTCGACCGCGACAACGATCACTGAATATTGTAGGATCGTATATGCTTCCAATATGTTCATTTGAACTAGATTCATGACCCCATACCAACACTTTGCATTACCTTTAAAATTGCCTTAGGTTGATTTTTCAAAAGTAGTTGCAATTACGGTACTCACGTTATTGCTATAACGATGAACATATTTGGCAAATTGCAATGTTACTAAGAAGGGAGCGTATTCCAACTAAATGTATGTCATATACTAAATGTATACCAATCAAACATTACATGATACAGACATGTAGAAAGTGGGTTCACAGTTCATTTTTTTATCCCAATTCAGAAAGATTGAGCCCTAGCTTAATTCATAGAGATTAGAGAAGTTAATTTATTGATGAAGATAATGTTGAAATGAGAATGCTCTAATTTGTACAAAATTGTGTGTCAAATTCATGTGTAAATCCCAAAATAACCAAATACCTATTTGGGCAATTACACTAAGGCTGCGTTCATGCTTAAATTGTGAAGGCAGAATGAGCGATCTGAAACGCTCATCGTAAACGCTCATCGTGATCGCAGTTCCACGATGTAGTGTTCATGCTTACTTCTCTGGCTCCCCAGGCAATTCTCCGTGTGTGGCCTTAATTGGTCTTCCAGCTGGATTCGCAAACCTTCACTGTGCATGCTACGTAGACCCACTAGAGGTCAGTGCGTTGACCCCATTTAAACGCGTTTACAAATTGTAAACGCATCTTTTTGTGAGTTTATGATCGGCGATCGTGATCGCCGTTTTTCGGTGATTCTACAAAAGTGAGCTAAGACGCAACCGTGTTTTAAACTAAACGCGTAACAGATGCCTGATTCTGGCCGTCAAAATCAAGCATGAACGCGCCCTTAGTCGACCGTTTAAGAGACATGTATAAGTTAGGAAATCGGATAGCAAAGCTAAACAAAATTGAACACCGATGGACTAACTGTAAATCAAGGTGCAATTATAATTATTATTATTATGATGTCTGAAAGTTCACACACATTCTTTTATACACAGAAGGAATTACAGTTACATGGCAATGAAGATTTTTAACTTTGTGCAATGAGTAAATATGACACAACAGAAGGGCTATTATTTCATAACATCCAATGCAATTCTAATATATCCCACACATGCATTATATCGACTCTCTTTGAAAATAAACATTGTTTTTCCTATTTTCACAGAAATCTATCAAACCCGTAACAAAGCAATACACACTCAAAGCAAAATACAAACAAAATATATCATTTTTAAACAGAAAATAAATTAGGAGCTATACTTTCATATTTCTTAAAACACTGGACAATATTCCTTCTCATAGCCATCAAATTAGGTCAGGCTTTTGAACAGGTCAGAATTGTTGCTACATTTTTCCGAAAGAAAAATTGAGAAATGTTTACTCTATAAATCTGTAAATAAAACTCTGAAAACAAGACAAGATCTACATTATTTTTTTGTAGATTAATATTGGTTCAGGTTAAAATAAACCAGAATCATGAAATATAGGCTTGCTTGTGTTTTGTACAAATCAGCGATTTTGATAACATGTGCACGGTAGGATGCTTTTGTTGATTGAAACCCTGCTGATTGGTAAAGTGTATGGTGCAGACGTCACATGTTGCTCCTCATGGTTAGATCGATGCTCATCTCTCTGAGTAGCATTTTTCTACTGCTCAGGATTACTTATCTTGCTTTCCATCGTGTAATACACACGATGTTGTCAAGGACGGCTACGACCACAGCATTCAATACACAAGTTTGGGCAAACTTGGTTCATGTTAGCTTGTTTGCGAGAAAACGTAAGAATGTGCACTAGCTAGAATCCAACAGAAAACCAGTTGGCCAATCTCTGGTTACAACAAGGCAGTAACTCATATGTGGGTGATATGTCCTCTATGTTTCTTGAATGTGATAACTTCTGCAGCCTCTATATAACAACCAGCAAGACTCTGAACCCAAACTTTGTGTCGTCAAATCCAGTGACACCCGTTGCAACTATCACGTCTGAGTTTGCAGGGTTAGGGTGGCTGCTAGTCCTTGCTCGATTGTGATGGCTTGCGCAACCTCATGGCATACGGAGACTGGCGGGATGCTGACGAGGCGGCTCCTTGTTGCAGGACTTCCACTCTGCTTTGTGGTGTCTGGGGATCCTCCGATGCCTGTTGCTGCTGCTGCTGTTGTTGTTGTGGCTGAGCTTGCAGAGTTGTAGTTGCTGGTGTCTGTTGTTGCTGCTGTCGCTGCTGCTGCTGTTGTTGTTGTTGTGGGGATGGCTTAGACGTTGGTTGTGCAATGGAGATAGAGACAGGTGTTGTCGTCGTAGCAGGAGTTGTCACCACGCGAACCTGAGAAAGAGAAAGAACAGTCGTTGATTACTTGATGGCCACAACAATAGAAGAACAAAGAACAAGAACACAAGAGTACTTTCGAAAACAAGTGTGTAACATATAAATGATTTACACGATTCATGAATTTTTCATTTTTCTCATTTACTCAATCATGGATGGAAGCAATCAATATTATCAAACAGGCCAACACTAGTTAAAACAATCCACAAGCATTTGAACATCGGTTCGTTCACAGCAAAAGCAGTGTCCCAAGTCTGGTGCCAGACAACGTACAAGACATCTGTCTGAGGATATAGACCAGGAGTTTGATTTCTGAGGCTGTAAGCACCATGCACACTATTGATAAGCAGAACAGGCGACTCTAGTCTGAAAGCCTCAAACTAATATTTGCTGTAAATGTTTGAATGTTTTTAAAAACTTCTTTTATGGAGCCTGTAAAAATGACACTCAACTTACACCAAAAAGATTCCAAAGTCAACTGTTAACATGTCCACATCATATTCTTAATGCATACCCTTAGATATGTGGTTTGGACTCCATGCTTGCGTATACATGCATGAACAAGACATTCCCTATTGATCAATCTAACAAGTTTGGTAGTCATTCAGTCGGTCACCTTTATGGGCTCACCTGCTGTGTAGCTGGTGTGGTCTGTTGAGCGGCTCCTTTAGTCTGACCCGCTGACGAACTCTCCTCCTGGACAACCACAGTCTGGGAGACCACCGTGTGAGCAGGAGACGATTGGCTTTGAGCCTGGGCCTGGGCTTGTGCTTGGGCTTTTGCTTGGGCCTGGGCTTGAGCAAGCTGCTGTGCCTGGACTAGTCTTGCCAGCTGAGGGGTCCTGTTTGGTGTGCTCTGCTGCTGGACCTGTGTCCTAGGAGTGACCACAGAGGTGACCAGTTGAGTGACCAGCTGCTGGGGTTGTTTCTGAGCTTGAGTCACGGAGGCCTGCGAGACAGTCACCTTCCCAGCTGATGATAGGACTGCACCTGGGGATTACAAGACAAATTGCAAGTTAGGTTTATACGTAAATACAGTGGAACCTCGTTATAACAAGGTCCTTGGGACTATGGAAACAAGTACCTCGTTATATCAGAACTCTCCACTGTACTTCTTCATCTGGTTTGAAATGCCAAGCTATCTCAAAGAAAACGATACAACTTATTTCTTGATATTGCATCAATTTAGTGAAATTATAGATCACGACCCTGGACAGTAATGGATTGCCACTTCATAAATCATAAAAGACTTTGAACATAAATTAACATAATATACTTTCAACAAAATTGAAAGAAAAGATATGGCAACATCCAAATGGACAATTCAAAGTGTTCCAGTGATCACCTCTTACTTCGACTATTGTCGCCACGTAACGGCTCCCCTAAAAAGTGTGGATAACAGGCCCATTACACTTTCATCTTCAGTGACTACTACAGCCCAGCTTAAATAGCTTTCAAATAATTGCCCATTCAACCTAGCCATTATATCCAATTCCGACTTCGAAATGAGTTAATTAGTATTCTTTTCCCCATCACTTCAATTACTTCTATGCTTGTTTCTCGATTCGAATTACCATTCTCAATACATTTGTGAAGTCTTATACTGAACCTGAACAGCATGGATGTATCATGTAGAGATCCTATAGGACATAGCTGGTGGATTATTACAGAATTAACATCAGTTTGTTCACTTTGAAAGCAGTGTCCCAAGTCTGGTGCCAGACAACGTATAAGACATTTGTCTGAGGATATAGACCTGGGCCCTGTCTTACAAAGAGTTGAAATTGATTCGAATCAATATCAAGTCCCTAAATCAATCACAAGTTTGCAGTCTCCCATCTCTTATGTACATAGTTGTGATTGATATCAATCACAAATAAGTTGCGATTGATATCAACTCTTTGTAATACAGGGCCCAGGAGTTTGATTTCTGAGGCTGTAAGCACCATGCACACTATTGATAAGCAGAACAGGCGACTCTAGTCTGAAAGCCTCAAACTAAATTTTGTCTTTCGACTTTCGTCTTTAGCAACTTCTACAGCCGAGCTTAAATAGTTTTCAAATAAGTGCCCATTCAACCTAGCCATTATATCCAATTCTGACTTGGATTAGAGTTCATTCATATTCTTTTCCCACTACTTCACTTCACTCTTATCTGGGACACATGTATGTTTTGCTTGCCTGGTGGTATGATGGTGACCGGTTTCCCCTGCTGCTGTATCGACAGTGTCTGAGGCACTTGCCTACCTGGTGGAATGATGGTCACAGGCTTGCCTTGCTGTTGTATGGACAGCGTCTGAGGGACTCTCTTGACCTGCTGCTGTAGTTGCTGTCTTACCGTTGGCATGGGTTGACCCTGTAGCTGACTGGTCGGTATCCTCTGTACCTGAACGGTACCGGTCTGCTGCTGACCTCTAGGTGCTGTCACCTGCTGGACACGAACCTGCTGCCCTCCGATCGTTCCAACCTGAACAATCAAATATTGATCATGGGAGGTGTTAACATCCATTAAAAAACACAGATAGTCTCCTTTCTATCATCATATTGTTGCATCTAACGAGGAATTCTATTACATGATAATAAACAATAACTTTCAGATGGGGGATGAATTGTCAGGACAGTATTATAGGTTTATATCCCTTCTGATTTGTTTTTGTTGAGCCCCGCATGATTCCACTGGGCTTCTTTAAACTTTTTCTGATGGCAGGTACTAGCAATTGCTTGTATGCTTGTTTCTCAATTCGAATTACCATTCTCAATAAAGTTGTTTATGTCTTATAATAAAGCTGAACGGCATGGATGTATCATGTAGAGACCCAAAGGACATAGCTGGTTGATTATTACAGAATGAACATCAGTTTTTTTTCCCAGTAAAGACAGTGTTCCAAGTCTGGTGCCAGACAACGTATAAGACATCTGTCTGAGGATATAGACCAGGAGTTTGATTTCTGAGGCTGTAAGCACCATGCACACTATTGATAAGCAGAACAGGCGACTCTAGTCTGAAAGCCTCAAACTGATTTTGCTAGAAATTTTCAACAGCATAGACATATCATCCAATGAGCCAAAAGGCCATAGCTAGTCACGAGCTAGTTGATTATGACCTAGTTGATCAGAGGTAGTCACTGCAGCTGAAGTTGCTTTTGAGTGATCAGTGATGTCACAGAGCTCCAAATAATGTCCTCCCATAGAGATTGTATGAGAGAGAGCCAATACACCAGACATGGGTGCCATTTTAACTTACAGGTAAACAAACCACCGACCTCTAGAGGTCCGTGGTTTACGCGTAAATTAAGACAGCGCCCATGCAAATATGATGGGAGCGCACAACTCAGGCAGTGACTTAACAATACATGCGCATCTGAAAACATTGATGACACAGTGTCTGCGTTGTGTGCTCACATCATATTTGCATGGGCGCTATCTTAATTTACGCATAAACCACTGACCTCTGGAGGTCAATGGTTTGTTTACCCGTAAATTAAAATGGCCTCCATAACCGTAAACTGGTGTATTACAGGGAGCTCCATGATCTAACCTATGACCTTATTCCCATGCATGTTTATGCATGTATCACAACTCTGTTTTTCCCTTTGTCTCTGTACGCTATGCTTAAGCCCAAGTTTGACCTCTCAGAGCATAAACTGACCTGTTGTAGACTGGCTACTTGTTGAACCAAGGTTTGCTGAGCAGTCTGAGTGCCACCACGCTGGACGGTAGCTTGACCCGATGACACCCTGACCTGTTGACCCGAGGTCACAACTTGAGGCTGACCTTGAACCTGAGCAAGGATCTGAAAATAAACAAACAATCACACTTTTGATTCTCCCTACTGCATGTAGCTTAAAACAAGCCAACGGAAGTGGCGCTCTATTTTTATTAGCAAATTTGCAGGGATTTTACAGTCGCATTGACTTCTGGTCAACACTTTAACATTTGCATTGCTTTCTTCTCATAAAAATATTTAGCATTGGAGCTGTGTCTTAAATTAGTATCTAATCTAGAACAAACTTCGGTCGACAGCAAATAATAATTACTTTTTTTTACAAAAGTCAGGTTCTAAAAAGGGCTGAAATAAATTCTTTGTCTTACCAGCTTCTGTTGCTTCATCTGCAGTATCTGCTGCAGGTTGACCTTTGATAGCTGTGTGGTCGTGGTCCCTGATCCACCAGCCGTGGGGATAGCCAGAGCCTTCATGCCTCCAGCTACAGACACCACCTGACCCTTGGCTCCTGCCTGTCCTAGGGTAGTGACCCCGGTGACCGTTACCCCACTGACAGTGATGCCTTTGAGCTGGGTGACCGAGGTGACAGGGATGGTGGAGATGCCTTTGATCTTCTGGGCTTGGAGCTGCTGCGCTTGGTGGTGCTTCAGGAGGGCGGCGATCTCGGCCTGGGAGGTGTTGAGGGTGGGTCCCTTGCGCTGAGCAAGCTGTAGGAGAAATGTGAGGACCAAAGTTAATCAGTTAATACATTAATCTATTAATCTCTGAACAATTAAATGACAGCATCAAAATGTAATACCAAGTACTTAAAAAGATTTATCTGACTGGTAAGTTTTACTTTCGCAACAGTTTTACAGACACCTGAGAGCTATTTTAGAAGTACAATGAAATAAATAGGTACAAGAAGAAGCTGATAAGGATATTTGACTTACAAAGGATATGCAAAACAAAACATAATTTTAAATCAAGCTAATGTATGGCGATTTTTGCATGAAATTTGTTGCACTTTCTTCTTACATTGTCACTTATTTTCAAACATTTCTGTCTTAAGTATCATTATTCTTACGCATACAGATACCCATGCAAAAACAGAAGAAGAAAAAGAAAGAGTGACAGAAACCGAGAGAGATAAAAAAAAAAAGTGAAAGGGGGAAGTGGAGAAAGAAAAACATGGCAGTAAAGGAAAGAACATTATGATGATGATGACGATGATCCACAGCACTTGTATGGCGCCATTTATCTGTTTCAAACATTCAAAGGCGCCCACTCCTCAAATAGTCATGTACTACAGATTTGCTTGAAAAGATCAGAGACAGAGCAAGAAGAAAGAGAGCATACACACCTGTTGTCTTTGTGCCTGTGTTAGCTGGACATGAGTAACCCCTGTAATGGCTTGTGTAGTGATCCCAGTAGCCTTCTGGATGGTGGTGAGCTGTCCAGAGGTAGCTTGGGCTTGGGCCTGAGCTTGGGCTTGGACTGCTTGGGCCTGTGCTTGGGCTTGCTGGAGCTTCCTCAATTCAGCCTAGTGAGAGAAGGACACATGAAGTAGGCATTAAAGACTATGGCACTGGCACTATCATCGGCGAGTCCAATGTATTTTGTGCACATGCACACTATTGATAAGCAGAACAGGCGACTCTAGTCTGAAAGCCTCAAATCAACATTTGCCAGAAATGTTCAAATGTAAATGAAGTAAGCAAGTGAATGGTAATCATTCAATCAGGTGTCAATCTAAGTTTTTGAAAATTCTAACTTTTATCACACAAACTAATGACTAATACGTAATGATACAAATTTTGCCGAGAAACCGCCTACTAATTGATATATTTGGTAAAATATTATATGTATTTGGACCTGATAGATATGACGCACGTGTCGCGTAGTCCCTTATATATCTTTCTTTGTACAGTGCTTGTAACTTTACCAAGACTGGGCCAAATTTCTTATTTTGATGATTCCAGAACCTTGCAGTACACACCAATACTTATATGCTAGATGATAGATGATCGACCTTTTCTGATTGATTCCACGTTTCTTTCACAATGCAATCGCATGACCATAACTGGTCTTTATCTTTAAGAGCAAGCTACAAACACATTTTACGTCATTAAGAAGTTCACGAGACAACAAGCGTTAAATCCCTGTGGTACGTACCTTGAGTTGATTAGTGGCAGCTTGTTGCTGGGTGGTCTGGGTAACGGTTCCAGATGTTGCCTGCCCGCTGCTACTACTCTGAGCCTGCTGGACCTGTTGCTGCAACTGTTGTAGCTGTTGTTGCTTGATCTTCATGAGAGCTAGCTGACTGAACTGGCCCAGGTTCTTCATGCTCAGCTGGGTACCACCTGACATAGGGCAGTCAAAATGGATGTGTCAATACAAAGCTAACATCTTAATTTGTTATAATGATGATGGAATACTAAGACCTAATGTCGAGCCAGATTGAGTCTTTCCTAAGTTTGCCAACACTGGATCATGTATCAAATACACCCCTTCACTTTTTAAGCTCTGGATTGTGAATTTCAAAGATATTAAATGCAGACAAATGAGGACTAAATAATTTACTAGTCTTGGCATTGCCCTTTCTGTGCCATCAAGTTTACAAAAATGTATTACAAATGAAATTTTGGTGGAAAAGTCAGTTGTCAACGAACTACACAGGCCATAATCCAGTTAGATGACAACTGGGCTGAGTCAGGTCTCATCAATACGAGCCCTGGTTCCCATAGGCAACCAATATTCATACCTTGCAATGAGACCGTCGGTGTGACCCTTGTCTGTTGACCCGTCGTCACGATAGAAGAGACCGAAGAGACAACGATCTGAGGAGACGATGTGCCGAGGGTCCTGACCTGGGAGGTCACATTGGGTAAGGTCAGCTGGGGTACAGAGGTACGTATGCCCTGGGATCGTACTACCTGAGCAGCTAGGGTACCAGATACCTGATCGGAGACAATTAAATGATGATAAATAACTTACATCACTATTTATATAGACTACAGCTCAGTTACACATCAGCCAAAAGTCTTTCTTCACGTTATTCTGCTAGCTCTTTAACAAAAGAGTCAGCATTTCTGAAATAACTACAATAAAATCAAACAGAAGCGGTCATTTTTTTTCTCCGTTTTTGTCTTCAAATTAGTATTTTAATGGGCCATCATGATTATCCCTCTCAATGAACATCCATGAAAGCTGAATATTTTTAGAATTACGGCCGCTGTGATATATGGTATTAGTCAGCTCCCAAAGCCATCTTTTCTGCAGCTTTTATTCTGGACAGCTTTTCATCAATTTAGCCGATTCCTTCAGGCCTGTAGAGTTCTATAAAACATGAAGATTTGTGTCTCCTTGGAACAATGTTCAACCCCCTGATATTAACAGTAGAGATATTGATAGGGTGTTTTAATACTCACCCTTATGGGCTGTGTGACTGTTGTACCAAGGGCCGTCCTGCTTATTGTTCCAGACTGCTGTTAAAAAGATAAAGACATCAAAAACTCTGTTTAAATACACAAGTATTGCATTCATCTTTAAACAAATTAATTTTGTAACAGAAAAAGAATTAAAGCATTAGAGAAAAAAAAAAGTAAAGACTTTCACCAAAAAAGTAAATTTAGGATGTTTGTAAATGAATTTATAAGGTCAGGGTATTCTTTAGGTAGTGCAAATGGAATGGACAAGGATAGAAAAGACATGCTCATATTAAACACATGGAGTTGCATTGTAGGAGAAACTTCAACTTAAATCAATTCCAACATGTTTATCATGCAGAAGATGGGCAGTTGCAATGATCATGTTGTACTAACAGACCTTACATTACACTGAATATGTTATTTGTACTGGGCAGTCTAGTAGATCAATATGTAGGAATAAATAAATCTTTCAGCAAAGTAACATCTAATTTAGGTCTGTTGATTCCTGTTCGGTCTGAGGATACAGTTAACAACTAAATTTGTTTATACCCTTACCAAATCTTTTAATTTTTAAGTATGTTAGAATTTATTTGTCCTAATTTATGTTTCTTGAGAAAGCAATATATTAAAGCTTACATCTGAAAGTATTAAATAAAGGCCCTAATTCAACCAGTCCACCTTTCATTCTCGAGTTACGAAAAACACAAAAACCATAAAAATTAACTAGGGGTATGAAGAATTTAATCGATAACTGTATATTTTTCATTTGTCACCTATTGCAGGTATCTGCATTCACGGCTACTACTGTAGAATCAGAAACTTCCACGACCTGAAACATTTGCGAATCTGAACCTCTCAAACAATTCACTAACATTTCATGCACTCAACAGTTTCTGGCTTATACATAACTACCATAGCCCCGTGGATTTCCTACAGGCATTCTTACCAAAACGGTGGCGCCAGCAGCTGTGCCCACTGGCTGGGCAGTCACCTGTGTTGCTGTGCCTTGTTGCTGTGCCTGCTGCTGCTTAGTGGCAGCCAAGAGACGCTGTTGCTGCTGCTGTTCTTGTTGCTGCTATATAACGAGAGAAAGGAATATATATATATATATATATATATATATATATATATATATATATATATATATATATTACTCATTGCCTTTATATATATATATATATATATATATAAAGGCAATGAGTAATGATCACTGAAGCAAGTTAGTCATCTTGACCTACCCATGATTTTTATATACAGTGAAACCAGTTTATAAAGACCACCCAAGGGAGACAAGAAGAGTGGTCTTTGTAGACAGGTGGTTTATGTAGACATGTTCCTTTAGTACATGTTTCAATGAGAAACCATTTTCAAGGGGAAACAAAAAATGTGGTCTTTGTAGACAGGTTCATTTAGTACATGTTTCAATGAAAAACTCCCATTTTCAGGGGAAACAAAAAATGTGGTCTGTGTAGACAGGTGGTCACTAAAGCAGGTTTGACTGTATCAAAGTGACAAAAGGTTTCAACAGACATTGAAACATTCAATGATTTCAATTCATAAAGGAGTGATATACTAGGACCCTTGTTGTCTACTCTATTTCATACCAAAACATATCCTAGATTAAATCAATAGAGATGCCTGAAAGGCTAAATAGCACTTTGGAGGCTTCAGAGAATTACCGAACGAACATCAGTTTGTTTAAAGTAAAAGCAGTGTCCCAAGTCTGGTGCCAGACAACGTATAAGACATTTGTCTGAGGATATAGACCAGGAGTTTGATTTCTGAGGCTGTAAGCACCATGCACACTATTGATAAGCAGAACAGGCGACTCTAGTCTGAAAGCCTCAGATGTACATATGTATTGAAAAGATGTCTTACCTTTTTCTCTCTCGCAAGCTTTTGCTGAGCCTGTAGAGCTGCAAGCTGTAGAAAAGAAGAGAAAGAGAAAATGCATCTATAGGAAAACTAAACATTCCAGGCAAAAAACAACCTTTTACAATGCATGAGAAAGAATCAATTAGTTCTATGGTGAGAGCTCCATTGGAAATTTAAACAATCAACAACACATTTTCAGCCTAAACATGTATATCAGAGAGAATTAACATCGTATGAATGCTACTTCACACTCGGGACATCCAAATATCAGATTACATGCACTGCAGTGTTTTTAAAAAACTGCTATACAAGTTGTTTTAAGATTTGCTCTTACAGATGTGAGATTTGCTCACAGCCTTGAACACATTAAACAAACCTATTTCTGAGATTGCCTAAACCAAACTTCTCTATACTACTGTATATTCTCTTCTACATCAGACACACACTACATCTCTTTCACACAAGACTTCATGACGCATGATACAAGGAGACTTGCATACCTTCTTCTCTCTGGCTATCCTCTCCGCTCTCTTCAGGGCTACTTCACTAGGCACCATGGGCTTGTCATAGTTGATCCCAGACTCGGCCAGTATTGCACTGTGCTTAGGATTCTTCAGCAGTGGGTTGTTTAGTCTGGAAAATAATATCCATATACAACAAATTATATTGCTACTATGGTCATAAACGATACAAAAATAATACATTTTTTTGATGTTACAGGTTCAATAAGCTGCATGCTTGCAAAAATAATATCTGTGATTTATACAGCTCTATTCCATTTACAAGTGTCCCAAGTCTGGTGCCAGACAACGTATAAGACATCTGTCTGAGGATGTAGACCCGGAGTTTGATTTCTGAGGCTGTAAGCACCATGCACACTATTGATAAGCAGAACAGGCGACTCTAGTCTGAAAGCCTCAAATAAATATTTGTTGGTTCAATATGTCGCATGCTTCCAAAAATAATGTCTGTGATTTATACAGCTCTTCTCTAATTTAAAAGAAATTTATGGAAATGAGAAACTTATCAAAACTTTATTAAACATCGTTCACAAGATATTATCAAAACACTTTATTATTACTCTGGTCACAGGACTCAAACATCATTCAGCACAATGCTATGCCTAAGGGAAAACCAGTGAAAAATTAATGTCCACAAAAGAGAAACCATTGATGGGCTGCCTAAATGACAAAGGTAATGAATTACATGTTACTGTCAAGCATTATAGACAACTTACACTTGTTTGAGGAATGGTTGGCGTTTATTGATGGCCATCTTGATACCATCAAACTTGGATGAGTAGAGCATGGTATGAGATGAGTTCCCATCCTGGGCATGGAGCTGACTTGACTTCATCGGTCGATTGTTCTTCGTCTGTACGGATGAGTAAATTCACAAATCAATGACTACATTTACCAATCTGTCACAAGACAATATATTGCCTCTATGTATCCCTGAGAATATAGAGTACCGAAGCTGTGACATCATACAAATCTATTTTTAGAATTTCCCAATTTGAACTTCATCTTCCGAAAGAGCATCAAAAAATATGTCCAAATGCTGAAAACCAATTAAATATGTGAAGCATTGGCTGAGATATGACCATCCAAATAAATAGAGTTCAATAGGAATCACTGTTATTTTGCTCTGGTTGATAACATTTGGACTTTAAATGACTTCAGTTCACATTTTCAGAAACAAGAGTACTAATCATGGATGATCAGCCGAAAGATGGTTTGTTTTGCATCATCATGAAATGTGGCTCAGTTATGGCAAAATCCTGATGGTAGAACAGTGGTCTTGAAACCGGGAGGTCCCGGGTTCAAAACCAAGTCAATTCGCTTATTGCGCTTGTGACATTTGGTAAGGCATTTATCCTCATTACCTATTCCCTCAGAGAGGACTTAAAGCCGTAGGTCCCCTGGTTGTTTACTCATTAGCATATATATGCTTCCTTATTCTAAGGGCGTGAAAATAAAAGAAGCTTGCTTGAAGCAGACCTGCCAACCTCTGCAGTTCAAAAACTGTATTCTTTAGTCCCAAAAGTTGTATTTTACTGACAAAAGTTGTATTCTTGAAAATAAACACGGATTGTTATGCAGATCAATGCCTCTTACAGTTTCTACCTACAGGAAGAATTTTTTTTTATTGATCATTGGTTGAATATGCATGATTTCGTCATGACTGGTGTGTTCGATGAACCAATGAACATCCCCAAATTGCCGATGTGAGATGCTTGTAGGATACTTTACAGGACAGAATGGACATTTTGCCATTGAAAATAGCGGACGCACACACAAAATATTAATTTAAAAATTAAAAAAAAAAAAAAAAAAAAAAAATTGTTTTTTTTTGTTGAAAATCATATTTTATTAAGGAAAATCGTACTATCGTATTTGCTTCTAAAAATCGTACTAAATACGACTAAATCGTACTGGTTGGAAGGTCTGTTGAAGTCATCCCACATGCACAAGCAAGGATGAACTCTACCTCTAAACAAAATACTAGAAAAGAAATTGGGTTTTACTCACACTCACCCTGTAGATCCCCTTAGACTTCTTCTGCTTCTTGGGGTTTGTGTCGTAGAGGATCTTGCCCTCTTCCCGTGGGATGATAACGCTCTCGTAGCGGTTGCAGCACTGCTTGGGCGAGCGGAAGGTCCGGCTGCAGGCGTTGACGATGTCGCTCACCAGGTCCCAGTTGATGATGTGGCCTGGGACCAGAGGCTGCAGGGTCAGGGGAAGCTCCAGCAGGGTCTGTACCGCCTGCAGGATGAACAATGAAACAAAGATATTACTTTATATTCTTATTCTTATAGAAGCTTTCCCTTCACTTCCCTTCCCTTCATTAATATAATCTTCATGAAAAGACTGAAAGAAATAACATAATTAGATGACTGAAAGGCTAAATAGCACTCAGGAGGCTACAGAGAATAACAGAATGAACATAAGTTTCATCATTCTTGAACATTTCTTTTCAAAAATACTTTCCAATGTTAACGAGAGGAAGTATGTTGAGCATATCTCACTCTTCTTATGTTACTCTATCCACCTTTACTTCTTACTCTTTCTTACAGCGCATAGAGACAAATTGTGATATTCGCTATGTAAGTACAGTATATTATTATTATTATGTTCACAGTAAAAGCAGTGTCCCAAGTCTGGTGCCAGACAACGTATAAGACATTTGTCTGAGGATATAGACCAGGAGTTTGATTTCCGAGGCTGTAAGCACCATGCACACTATTGATAAGCAGAACAGGCGACTCTAGTCTGAAAGCCTCAGATCAACATTTGGTTGACTTACAACAAAGACATTCTCAAAACCTGTGATAAATTATCTAATATACTAAAGTCTTAGATGCGGTTTGTAATGTTAAGGGGCTCGGCGATTTAAAGGAGCTGATGAGCGGAACAGATTTAGTCTGACCAAACCTACCTGAAGCAATGCCCAGTCCTCATTGATGAGCCATTCCAACTTGTCCAGTGAAGTGGTCTCGATGGTCGCAGGTCGATGGACAACAGGCATGGGCTTGACCACCGGCTTACCGGCCAGAGCACGCATCTTCTGCTGCTTGGCCTCGCGTCGCATCCTGATGAGGGCCGCCGAGGGTCGGTTGAAGAGCGACTGAGGAGGCGCAGGCAGCATTGGAGTCTGCTGCACGGTCTCTGACTTCTGGTGGTGATGGTGGTGGTGATGGTGACCGTGACTCTTGATCTTACGAGCAGGTACAACTGTAGGACAGGGTAAAGACATAGGTATCTCTTGGTGATTCATCTCTTTATATCCAACATATTATTATTCACAATGTTTATGAACTTTTGTTTTGGACCACATTTCATCATACCAATGGTTTAACCATAATCCATATAAATTAAACAGGCTAGGAAAGAATAATAATTGTAAGACTTACCTTTCAAAAAGTTGCAATTAACACTTGATGCATAAAGACCATGCATAACAAAAGATGGGAGGCATATAACAATTGATTTTTTTTTAATTTCACATGCATCTAAAATTTTGATATAAATGTGGATTTAAACATAACTTGACCATTTTGTCACAGCGGTTTTCAAGTAAATAAACAGTATACATAGAGTATGATAAAATACTTCTTTTTTTTTTCAACTGTGGAACTGTTTACACTCAATAAAATTCAAGAAATGTGATTGGTGATATTTACCTGCACCTTGCTCCACTTTAATCTTCTTGGTTTCCTTCTTATGGAAGACGGAAGGAAGCTGAGATTCAGTCATGATGGACGGTTCATAGCCCAAGCACATCACATGGTCAATATATACATCATTGTCATCTTGTGGTGGAGTGGGAGGAGCCCAGATCTGAGAATTGGAAGGAATGTAAACAATCGTTACAGATCCAATTATTATTGAATTATCTAAGTCATGATGAATGGCTCATGGCCCTAACTCATCACATGGTCAATGTATACATCATTATCATCTTGTGGAGTGAAAGGAGCCCAGAGGGGCGTTTCACAAAACTTGTCATCAGTGACAAATGACAGATTTTGTTATAAGCTAGTTAAATCCTTGCTTCTGATTGGTTATCAGCAGATTCGTCACTGATTTTTGTCAAGAACGACTTTGTGAAACGGGTCCCAGATCTTAAAATTTGGGGAAATATGATTAGTACTCTTTTCTATTTCCACAAAGACGCATTGAAGGAACGTCAGAGAGGTATAGAATTATACAAATTGGTGGCAACTTCTACCCTTATACCATTTCTTCACGAAGGAACTGTATGCATGCCCCTAAAAGGAGATACACATTGTATATCTGAAACTGAAAGACAATTTCTATTGAGTGAAATTGTTTACATAGTGTCCAGACTCCAGAGTGTCCACTATTTACAGGTATTAATAAACAATGTTGCTATCATACTGCAAGTCATCAAAGATATCATTACAAATACAGTAAAATTTTATGCACATTATCTAAAGAACATATAGAAATCAACAACTCACCGGCATTATTTCCTCTTTCTGCGAGATGTAAACCTGATGATAAAAAGAAGAAAAGAATTTATTCAATATTGTTTCAATATCATAAGAAATGGAAAAGAGCTGTGTAATTCAATCATGAATCATGAGAATTTAAATTAATAATGTTGTCATCTCCTAAAGGGATTTATCATGAGTTGTACTTGATTTTTTTAACCTTATCAAAGCTGTGTGGCTGATCACTAGGGTAGTCACTAAGGTGAGGTGAGTTGGCTCAGTCGGTAAAGCGTCCGTCTGTCGAACCAAAGATCAAGGGTTCGAATCCCACCCAGGCGGATGACTGAAGCCTGCGTTGTGTTAACGTATCCCTCTCCTTGTTTCATAGACACAGGCTATGTTAAGTGGAAAACACTCAGTACTTTGGATAGGACGTTAAATAGAGGCTCTGTGTAGTGGTCCACCTGCACATCCCAGTATATACATCTGCAAGAATGTTCAGCATTGAAGGAGGCAGATTATCCATAAGAAGAAGTCACATCAGCTTTTATACTGCTCTTCCAGAGGGCCTTGCAATTATTGCCCAATCATTCATTGCCATGTATCCATTTAATATACCAGGGTCGAAAGGGAAAAATGTAAATGCAGGTAAAACACCGTGTCCAAGGATGCAAGAACAGAGTGAGGATCAAACCCACGCCCTTTTTGTATGAGAGTAAAGAGCCTTCACCAATATACCATAGTACTCCTTCTTTGGAACCAATAAGCCCTGCTTTACTCTTTTGAAATAAACACCATAAACCCAGGTAAAAAATCCTGCATCTTTTCCACAGGTAATAGTCATCATTAGATTGAAAATCTGAAGAAGCCCACCATTAATCAGTTCTTAAAGGGATTGGGTATCTTTGCCTCAGATTCTAAACAAAATCATGGATTTAGCTCATGCTAGAACTTATACACGCATTTCAATGGGATGCTGGTGAACCTGTACATATGATGGTTTCGTTCAAACACTGCCCTGGTAACTATTTTTTTTTCCCCATATGCCTTGGCCATACTACAACTCTTGTTCCGGCAAAAATTTCTCTGCAGTCAATTTTCTACACCAACTGAATTCCTAATTTCAACCCTGGACCATACACTAAACTGAACCCCAACTCTGAACCTCGAACCCAATTGCAACTCCAACCCTAACCCTGTATCTGTGACAAAATAAAGCCCAGAGGAAATATTACTTGAGCAAAAGGCTAATCATTGCAAGATTGGGTGCAGCCTATCCAACTACAATTGGAGTCATTATACTACTGCCTCAAGTTACCGCAGACTTACTTGTCTTGCCTTTGCTAGCAGGGGTTACAAATCTCCAGGTATTGTAAGACTTTTCTGGAAATAGCTGGATCATGCTTTAAGTCTTAATATTTTCCCAGAACAGTTCTGGTAATTGTAGAACCTTCCCAAACCTAATGTGAAATAAATTTAGGTATTTTTCCATCGGTCATTGAACATTTTGATTATTTTATAAGCCATGACATGTGTAGGTTTATCAAGCTACATATGGTAAAAGAGGACTCGCAGCATGTGAGGAAAAAAAAGATTGAGAAATGGAACCAATATATTTTAACAAATTACTTTATTTCCTAATATATAGAAGAAAAAAAGGTGTTACCAAAATGATTGAAAAGATAAACATCCCTTTTGTAAAGAAAGGAGCTCAGAAGATTTGGCTCTGCTTTCTTGTCAGGGAATTTAATTTTTGTTTAAGTCGCTATGAAGAGCTCTCATTTTAAGAGGTTCCTGATATAATAAGTAGTTCTGCTCTTTGTATTCTATTGTTTTTTTTAAATCTGATTATAAAGAGATTCTCAGAATAACAAGGGAATTTGAATGGTCCCAAGGACATTGTCTAACAAGTTTCTACTGCATGTATAAAAAGAAAGGGGCCCCCAACAACTATTATACATCAAACCACTTTGGGCCAGGGATTACACCAATTATTTGTGTAACAAAATGTTGTATACCCAATTCCCTTGTAATATTTTTGTTGAATTGTTCATAGGACTCTTATTTGGTTGTAAATCTGTGATTATGTTAAATCAGAAGACTATGTCCTCATTATGGAAATGGGTATGTTTTTGGTACTTCAAACTTGGCACCTATCATGAGAATTCACGATCTCCATAAATCAAACCGAATCCATGTTACATCTAATTCTATACTTAATTTGGGGGCACCCCTCTCCTTCACAACATGTCTAGGGTACCCTTTATTTAGGTGTAAATTGTTTAAGTTGGACTTAACTATGGCAGGCTGTTCATGACACTGTTTTCTCTCACCATTATGATCTTTAGATAGTATTGTTTCTTTCATTAATTATCAAAAAATGGAAATTCTGTAGATTTGTGACAATGATTTATATGTCCCTTGAGAGACCAGCGCCAGTAAATGGTGAGAGCAAACAGTGGCATAAACGGCCTGCCATAGTCAAGTCCCACTTAAAGTCTATCTTAGTCTTTGTGAAACACTCCCCAGTTGTGTTTTCTCAAACAAATTTAAGAGTAGATTATATTTTCCATTGGTTCCCAATAATTAAAAAAATGGGATAGATGATTCAACCAACCAAATTCTCTTTAAAAAGCGAGATTTTCCCTTCTCTTTATCCCCCATGATGTGAAATTGTCCTTTCCTAACGTGATGTGTACAAAAGGGTCAGCAAATGATTGATGCCTTTCGGAAAGAAATTTCAAAATGAGTGGACTTGTTGATGTTTAAGATTTGTCATTAGCTAGACAAAATGTCAATTGTTCCAAATTGTTCAAGAAACCTGGAAGAAATTAAGTGCTTAATATTTTCTTTTTTCTCTTTTGGTCTCTGTCGCTGCTTCAGATTTCTGATCAAAATCTGATCAGATATAAGGCAACACTGTGTGACTCGTCTTTTGAAGTCTTCTCTGATTTGCTCTGTACTGAATATTAAATAAAATTCCATTTTCTTAGTTACCAAGGAATAGATTGGTTTCATACAGGGGTTGTGAAAAACAATATTTGCAATGATTATGCGGAAGGTGCATGTATTTCATGAAAGAAAATGGAATTCATTTTTTAAATATTTTTATGAGCAAATGGGAGGACCTTGCAAGATTCATCACCAAGTTATGATTTTGTAGTTGATCAATTCGTCCTTGTTTTCACGAAGTGACGGTAGTGAGGAAAATCGTAACGCAAAGTGAATGCAATTTTTTTTCACTACCGTCACTTCGTGAAAACAGCGACGAATTGCAACTTCAAAATTGATGGCTTTCTTATGTTTCATCAGATTTTGCTCAAACTTTCAGATTGGTTTCTATAATTTTTTCCTTCTTCCATTTAAACCAAATTAATATCCAGGTGGACTTCCCTCGTAACTGTGAAGATTTTTTCCCCACAGATGATATCTACAGACAAATTTTGACTCCCAAGAAGTATCAATTAGGATAGCTCTTTGCAATCCTCTTGGCAAAAAAGAGGGTTAAACTCACAAGGCAGATTTTAAATAAAATATTGACATATTTGTTTTCTTCCTATTTTGAGGAATGAAAGGCATCAAACAAATAGTAAGACCTACATATATTCCAGAAATTAATTTCCCACTGATTAAGAAAAATACAGAAGTGTAGACTTGCTCCACATTGTATAATGTTATATCCCTCTTGTATCCACAGGGGCGAGTTTGCATGGCACAGGCTTAGTGTTTTCATTTTCACAAATTCAAAGGACAAAACCAAAAAAAAAATTATTAAAAATTCTAGATATTTTTTAATCCAGTAATTTTCGGTCGATTTCTTTTTCTAAAATTTCAATAAGTCCATGCCATTTTCCACAAACACCCATTATCCCCTGTGGATGCATGGAGATAATTTGAAGTGTGTATGTTTTAAGGGTATATCCATTGGAGCATGTTTGTCCAATATTTTCAATAAGTTTTGTTTGTCTGGAAACCAAGTTGGCGGTGGAATGGACTGAATTCAAAAATGGTTATTAAAGCTGTAAATAACGATATTGCGTGTTATTTTAACTTTCACATGTCAAATGGTATTGAATTTTAAGCATTAGCTTAATTCATTTTTATTTTGCTTGATTTTTTATCTTCCCTTTCTTGTTCTTAGTCACCAAGCCTGGTATCCAACAAAACACACCACACGCAGACACAAGAAAGACACAACACACCGTAGTAGTTAGATTTTCTTCACTTGTATGTCAACACCAAGTTGTTATTCTGTCACCGAATTTAGATTATCTTCATAATTGTACAAAATTCAACTTGGAAACAAAAATATGCAGTTTACATTTGGTAACAAATAATATCACAAATAAGCAAATTGTTCAAATATCAATAAGCAATAGACATCACAGGCTTCTGATATGGACAAAATAGAAGTCGTCAATGCAAGCTAACAATGCTACCTACGAGTAGAGAAAATATATCTTTGCCATATCTATGTATTGTCAATACAGTACTTTCATATGCAGGGAGAAGTAGAAGCAGAAGCAAGGCCCCTATGTTCCATGTACAAAGCTAGTTGTCTTGCAATTAATATTTCACACACTTTGTGATATTTCTCTGTTAACTATTCAGGTGGATTTAAAGCTATCCAAGCTTGAACCTTGCAATTCAAAAATACATTCCAACAAAATTAGTACAAGTCTAAATGAAATAATTCATACAATCTGTAGAGTGTGATAGCATCTATACATTCTTTGGGTGTTTCGCTTCAAAAAACCACCCCAAAAAAGTCTCTGAGAAAACTGAACAATGATTGTGTTCACCAAATGTGCATTGGCGTTGGAGCTCATCTGAATGCAGCTCAACTTGGCACTTTGAGCAGCTAGTACAACAAATCTTAACTTATCAGAATTGAAATTAGAGAGAAAAGTCTTAAACTTGGTTTAGCAGAATTACAAGAAAAGAACAAAACAAAACAAATAGTTATTTTACTAAGATCTGTAGATGAAGTTTCTCCATCCCCCACATTCTTCTTGCTATCCTATGACGTTATTGAGGCAAATTGTACTATTGTAGAGATAAAATTGAATTGTTTTACAGGCTGCATAAAATACATTGATGAATACATTCTCAATATTCTCAATATCAATAAAAACAGAGATAAGCAAGATGTTTCTAACATTCTCTCCAGATCTCGATTGATATATTTGCGATTTGGACCTTATATCCGTCAAGAACCTTTCTTTGGAATGTTCACTTCGCCAAGCCACAAAATCATTTTGCCACATACATCCCACCTCACAAGCCTATACACGAGTATGCAAACCTCTTCAGAGAAAATACACATATTTAGGGTTAGGGATTTAGGATCATAATTACATAATTATTACTGACTCATTGTATGCAAAATCTGGATTGTCTTGAGCCAGATCAACCACGACATGTACTATGAAATAAAAAATTTCCCCATAGGTACTTAATATTCTTCTCAGATGTTATCTAGACAGGCCCATTGTTTTTTAATACACATTTACTTATCAGCCATGTAAAAAACAGAGGTTGTTCATGCAAACTAACCCTGTGAATTATATAAATGCTGGAATTTGCTAATTCCCCATTTGCTTTTTAGGTCTCCCTGACATTTAAACTGCATATAATTCTATATGAACATGGATTGAAGGAACAAGAAAGACACAAGCAAAAACCATGCTGATATTAATGAATGTTCTAAAAGAGTCAGGTTCAGTGTTAAGTAGCTCATTGCCTTTCTCTAGGTAATGTGACTCAAACTACCAACCAGCGGTAAGAATCATCAATGTGATTACAATGAGATGTGCACAGATACAACCGAACAGAATCATGTATCAAATAACATCTTTGAGAAAGATGACATGTTACACCACTTGTAAAGCCAGAGCAAAACTCTGTTCACAAAATCATTGTGCCTTATTAATACTAGCTAGTTAGAATCGCAATATATACTATGAAAGGAAGGAGTTAGTTCATGCATTGATGAATGCTGGATATTGCAAGCTCTCTTTGCCTGAACGAGTATAATATTATGAGCTATCATATATAACGACAAAGAGGCTGATGAAGAGCTATAGATTTGGTGCTGGAACAAGGCATTGCATCTATTTGATGTCATTGTAATTGCAAAGCCTGCAATACAAGATGCAGCCATAAAGCTCCCAATGCCATCCTGTGACAGGTCGCCTTCATCACAATGACACATGATGAGGGAGCTGTGCAGATTGTACACCACCATCTCATGATGTACTCATTACTTTGATCCCATCACATTCGAAAAATTGCCTTCGGACATTTGCCTGACATACCATGTCTCACTGCAAAGAATGGGGCTGTGTTGCAGAAAGGCGAGAATCCTAGCCACAAAGGATGGCACACAACTGCAAAGCCAAGCAGCAACACCAGGTACCTCAACAGATAACATTAACTTTGGAGGAGTATCAACTGACATCTGAAGAGCGCAGTGTTCGCTTCATACTTGACTGGGCACCTGAATCAGAGTTGGCCGGTCTAGGAGAGCGCTTTGCTCCGATTACCGAAGAAGGTTCAGGAGTCTTCTTGGCAGCGACCCTTCCGCCAGACCTTGGACTGGCTCGCAAGGGTGTGGTGAAAACACTCCCCACGTTGGGCGAGGGCGAGGGCTTAACCCGAGACCTGGTCCGGACGGTATCACCGGTGTTCCGAGACCTGGTTCTAGCTGCTGGGGTGTCAATGTCAAGATTCAGGGGTTTCTCGCCAGGAAGAGTCAGGTTCAAGATCTCCCGTACTCTCCGTGTAGGCTTAGGAGGCAATGATAACTCGATACTTTCCTCTTCGCCGTCTTCATTGTAGTCTACTTTACTTGATGATTCATCCTCTGAACCTTCCACAGAAGTTGTACTCTCACCATGATTACCTCCATCCTCATTATCTCTATTAATCTTACTCAGGTCTAATATTGGTATCCTTACAAAAACTCTATTTAGCATACTAATTTCACTCGTACTACCCTGTTCTTTATCCTTATTATCAAGTTTTTCACCCTTGTCACTTTGTTCTTTGGCCTGTTCACCCTCTGATCCCGATATATTCTCAATAGGCTTTTTGACAGTCTCATCATCATCATGCTTGTTTTCAACAACCACGTCCTTGACCGCCTGTGCAGTGTCCACTTCCATCACATCTTCATCAGGATGGCCACAATGCTTGTCATCATTCATTCCCACATTACTCACTAAGGTATCTTCTATGGCTTGCTTACTGGAATTATCTTTGGTATCAATGACAGGTTTGGCCGCGGGGCTACTACTATCTATTCGAATATAAGGGCTAGAGACGACTATTTCAGGCATTTTCTCCACAACTTGTGGTAGTTCCGCCTTTTCTACATTAACAAGCGACTCTGCAGAAAGGACAGGCATTGGTTTTTCCTCTTCGACAGGTTCAACTTCTTTCAAAGAATCAGTTGCCTGCTCAGTCTTATTACTGGATTCCATTAGCACATCTGGAGCTTCACTAGTTGACGCATCATCCAGTTTCTCTACATCAGTATGTTCCACTTCTTCAACCACATTCTGAGTTGCTAAATCTTGATTAGGATGAGATGCACTATCAGGAATTTCATTTTCTGTGTGCAAGGTTTGGTCCACATTAGAGTCTGTCTGGATTTCTTCTTCAACCACTGGCATTACCTCCTTTTCTTTCATGTCACTTTCAGCTGTTATCAGTGCATCATCTACAACTACTTCCATTTCAGCATCCTGTGTGTTTTCAATCTCACGATCCAAAATAGCACTAGCATCGAGAGGACCAACGTCTTTTGATTCAACTAAAGGTGCTGTTGTGGGACTTATCGACTTGATGTTGGATGTATCTTGGTCCATTACATTCTCACTCTTGGATGCCTCAGACTCATCAGCCATTTCAGTAGAGTCTGAAATCATTTCTGGTACTTCACTTGCCTTGGGGGTAATGCCAGAGGTTTGTGGAGTCCTTTCCGGCTCTACCACATTTGCAATATCATTTTCATTCTGCTTTCCATCTTTGTCTTCTTGTACGATTCTTACAGGCACTTCCTCTATAGCAGCTGCAGGTTGTAGACCTTGTGATATGTCTACACTGATAACATCTGGTGTCGATTCTTTGTCTTCTGGTACAATTCTTACAGGCACTTCCTCTGTGGCAGCTGCGGGTTGTGGACCTGGTGATTTGTCTGGTGTTGTTTCATCTGTTATACATTCATTTACTAAACATTCATTGTCCTTGGGAGAATCTACTAACATTTTTGCTTCATCATTGTTTTCAGTAACTAATTCCTGTTCTCCTACTAGTTCATCAACTGTGCTTGATTCAATTTCATTTGCAGAATCAGTCACCTGATGATGATTAGTGGATGCAGTCTCTGAATTTGATCTCATGTTGCTGGCATTTTCTTCATGAGTCGGTAACGATATCTCTGGTGCATTTTTCTTCTTAAACTTCTTAGCCAAGTCAGCAAAGAGATTTCTGGTATTGATTTTCTCTAGAACATTACCTACAACTGTCCCGCCTTCAGATGCTGGGCGGATGGCATCTTTGATTCTCTCTTTAATTCTCATAGTTGTATCCACAATGTCAAAGATATTGCGAGCCCTTTTCTCTACATCTTTTGATGCTGACTGGTCATGATCCTGTGTATGGTTCATGTTTTCTGTATGCGATTTATCCTGTGATTGCCCTGCTATATGATTATTCTGCTCACTAGATTCTTCAGCTACATCAGTCCTCAAAGACGAATTCTCAACAACAGGTTCGAGGTTTCCACTAACCTTACTTCCCTCTGATACGGAACCGCTTCTTCTATGGCTCCTCCTAGATCTGGTTTTAAGATTGCTAAAAATAGAACCCCTATCAGAGCTACGCAATTTTCCTTTGCTCTCTACTCCCGGATCGGAGCCACTAGACTTCCTTTTCGGTAAAATCCTTTCAGGACTCTTTGCACTATCCGCACTTCTAATCCTTGGCCGACCAACCGGACGAGGCGAGTCTTTAAGAGAGGTGTCTACATGAGGAGTGTCCCTTCTCTTCTCCCTTTCAGCCATTCGAACTGCCCTGTCCCCACCACCCCTTGGGGAGGGCAACCTATCCGACCCACTTCCACTACTAGTTCTACTCCTTGTCCTCCTCGACAAGTCCCCGTCCGTTCCCGATGGCCCACTACTAGCCCTACTACGTACTCTTCTTGACTGCCTTTCGACAGGCGGTGGTGACCCACCTCTACTGCTGGTCCTGCTACCTTCCCTACTCCCACTAGCCCTACGACTCTTTTCTCTACTATCTCTACGAGTCTGCCTGGTTTCCCGGACACCTTTCTCACCAGTCCCCTTGGACTTTTCCTTACGCTTGGGATTCTTTGAACTCTTATGCACCTGATTTTCAGAGTCCTCTCTGGAGTAGGTGTACAGGACATCGTCCTCTTCTAGTTCTGCCTCTCGCTCCTCTAGTTCCTTCAAGCCTTGGAGTCGACCCAGTTCCCATTCCCTCTTGGCAGCTTCCACTTGCTCCTGTAAATGTAAACGACAGAAAACACGATACATAGATTTCAGAAGAGGGAATTGAAACGGCTCTGTAACTAACAGCTCTTTAATTCTGAGAATGGATAGGCATAATACTTCCATTTTAAAACTTTTTTTACAAAGTGTCATTCCACGTTGTGCCCGTAACATCTGGTTTGCCATTTTGTTTATAAAGTATTTAAAATACCCTCTACCCAAGCATAGAACTTAGCATACCACACCGCCCTCAAGACAATTTAGTCTGACAATCTTTTAACTATAATTTTTTTATTCAGAGTTTACATATGAACCGTCATATTCCAAAAATGAATTACATCTCAAAAAGAATCCATTATTTTCAAAGTAGCATGTGGTTCAGATAGATAAACGGTTTCGCATCAAGGTTTATCAGAGACTCTAGTCTGTTGCGTTGTGCTATCATCACAACCAACATGCCATAAATCTGCAAGTCCAGTCGGATGGACACAAGGGGGAAATATCATCAGCTGAGAGGGGTCAGGCATCTGCTGCAGCAATTTTCTACAATGTTATCACATATTACAAAAGAAATTTCCCTTCTCGGATATTCCTGACAGAAATTATCTTACCTCGGCTTCTTTGAGCTGCTCAGCTGTGATTGGCTCAAGGGTGTCCTCTAGATAGACAACAGCATACCGCTCAATGGGAGTCAGCTATGGTAAGAGAGAGAGAGAGAGAGAGAGAGAGAGAGAGAGAGAGAGAGAGATAATGTATGGTTTCATCAGGGATTACAAGAAGGATATCTGGTGTGATAGAAGCAATTTATTCATATATTTCACTAATCCTTACGGTTCATAAAGTAGCATGTGGTTCAGATAGATAAACGGTTTCGCATCAAGGTTTATCAGAGACTCTAGTCTGTTGCGTTGTGCTATCATCACAACCAACATGCCATAAATCTGCAAGTCCAGTCAGATGGAAAAGAGGGGGAAATACTTTTAGTCGAGAGGGTGACCCCATATCTGCTGCAGCAACATTTGCTACGGGCTTCATTTTGCCAGCGATATACTGTAAGGGATAGGAGATCAATCAAGTTTTAGGAAGGTTAGCGCTAGGTAGTGTTTGTTCCAAGGGTTGAAGTAAGCAAGGGAATTGAACGTGGAGCAAATGTGACCAGAGCATGCAGTACAAAACCACCGAGGCTTGGTCATTACCAAAAGCTTGACAAGACATACCTGATTGTTGAGCTGTGTTAGCTCCTTCTCCAGCTTGGAGGACTCATCGTTGCCCTTGCCCTCCTCTCCCTCGTAAGGGATGTCCTCATCAAACTCAGCCAGCTCGGCATCCTGCTCTGCGTGTGCCCTGGACGCTGCTTTCACATCAGTGTCGTCCTCTGCACGAGCCAAAGCCTGTAACAGTTCATCATAATCAATAATTAGAAATAATAGCAATTGAAAAGAGTGATGACGACGATGGTGATGATGACAACGACGATGACAATGATGAAAGATTATGATTATGATATTACTGGATGTGATTACATTGCACATATCCGCCAATTAAGGTGCTCAAGAAGATCCAATATTGCTACTAATTTTGTCACCAATAGCAAAGGGAACTCAAAACTACTACTTATCTGTCACAAGGAGATCCCTGGCTCTAGCGAGGCTACTGATTTTGTCACCAGAATAAAATAGATTTTTTTTTCTTCTTTTTTTCCCTGAGATTTCTTCATTACCTTGAAGGAAAAAGAAGCATGTACAATGACCAAGTAAACCTGCAGAATGCTTCATTTCAATGTAACATGTGGTTCAGATAGATAAACGGTTTCGCATCAAGGTTTATCAGAGACTCTAGTCTGTTGCGTTGTGCTATCATCATAACCACCTCTTAACTAATCTTTAAATTTTCAGTACTAGGGATGCTTTGAATCTTTAAAAAGACAAATGTTTTCATCATTCCAATGATAGCCTTCACCTTTTCCAATTCTGTCTGTGAGAGAGGTTTATCTGCCTTGGCCTCTTGCTCTGGTTCCTTGGGTTGCTCAGGTTCCTGGGGCTCTGCTGCTTTGTCCACTTCTATCAGGTCCTCTAGGATTCCAGCACTCTTAGACACGTCAAAGATATCCTTGATGGTATGCTGAAAAGAGAAAGATAGTACCATGGTTACCAACTGCTCCATTTTTCTACAAAATTTATCTTGCATGTCCAAAATGGTAAAAGAACTAAACTGCGCCTATATTGTAGAGACACATCAAAGGTATATTGGATGATATGCCGAAAAGAAAAAGATGCCATTACCAACTGCTGCATTTTTCTAATAAAATATATATTGCTGGTCTAACATGGTAAAAGAACTGAACTGTAACTACATTGTAGGAGTACACTTCCCTACAGAGCCATTGTATCTTTGTCTCTTCAAAACATGGGTTGGAAAGTAAATTGATATCGTTTCAGAAAGATCAGGAGGGCAATATGACCCTGCTCTGTCCATTCGAATACTATTTTTCTTTCTTGGAATATACCTTCTTGAAGAAAGCGGTGGTGAAGTTTCCTCCTTCGATGGAGACATCGATGAGCAGCCTCTTCTGGTTGGATTTCTTCAGGATGTTCTCTTCGATAGACATCTCACTGATCAATCTGTTTAAAGACATAATTAAAGACAAAATGTACCTTACCAAACATTTTTCTTTTTTTAATTAAACCAAAGTGATATGCTTTTCTAGATCGAATAACTGGTATAAATAAGTTGCATGTATAACATTGGCAAGAGTGGTTCAGATATAATAAACGGTTTCGCATCAGGGTTATCAGAGACTCTAGTCTGTTGCGTTGTGCTATCATCATAACCATAATGCCTCTGCCAGAGTCACATTGTTCTCATGCAGCTGACCTATCTACAAAGCAAATTGCTCATAAACTATGGTATGTGAACATACATGTGATTGACATATCTACTCCCCTTGCTTGTGGTCGTACCTCAGGTGACCCGACATTTGCTTTGGTGAAAATCTCTTTGGGCTTTCTTTTTGTTGGATAAGGCTCGAAATTTCATTTCATGTAAGGTTTAGAGATTGCTATATGTTTGGTATTTATCAAGTTCAATGCATCACAGCCAAAAGGCTGAAATAAGAATGTTTACATTGTCTTAAATATATATTTCACATGAGTTCATACAAAATGTGAATTACATTGAAAAGACCAGGGTTGAATTTAGAAATTCAGTTAGTGTAGGTTATTGAACATTAAGTAGTGGTCACCAGTTGATGCATAATAGTAGAAGACCTGAAGCAGTACAGACAGACCAATCAATCAGGGACCTGTTTCACAAAGCCTTTTTTCAATGACAAATATCAGTGACAAATCTGCTGATAACCAATCAGAAGCAAGGATTTCAGTAGCTTATAACAACTGTCATTTGTCACTGATGAGAAGTTTTGTGAAACACCCCCCAGATTGAGTCAAAGAGTGTTCACACTGACCTGTATATATGTACGTCCCTGGTCTGACCGATGCGGTGACACCTGTCCTGAGCCTGAGCATCCATGGTCGGATTCCAATCACTGTCGTAGAAGATGACCGCGTTAGCACCGGTCAGGTTAACACCCATACCACCACTACGCGTCGACAGGATGAAGCAGAAGATACGAGGGTCCTTGTTGAATCTCTCCATCATAATCTGAAATCATGAGGAAGAACGAGTACTGGAGTTTAGTCTATGCAAATGTTATGTAATTGAGGCACAACTGAACTTTTAGATTAACAGGGATGCCCACGCTGATGAGGCATGCGCTTTTTACTTTTATGCTTTAAGAGTTGGCACAAAGCTGCACACGCCTGCCTCATCACACTTGCTTTTTGTTTATATAATAACATACACCTACAACCAAATATGTATTCCCCACTTCATCCCAAGGCAAACCCCTTGAATTATATCTCACACTGACTCTATACAGTGAATCTCCATCACCAAGTATACAGATATTTACATTCTGATCTACAAAATCAGAGAATGTAAGATGACATTTCCCATTAAATATTGAAAGTTACATGTTAAACTTGAAAAGTGAAGCAAAGCAGAGCTTTTTCCCTTCCAAATGAAATATATCATAAAAGTACTGGCCCCGTCTTACAAAGAGTAGATATCAATCGCAAACTTGCGATTGATTGGAGGATTTGCGATTGATTTGGATCAATCTCAATACTTTGTGAGACGGGCCCCAGGTATGCTGTATTTACGTCAGCAGTGTCACATTCCACAATGAAATGACTGGCTTCTAATCTCACCTGTCTCTGCTCCACTTTAGTTGTACCATCCAGCCTGAGGTAGATATGACCATGGAAGTTGAGGAATCGTTCTAGGATGTCCAGCATCTTGGTCATCTGAGTGAAGATGAGTACCCTGGAGCCCTCCGTCTTCAGCTTCCTCAGTAACCCATCCATAGTCTGCAGTTTACCTGTACCAAATATATCATGACCAAAGCTTCACCATTTGTTGCTTACCTGCACAAACCATAGCAATCTATATACAGAGTTTGGCCAACTTGGTTTCACTGGCTCACAACATGGCATATATTCTTTTGTTTTGTGCTTGCCCAACAAAGCAGTAGTCGCCTTACTGTGTATTCTCAATGAATGCTACTAAGCATCTTAGGGTTAAATATGACAAGGCATCTTTAGGCATAATATAACAGTTAAATGTGGTTTGATATTCTCACAAAGTATAATATACAGTATATAACAAAATTCATAACCAATATGACTAAGGCAATAACGGACAAGTAGCATGTGGTTCAGATAGAATAAACGGTTTCGCATCAAGGTTATCAGAGACTCTAGTCTGTTGCGTTGTGCTATCATCACAACCAAACATGCCATAAATCTGGACAAGAGGGGGAAATATCTGCTGTACTTACCACAATCATATTGAATGAGTCTGAGTTCTGGCATGTCCAGTCTCATGAGATTCTCTATAGGATGTAGACACCATGACTTGGGCTTGAGTTCAGATGACAGTGTGTTGATCAGGGTTCGTTCGCTGTTGAGCACTGAAGGCGGAGTATGGGATGTGTGCATGGTAATGAGCGGTGCCGTCACAACTGGAACAACAAAGGTGTACCTGGATTGACACAAAGAAAAAGAAGTTTTAAACAAAAGTTCTTACTCAAAATATCACCTCAAAGATCTCCCTATAGTTCATTATACAAATATCCACTTATAAATATAAATATATTACATGAATTTTAAAACTAATTGCATAACTGTAAATTGAAAGAATATGCTCTTTAATATTTCACAGCCAGGATCAAGTCAGAAGTTTCAAACAGTCCATGTTGGCTATTGCTGCTAAATGTGTCACTCTATCAATATGTAACAAATTAACCAGAAGCACATGACATACTTGTCCTATTTGATAAGCATTAAAATTGAACATCTCCAAGCATCGTCTTCTCGAGAAAAAACATTTGGCACATATTAAGTATTTCTGAAGGAATTACAAGGAATATTCGGGCAAAATTCACTTGTGACCTAAATCTGTTGACTTGTCATTAAATTAAAAATGATAGGGAACATGCATGTATATGGCATTATCACAAATTACAAGAATTATTTTTCACAAATCATTGTCTAAATTTGTTGTCCAGCATACCTTTTGTTAATCTGCTGCAGCTCCTCCAGATAGTCTTCCGGGGTATGGAGGATACTCCTGAGGTTTCTTGTCTTCTTGTATGCCACCTCCACCCTCCTCAATGCATCCCCTATCAGCGCATGATAGCAGTGGACATTACCCACACCGTTGCTGAAGGGTCTCCTCTTACCAGCAGGCTTGGAGGTATGGTAGAGGGACACGGCCGTGAAGAGGTCTTGACCGTACACTGGTTTGGCACTGCAGCGTTGCTGGTTGAAGGTAGCAATGCGGGAGAGACAGGCCTTGCGATCGTCGGCTCTAGCTTTATCTAGGGATTCCTGCATAGATGAGAGACATACAGACTTAAGGTTACAGACCTCTATTGCACCGAATCATTTGGTCATTCCTGGGCCATGTCTTATAAACAGTGTGCCATTGATGTCAATCACAACTATTGATTTGATTTTTATTTGATTTATTGGTTTCAGCATCTTTTTTCTTTTTTTCTTTTTTTCATCATACATTTAATTTCCATGAACATAATATGGTTTGATACAATATTTTAAAAGTATATAATTTTATACAGATGATAAACAAAATTAAACATATTGAATGTATAAATAACATACATTAGATGTAGGAGGGCTACAGAAATAAGCAAAGTAGCTTGACGTGCCCGCAGCCATGAGAGAGATAGGGGACCGCAAACTTGAAATTGATTAGAGTACTTGCGATTGATTTGAATCAATTGCAACTCTTAATAAGACGAGGCCCTGCTGCAGCAAATGATTATATTACCAGTCTACCCTGTTCTTACAATACACTAAATGGATGACAAGTGTTTCCCAGCTTGAGGACCACATGGAGCACAGATACACGTGAACCACGTGAAGCTCCGGCGGCTCGTGTGTGGGAACATAATCTTGGCCAGGACAATTGGAATTCAGTAAATGTGGTTGAACTGAACCAAGTGCCCCGGCCTGAGCTCTGTACATACCTGAGCAACCATGAAACAAAGCTTTGAGTATGGCTAACACACTTGTCATCTTTCATAGAGAAAAATGTAAGCGTTTTATGGTACATGAATACTTTCCTAGATTACAAACTGACTTGGTTAAATATATTATCAAAACCATGTGTGATAACAAGAGGAAGGAAATAGTGTTTCCACTGGGTACATTTGTAGCATCTCTACAAGCATGACTGTAATGTTTCTGGCATAAATAAGGATTACAATGCCATTTACCAGATAAAGCGGTGATGATTTCCTTTTCTTTTCTGCTTTCTTGAACTTCTCAGCTGCTTCTTTCAATTCTTTCGATTCTTTGGACTCCTCTTTTACTGTGGACACTGCAATGAAATAAAAGAAAATAATACCATTTTCTCTATATTCCAAACATCTTCATTCTCCCCAATCATCACCATCATCACTAATGTACTCTGAGAGTAAACATATACATATAATGCTCTTTGACCCAGTTATAGTGAATGGGAGCCAACAGATGCAATATTTTAAATGCCGAGAACACAGTTGTTCACTGCTTTGTTATAGTTGGTTCAATCAAAGCATCTTTTAGAGCCACTTCACAGAAGATAGAAGAAAATTGTATTTCATGTGTCTAGTGTCTGAAATTTTACTTCAAAAGATAGCCCTGTGTTAAATGTTATAACTGCCTATGCTTAACATAATCATGTTATAATTCTGTGTTAGACACATGCATGTGAAACACAGCATTCATGATGACTATGAAAAAGGTGAATATATTGGGAGAATGACATGCATGAAGGCCAAAGATGATGTGCATATGAAAGGAAAGCAAGCAGTGCAAAGGTGAAGATAAATTGGAAACATTGCAGTCGAAAGTAATGGACATCTCACTGATCGATCTGTTCAAAGACATGAAAGAGCAAAATGTACCTTACCAAACATCTTTTTTTAATAAATTAAACCAAAAGTGATATGCCTTTCTGGATCAAATACTTTGGGTCAATAAGGTTGCATTTATTACATAGGCAAGAGTGGTTCAGATAAAATAAACGATTTCGCATCAAGGATTATCAGAGACTCTAGTCTGTTGCGTTGTGCTATCATCATAACCATAATGCCTCTAACACAGTTTGCTCGTTTTTCTGCAGCTGACCTACATGTATTCACACAGCACATAGCTAGAAAGTAATAGCCAATTTGCAGCAATATCGCGACATTTTTGTCACTAAGCTTTTTATGCAGTAACACGGCGATATATTCAGTGACTTGGGTTACAAGCACCATTATTCTCTAAGCAAAGGATTTATTGTATACAAAAAGAGAATTTTAATGTACCATAAAGAGATGAACAGCTCCACATAGTCCCATATATTGGATACCATTTCTACAATAAATGGCTTAGAGTGCAAATAATACTACATAACACAATCTGATATTCAATTCTACATGACAAACAAAATCTGTAGTTATATACTATTAAACCTACTTACAACATCACAGGCATGAATAAATTTAGCTTTATTTCTAAATATTTAATGAGGTTAGTTCTTCTTCAGGGCAAACCAGAGCAAGCATGTTAATAAAGAATGTTAATATTGACCCGCACGCCTGTGTACCTTCAGATGGTTGCAACTTGATAGGTTTAAGTCTTATAACAGGTGTCTTTAGAGGGGTAAGAGGAGAAAAGGGAACAGAGTCCGACAGAGACGGAGAGGAAAGCGAAGAAAGAGAAGGGCTTGTTGGCTCTGCAGGATAATGGAGCAAAAGGCAAAGACATTGACCTGATTAAAAAAGCACTATGCCAACGCACAATCAAAGCAGGAGGACACAATTACAAACAAAATACTTAACAAATCAAATTGGCACTTTTTATTTTAAGTCATTTGGGAAGTTATAGACATTGCATCATAAGAAGATATACCAGAAATGTAAGCCACACAGCATAGCAGGTACAAAAACATTGTCCTCAGAAAGAAAAGGAGATGGATAATATTACAAACAAAGTAATACAGAGGAACATTCAGCAAAGAAAAGTCCTTGCAAGGAAGCAACCCACCATGCCAAGCTTTGTCAATGTGATATTGATCACTGAAATTTCATACAGGTATCTCACCTTTGGGGGACACGGTAGCAATACTAGTCTTCACACATGGACTTGAAGCCCTGACTACTTTTGGAGATGGCGTCGGACTCGCAGCATTGGTCGTCCTGTCAGAGGCCAAAGACACTGCAACAACGGTCTTTGTTGAAGGACTTGACGTCTTAATAGTTCCAGGAGTAGGACTAGACGCATTGACAGTCCTTGCTGCCTGCACAATAGTTACAGATGGACTACTTGGTCTCGACGATGAGCTCGCACATGTTACAGTTTGTGTGGCAGGTGTTGTATGCACGCTTGCTCCTTTAGCATTGATCACAACTTGTTGCGGCTGTTGTTGCTGTTGCAGCACGATTTGTCTCTGCTGTAGCTGAAGAGGAGACTGGGCCGCGGTGACCTTTGAAAGCTGCGAGGCTACGGCCTGAGCCTGGCTAGGGCTCACTCCCTGTGCCGTCAATTGTCTTTGTATCGACTGGTGCAGTTGTTGAGCAGCTTGTAGCTGGGCTGCAGTGTGGGAGAGGACCATCTGAGGGGTGCCCGATCTCTGGACAACCTGGGTTGTAGAGTTAGCTGTCCGCTGAGCATTCACAAGGTTGGCTTGCGTAGTTAGGTGGACCGCGGGCCTGATGATTTGCTGCCCCCCGGATGTTTGAATGATCTGCACAATACCTCCTGTATATGAAAGAACATTAATTAATTCATTAAATATTTCTTAGTTCTGAAACCAATTCACAAGACAAGCGGTATTCACATGAGGACATGCATCAAGGGAATGTAGATATATTTAAAGATTTTAAAAGCCAAAAAATTATTTAAAAAAAAAAAAAATTGTTGGCTGCACAAGAGGCTGTAAGAGTTACAGTTAACAACTAAATTATTTATACCAATGCCCCAGCATCGATGGAGGGAGTAAGGGCAAGAGGAAACAAGAATTAATGAAATTGTTCATCAAAGATGTTGTGTGTTTAGAAGCAGGAATCCTGAGACAAAATAAGAGAGAGTAGGAAATGATGTTTGATACAATTGAATACATGAGAGAAGAAGAAGAGCCCAACTCCATCAAAACATATTATCAATTATTTAGAGGGGGAGGAATTATATTTGTAGAAGGTTAACCGGCTAAAAGATAAAACCTTAATCTTTCCAACACCGTCGTTTTATCCATCATTGTTTCATGAAGAAATGAGCAGTGTTTCACATAGCTAAAAATATTTTTGGGGGTGGCTGTCAACTTAAGAATTATTTGATCGAGTTGGGCCCTTCTTCAATTTATTTTCAATATAAATCAAGTAGCAACACCATATTATGTATCTGAATTAACTACCCCTGAGTCTAATTGACACACAGTCTCAGGGAATTGGAAACAGATTTTTTATTCTATGAGGTTGATAGCACCCAACGAATCATGGTCAGACTGATGGATGCGCTATACCTCATCAAGGGAATGCAGATATATTCAACATTACAAAGATGTAAGATTTTAACAGCAAAATAAGAGAATAAATTGTTGGTAACACTAGAAGGCTGTAAGAGATATAGTTAACTAAATTGAGATTATATTATTTGCTAACCTTGTGGAAGTTGTCGTATTTGCCCTGCCAGTAACCTTTGACCCGTTTGCTGTGTTGAGCTTGATGACCCTGATTGCAGCTGTACTGTGATAGGTTGGGTGGTGATTAGCTGAGCTCGACCATTGGTCCCAACTCCAGACACCTATGGAAAGAAGAGAAAAGTACGACATGAAAAAGCCTGCATTTTTCTCCAACAACCAAAATCTTTCTAACTTCAGGAGGAACAAAAAAATTATACAAAAATAAATAAATGATTCAAACCAGTGATCATAATAAAATTAAATATATTATTACCAACCTTTATATAATCTACACATCCAATGCTAACAAAATGTTATGGGGGCATCATCATGATTGTACACGCTGGCAAATGTTTTGTGGGGTCCCTATTATATTACTTCCTGAGCTGCCCAAACGACACTTGAAATTTTTTTTTGGAGGGTATTGTGTAGGGTATCTCACATCAACTTTTACAATTCCCAAAATTTCCAATACTAATGAAGGTAAAAAAACTATGTTACATTGTAAAGTTTTAATGCATTAGTATCAAAGACATCAGACGGCGTGAATGTAATCAGTTGGAGCTAACTTTGTTTAACTTATCACACAAGGGAACATCTACAAAACATTTCTTGCAACAAGCCATTCTTACACTAAAACATTTCTTACACCCGGCCATTTCTTACCCTTACCTGCTGTTGCTGTAATAGCACCCTGCGTTGACCGAGCTGAGAGCCTACACTCCCACTGACAGTCCCTGTGTAACCAGGCAGCTGCTGCAGAGGTGTACCGCTAGGCACGGGTTGAGGGTTCTGGGACACCAACGTCAGGGTACCCGGTGACCTAGGGTTGCTGATCGCCGTCAATGTGACGGGTGGTGTACCCGGACGCCCCTGGGCCTGAAGGATCTGCGAAGTGCCCACAGCTGTACCTGTTGATAATGACATTGGTAACTTAGTGTTTGTTTCTACTTATCAATTTAAGAAACTGTACACCGACATAAATCACTTTTAACATTCTGTTTATTCATGCAGCCCAAGTTTAGCTTCAAACTAAGTCACGATCAAACTTGAGGATTCATGACTTGTGCATATCGTAATTTTACAGATCTCCCCTCTCTCTCAACGAGGACAGGCAAAGGCTACAACAAAAGCCAACTACCCGCTATTGAAATCTAATAACTGTTGATATATGTTGAAAACTGTTCCTAATTTTTTCTGCACTGTAAATATACAGCAAAATCTACAGAGCATTGATCATCTCTTCTCTATAATGCAATGTAAAAATGGTTTACCTTGAGGCGGTGTTGATGCTCTTGGTTGTAAGCTAACCCCAGAGGCTGACCTTACAAGGACTTGCGTTAGTCCAGGAGGCCCTGGTGTACCCTTGATATTAGGGGATGCTACCCTCACCATTGATGGGGAACCACGCCCATGTATATGGAGTGCAGACGGAGAGGCACGGTCACTCGGGCGGTTCACTAAGGACGGACTTGGTCTTGCTGATTGACATCAAAGACAGAAATGGATTGCATTACATTAATATCAGACATCCAGATAGTGCTAGCAAAACAAGCCAGAACAAAAAATACATACACCAAAACACAACCCAAGCCTCTGATGGAATAAAGCCTAAAGCAAATGATTGACCGCCGTTAAATCTAAATTGTGTCTTATCATTTTTTTTCTTCATACAACTTCAAAAATGTGCCGCAAGAACATTCAGGATTTAACAAGCACTACCAACAAATACAGATTCCAAATGCAATGACCTCCTAAATCTACAAATGTGTTCCATGAATATATTTCCCCAAAAAATGCCTTTATACCTTACAACCCTCGAGTAAGATGGAATAAAAATGTTCATTAGAGCTATTGAAATCTCAAGTTACATTGGTTACATGATAGGATCTCTGGGGTCAGCCCTCTCTTCATTTGCTTGCATTTCTTTAAAAGCCTTGATCAGACAGTACGAATACAATGTGGTTCCTTTCACGTGCTGTTAACACACTGAAGCCAACAAAGGGGGATGCATCATATCAAGGCAAATGTACTGATGTTTGATCAGTTGCAACATCTTAAACATCTACAAAAATGTACCGCAGGAACATTCAGGATTTAACAAGAACTCCCAAAAAATAAATTTTCCAAAGGAAATAACCTCCAACTCTACAAATTTGTTCCATGAATATATTTCCAAACAAACTGCCTTTATACCTTACACCCCTTGAGTAAGATGAAATAAAAATGCTTACCTTCTTTTTGAGCTTGTAGAGCCATAGGTGATGGGTAGAGCTTCCCAGGTTTTACCTTGACCCTTGGTGGTCTTGATGGTGGGGCTGGGGCACTATCAATCTCTTCAATCAGCTTCCTAGGTGTCTGAAGCTGACATGTCCTATGGGCTGCATAGGCTGGCAGCGAGATCTCCAGGTCTGCTATGCACAGGTTCAACGCTCGTAAGCTCACTTGCTGCAAGGCGATGGAGGGAGGGAGAAAGGGCAAGAGGAAATGAGAATTAATGAAGTTGTTCATCACATTATGTGTTTAGAAGCAGGTATCCTTGGACAGAATAGGAATAAGATGAAAGAGTAGGAAATGAGGTTTGATATCATTGAATACATGAGAGCAAGAAGAGCCAAACTCCATCAAAACATAGTTTCAATTATTTAGAGGGAAGGGGGGATAATTTTTTAGTAGGTTAACTGGCTGAAAGATCTTTTAAACACTGTCCTTTGGCAAGACATTGATCTACATTTGCCACTCTCCACCCAGGTGTTGAATGGGTACCGGTAGGAAGGAATTCCTTAAAATGCTGTGAGCGTCAAAATCGGCAGCCTATCATAGCCAGGTAATGTTGGAGCGCCTTGAAGACCTTGCAAGGTCGATACGTGCGTTATATAAGAATCCAATAATACTAATATTATCAATTTCTTCATGAAGATATGAGCAGTGTTTCACTTAGCTAAAAATATTTTTGTGGCTGTCAACTCAAGAACTGTTCTGATGGAGTTGGGCCCTTCTTCAATTTATTATCAATTTAAATCAAGTAGCAACACGTCGTTATGTATCTGAATTAACTACCCCTGAGTCTAATTGACACACAGTCCCAGGGTATTGGAAACAGATCTCTTATTCTATGAGGATGATAGCACCCAACGAATCATGGTCAAGACTGATGGATGCGCTATACCTCAAACACAATATTAATAACTTGAAATCAACACAAAATTGAGCATTCTTCATCACTTCATCTTGAACTAGAATAACTGATCAAACCTAAGGAAGCACCAGCAATCTTGATTGGGAAAATAAATTCAAACTAGTGCACCGGTGGGCGGACATCAAATACTAAATATACATTTCACTCTTATTGGTCATAGCAATAACAATGCTTAGTCCTACCAGGTACAAAATTTGATTTATAAATAGGGAAGCACACTACAAAGCTAGTGGAAGCGGGTACAATGTAGCTGCTGGAAATAAAATGATCTCCTTAATAGTAAATGATAGTGGTAACTTCTTTCTTCAGGGGGGTGTTTCACAAAGATCCCAAGTTGAATTTATCTCTAAGTTGGACTTAACAATTATGGAAAGCTGTTAGCATCTTTGAAAATATTTTGTAAAAGATATTTTAAAAGGCATGAAATGTTGATTTGAATCATTCATATTTTCTATTATCATGGGAGATTCCATGTTCTTGATGGGGAATTTACTAAAAGTCTAAGACACTTGCATTTTTGCTTTCGAATATTTAAGGCTACAAATGGCTCTCCATAATTTTTAAGTCCAAATTTGAGTTAAGTTTGACTTTGTGAAACACCCCCCAGGAATAGTATGAGTAGAGAAAGCAATACCTTTAGAGGGTTGTACTCCATGACTCTGTGGACGAGTGAAGCAGTGTAGTAGAGGAGACCAACCATGATGAAAGGAGAAACGATAGCTCTCTCTTCAAACAGATCTGGATGATTGCAGACTTTACGGAGCTGCATCAGGACATTGATCACGCTCATGAAGTGTCCAGTGCTAAGCGTTTCTTTGGTTCTGAAATAAGAAGGCAAACAAATGAAAAACCATCAATATCAGTCCATCACCTGCGACGACAAACAGTGCCCCTCAAGCAAAAGAGAATGATCAAAGTTTCCATAATGTCATATTGAATATCTACACAAGGCGCATCAACTCCTATACATAACATCTGGGCAATTCCACGGTAACGGAAGGACACTCAGACAAGATTTTTGAACTTCAGGTTCATACTAAAAGAAATGTTTTATTAGTATGTATTAAACTATGGGGAACAAAATGTGTTTCAGTCAAGTGGAAAGCTTCATCAACTTCACAAAGTTTGGATAAACACTAATTAACTGGAAAAACCATGTCCATTTTTATGTCCTTCCGTTACCGAGATAATTAATATGCACATTCTTAAACTACTTAACTATAATGACAATTTTTTGGGGGAGAATTAAAGGCACTTATATAGGTATTATATCTGTACTGTTTCACATCTTATACTAATAAAACAGTTCTTTTAGTATGAACCTGAAGTTCAAAAATCTTGTCTGAGTGTCCTTCCGTTACCGTGGAATTGCCCATTATACCTATTGAGATATTCGCGAAACTGTGAAATTAGAGCCTATCAAAATCTTGGGTAACTTTAGTAACATGACATGTTCTCCAGTGTGAGCCGTCTCTTCATTTGTTTCTATTTCTTTAAAAGCCTTGATCAGACAGTACGAATACAATGTGGTTCCTTTCACGTGCTGTTAGCACACTGAAGCCAACAAAGGGGGGATGCATCATATCAAGGCAAATTTACTGATTTTTGATCAGTTGCAACATCTGAACTCCATAAATGTGGTTAGTATTTTGATTATATAAAAGCAACCAAAACATAAAGTAAGACAAATTTGAACTTAAAGTCTTAGCACATGCATTTGCCTAAAACTTACGTAATACCTCTACTCAAATGAATTTCGCAATTTATAAGCAGGGCTCCACATTCAACTTTCATACCAGGGTCCACAATGAAATTTTCTGGGTCTATATGCATGGGCAACAGGTTAAAACTGTTCAATTTGGAGGTTCCAGAGGTTCAATTTTGGGGTACGATGTGTCCCGAGCAGCTGATAGTGTACAGCCTTCGTACATGCACTAGTTGAAATGTCACAATATTCACAAAGATGGGTACTATTACACCTGTTTTTTGGGGGGACTTACTTTCTCTGAGCCATGAAATCATCATAGAGGAACCTCTGTCTCTTGGAGAGCCTGCAACGGATCACATGCTCATACTTCTGAGGAAGCTGCTTCTCTACCTGACTCTTCAGTCTGCGCAGTAAGAACGGCCTCAACACCTAGACGTCCAGAGAGAGAGAAATGTGAAGCAATTAGCATCAGGTGACAAAATATAATAAAGGAATGTAAATGTGATCCCAGATTTAACATTCCCAGTTTAACCATCGACTATCAAGGACTCCATAAGCCATCTTGTCGTCTGTAGAAAAGTTTACCTTGAGACAAACCACTTTGAAGCCATATTAGAACAAACAGATACTGAATTGTACCATCTAATTCCCGTAAAATTCTTAAAATAACTTTCCTCAAGAGAGAACGTGCTACCTGATACTTTTGTGTAGTGTGCAAGTGCAGATACTTGTATTAGTTTTACAATTATTTTTCATCTCCAGTCTCCATTCATTTGTTTTAATTTCTTTAAAACCCTTGATCAGACAGTACGAATACAATGTGGTTCCTTTCACGTGCTGTTAACACACTGAAGCCAACAAAGGGGGGATGCATCATTAAAGTTGATACTCTAAGCAAATAAATGTCCCTTAATTTGTTACCTACGGCAAGTATATGTTATTTTTAAGTTTTTCAATTACTTAGTATATCACAAAAAAAATTCTGTCTACTCGAAATCCTCAATTGAAATGTCTAAAATATCCGCCTCTCTTTGCATAGAAAATCAGTCACGACGCTGGTCTACTATTTTATGACCTCACGTCCGGGAGAGAGTATATTCACGTACCCGGATGTTCCATAGCAAACATGTGCAGAGTGATACGATTTTCTGCATATTTTTGTTTCAAAGGCTGAAAAGTCTAATAAATCATAATTCTATGTACAATTCTTTACCTTCCCCTAGTACTTCATAGTATTAATATCAATTCCCCCTTTAAAAATTATGACATATTATTACACATGCCAACGATGTGCTATTAGTCGATATTTTCACCATGTAATTTTTGTTTTGGTGTTGAAATCGGCCCAGGCACGGAGTGAACAGTAGCTGTCTACCCATGCACAGTTCATTACCATACACTGCAGCGATCTCCCGATGGTTTCTTCTTCCTTTTTCCCATGTCTTTCGCCTTCCTTGGCCCTGAACATCCTTCATCTACCAATTCTGACACCGGTAGTCAGGAGCAAGTCTTTGTGGGTTGTTTTTCTTAGCTGGCAACGTCACTTTCATTCTCTTGCAATTGCCGATAAACATATAACTAGCGCACGTACGTTCCATCACAAGCAAGCAGCGCCTAGAGCAGCGGCTTGGTCTTACCTCCCGATTCTGCTCGCTCAACGAACGTTCATGCAAGAGCCGCATCACTCGCCAAAATATTATAGAGGAAGCGCGCTTGCAAGATCTCGTTCAAGTATGATATTTTACAACATAAAATGTTTAACTAGTACTGTATCCTTTTTTGAGGCAGTCACACACATCTATGATAAGTACTATCATAGTTCTAGACCTATTCGTTTTACAAAACTGCTCATGTACATCTGATGACAATAATTTATAATGCATCCGCCTATTCATAAGTGCACGATTTAACTTTAATTCCTAAGCAGTAAACTCGTCTTAAATCTCTACCAAATACAGTATTGCTCGAAATAAAGTAGACAGATTACCGCCGGGTCTCGCGGGAATCAATCCAAGATTGAGTCCCGCGGTACTCCCGCGGTAACTCTTCCCTGTGCGGTACACAAATGGCGGTAATTACCACGAAAATGTACCACGAGATTTTCAAGAAAATCTCGTAATGAACCATCACGTACGTCACTCCCTTTGTCATGTATCAAACGGAAAGGATTCGCACGTCGCTTTGCCATAATTGTTTAATCACTTAAACGATGAATGACGCCGGGAGAAATGCTTATATTCCTTATATTTCTGTCGACGGACAAGGTTGTGATCGCGCCGCGCGAAAACGTGGGCTTATAAAAACTAGCTGACCAGTTGATGCTCGCCGGCGGGCGGCGTCTCCAATCGCCTCGATCAGCTCAGTTACTAATGTTGGAGTTGGAGAAGCATAACTGTCCGTAGGTCATAACATGATCGCACTCCTAAATGCTCTATCTTTCATGGTCTCAAACGGCCTTTGTCATTTCTTGATAGCACTGTCCATGAGTTTGCATTGCAAATCATGTTTCTTTATTTTAAAAAAAATATTGATTTGTAAAGATTGCCGATAAGCCAATTCAATTTCTTTTGCATGCCAAAGCACAACGACCTCTCCTAAAATTAGGCTCACTACCCCCCCAAAAAGAAAGAACAAAAATTAGTGCTCATCCCCCTCCCCCCTCCCCCGAAATATCGATCGGCGCGATTGTCATATTTCAACCTCCACTATTGGAAAATCCTGGATCCACCCCTGATTACATCACCAAAGTCAAATCAAGGAACATAAATGAGGCCCTACAAAAATTTGCCACAGACCGCAAACGGCATTTTCACAAACCTTGATTTTTTTTTTAAATACAAAAGCAACACGATCTCGATCAGCCATGTACCTCATGGCCCAAATACAGGTACATGTAGTTGAAGTTTGATATGTACTGCGCGCGCTCAGGAATTCCCCGAATTATAATCTTGGCCATGAGTTATTTTGGAAAACCTCTCTTGATGACAATGTATCTCCATTTTATGACATTCAGTTTGCATGCAAGCAAAATACATTTACTTTTGAGTTGGGAAACTCTTTTATTCGACATAAAACCAGGGAGGTTAGTTCTTTTGTTGCCAAATTTATTGCAAAAGAGTTATTAATAAGATTATTTCAAAGTTATATCACATCTAATATGGGGTTATGAAATTATAATATGGATAAATGTGGCTGTTATTTCAGTGAAAATGACGAGCATGATGTGAGATTTTCAGAAAAGGTGAAAAGGACGGAAGAGAGAGAGAGAGGAGGAGATAAATGTATTACTAAGATAAAGGCGAGGGAGGGGAGACGAGGTGGAGAGAGATGGGGAGGGAGAGAGAAAGAAAGAGGGGTAGGGGGTAGAGAGAGAGAGAGACAGCCATGGGATGTTTACATTCAAACCAGGCGGGTGTTTGGGTTGGGTTTCTTTAAACCTCTCTAATAAAAATAATAAAAGAATACAAATGTTGGTTTCCTCAATAGTGCCGTTAGTCAGGCGCCATGTTCGGTAGAGTTCAGCACTTTTTTACCCGAACTTTAGTTCGGTTCGGGATTGACTAATATAAATAGCAAGACCAAGAATTCGGGATTAAGTAATATATTAGCAAAACTAAGAAAAGATCGCAGATAAATTCACCCTAAACTTGATTTACCTTGCTCGCGTGGCCCATGTCACATTCCACCAGTCTTCAACCAGCAAGTCCCCAGAGAAACAAATTTATCTCTTATCTTCTTGACATAATTAAATCATTTAACAACTCGACTCATATCTCAATCTCTTCTGTGTGACTTGATGACAGAGAAAGTGTATGTTACGCAATGTACGGTCTCTACGTACCCAGGCAGGGAGAAAGTTTTGGTTCCCACGATATGACATGACTTCTTGGAGCCTTGCCAACATAACAGCGTGCGTGATTATGCGCTCATGAATATTGATGAGTACGGACATGCTGAAAAAACTGCTATGCAGAGCTGAAATCATATTTTTTTTTAAATCGATTTCCAAGTGATGTCAAGGGTAAATCATGAGAACGAATGTGTGTAAATATTCAAACATACTAAAAATAAGATAGTTGCGGTGTGAGAAACAAGAGAAAGAAGTAGAAGCATAAAAATAACAACGTCAATGTCTCCTCTTCCCCCATCTACTTCCTCTCTCTATTATCCTTTACTCTTAACGAGTCTCCTCTTCTCCCCATCTATTTCCTCTAGTATCTTTTATTCTTAACGAGTCTCCTCTTCTCCCCATCTATTTCCTCTCTCTAGTTATTCTTCCCCGGGTCTCCTCTTCTCCCCATCTATTTCCCCTCTCTATAGTATCATTTATTCCTACCCAGTCTCTTCTCATCCCGATCTATTTCCTTCTCTCTAGTATCCTTTATTCCTACCCAGTCTCTTCTTCTCTCCATGTATTTCCTCTCTCTTTAGTATCCTTTATTCTTACCCAGTCTCTTCTTCTCTCCATCTATTTCCTTCTATTTAGTATCCTTTATTCCTATCCAGTCTCTTCTTCTCTCCATCTTTTTCCTCTCTCTCTATAGTGTCCTTTATTCATACCCATTCTCCTCTTATAATTGTGATTAAGTTATGATAAAACATTGACAATTCTCGGTTTCGTTTTTTTTTTTCTTCCTGGGAGGCACTGTATAGGCCGATTGCGTATCTTAAATGAGGTGTCATGTCAATCAACACCAAAGTTCTAAAACACCGCGAAGTGTTACGCACCTTTGTTCTGAGAGCGCCGACTCGGGACATAGCGGGGAATGTAATAAATATGTCATTATTTTGCAAGCCGTTGTTGTGACTGGATAACGATACAGAGTAATGCCACGTGGCATGAGAACATCATTGTTCAATTATTAGAGCGTAAGGACCATTTAGATTGGAAATTAACAAAAATTTAGGAAGCATTGGCGGATTCAGGATTTTCCAATAGAGGGGGTGGGGGGGGGGCAACGGGGCCCCTTCCTCCCTGGCAAAAAACACTGACGGCCCCCACCCCTGCCCAAAAAGTTTTAATATAAGATGGTAACCACAAAGTTACTTTTTTTCTCAAGAAGGGGGAGGGAGGGGCTGTTGAGTAAAAACATGATTATATTTGTAGTGCTCACACTACCCCCCCCCTCGAGCAACAAGAAAAAAAATGTTTAAATTTCCGCCCCCCCCCCCCCCCCCACCTCAATTGGAAAACCTGGATCCGCCACTGCTTGCTTTACTATTTTCACCATCTCTCATATATACTCTCTCATTCTACCTTAACGTATCATTTAATCAGTCCTCTGATCTTTCAACAGCCTCCATCTCTCTCTTGCATCCTCTTTCTTCCTCTAATTTTGATCATCTATTTCACCCGCTTTTTCATGCAAAATGTTTCCTTCATTCTTTCCCAATCTTTCTTCTACTCTTTTCACCACCTCTCATATCCGAAATAATCCATAATGGCAAACGATGTTAGTAGGATTTACATCGTAACACAAAGGATAAATTAACGATGTACATGAAGTTTTCTCTCAATTTCCCAATCGATATTTTCTAGGCGTCATGATAAACATACGACATGTCCAAACACATTGCATCCTGTCCTATATGCAATCACTATTAAATCCGTTAATGCCATTAAATTCCATCAAGGGGACCTTTAGAATTGGTTCATAAAAGGTGTATTGTTTCTCTAATCTCCCGGCCAGCGCCCTCGTCATCGGGCTCTTTGAAATAAGGGGACCTTTAGAATTTGTTCATAAAAGATTTCTTGAAGTCCGGTTTCTTTCAGGCTCAGCTCACATTGATGTGTAAGGGGTTCTCTCTCTCTTCAGATGAACTGAACTGAACTGTATTGTTCCCATTCCAATACAATTTACATATACTTACGAACCAAGTCATAATTGTCTGGCGGCCGCCAGATAATTCTATCTTTCCTTATCATGATTATGTTATTTTCCTTCTATCTTCTTCACTTTCTACCTTTCCTTATGGTATTCTTTGTTTTTATCCTTCCACCTTCTTCTCTTTCTATTTTCTGTATGTTACTCTTTGCTTTTATACTTCTATCATTTCCTCTTTCTATTTTCATTTTGAAATTCTTTGTTTTCCTTTCTATCTTCTTTTCTTTCCTGTTATTATTCTTTGTTTCTATCTTTCTATCTTCTCTTTCTATCTCTCATGTTATTCTTTGTTTTATGTCTCTTTCTATCCGCATCATAACGTGAGGAAATATAGCTAGATTATTTGGCGGCCGCCAGATAATTCTATCTTTCCATATGTTATGTTGCTTTATTTCTATCGTCTTATGTTTCTAATGGCTGAGTGCAAATGAAGTATTGCCTGTGTTATCGGGCTACACATGAAGAGAAAATTTTAACTAAATTATCCATTTTCAATGTTTAGGCAAGATTCAAAGCACTAGCTGACATTAGAAGGCGGACGTGGTTTATTTAAAAACGCTCAAGAAAAGCCTGAAATACAGGCGCGGATCCAGGGGAAGGAGCGTGCTTGGCCCCCTCCCCCTGCCCGCCAAAATAAAAGAGAAAGAGAGAATGAGAATAAGGGAAATAAAGAAGAGAGGAAGAAGAAAAGAAAGGGGGAAGGAGATCCTCTATTGTAACTGTTTTTTGTATACAACTCGTGAAATATATTGACCTGTTTCGTTTTGTTTGTTTTAAAATTAATCAAGTTTATTTGTAAACACTAGCATTGGCGGATCCAGCGGGAGGGGGAGGGGGGGGGGGGTTAATATGATGTACATTTCGTTCCCATAATAAGGGAGACGGTTAATCCCATGAATACAAGAAAGAGGGCGGAGGGGAGCCAATAACAAATACCAAATAAATAGCAACAAACGAACAAACAATAAATGAATCAGAAAATCAAACGAAATTGGTGAGATGGCCTCGGACCTCCAATTATCACCTTATTAATCAATCAATAATCTATCTTTCACTCTATATCACCGATTGCGCTCTTATCCCTCCTTTTCTAATATTCCTCTCTTCCTTCCTTTCTTCATTTCCTTTTTTTTTATTTGTCCTTTATACTTTTCTATTATCTTTTGTTGTCTTCTACTATTTCTCCCCGTCTATGTCTCTCTCTACAGTTATTTAGGATGTCTTAAGTCTTATGGGAGGGGGGCGTCTCGGCCTCCTGAATATTAATGTTCGTTTCTTTTTAGGTACCTTTTTCCAGTTTCGGAATTATGGACCCTATTTCATTTTCGGATTATGAACCCTATTGCATTTTTCGGAAATACGAACCTTCGGACAACCACCCCCCCCCCCAGGAACGATAACCCCCGTAGGCTTTAACATCCGAGGACAAATACCCCCCCCCCCCCCCCCGGAACGAATATCCACGGAGGAGAATTAGCTCCCCAAGGACAAATATGCCCCAAGGACAAATATACGCCCCCCCCCCCCGTTCATTGACGGGGAAGTCCACCCTGATGATAATTTGCATTTTTTCGGGGGGGGGGGGGGGGGGTGAAAATCAAAGGGGGTAATTTTCCGAGGGGGAGCCGGAGGGGATAATTGCCTTGGCCGGGGGTGTTCGTCCCATAACCCTTTTATTTATATCAAGTCTCCTCTTCCTCCCATGTAGATTTCCTCTCCCACGAATCCTTTATTCTTATCCAGTTTCTGATTCTTCCCATCTATTTCCTTGTATACTTTATTCCTTTACAGTCGCCTCTTCGTTCCATATATTTCCTATCTCTGATATCATTTAATCTTTAATATCTACATGTATTTCCCTTCCCTTTTATCCTCTATTCTTTGATTCGTCATCTGAAGAGATCACCCTTCATGGATGTTTACAAGTCCCGTCAAACATTGATTGATTAACAAGTAAATGACATAAGGTCACTGTCCTCCACACCTCTACCTAACCCCGTCTTTCTACTTCCCTCTCTGCCCTCTCCCTCTCTCTCCATGAACCTAGGTTCATGCTCTCTCTCTCTCTCTCTCTCTCTCTCTCCCTCCTGCACGTGATTACATTTCCCAGACATGTTTTGACAGTTCTTATCTAAGAAATATGACACGCCCCAGCCAGCTGAAACTGAAAGGGCTTGCATAGTCTGCCAATTCAGACGCCATACCATAAATGACAACTGAAAACGAGCAAATAATTATTTGCTTTTAAAAAATAAAGTTGCAAATTATTATTTAGCCAATGAGAAGAGCTAACTTTTCATCTGAAAATCACCATTTAGAGATAGAACGAGATTGTACGAATCGTTGTTGTAGTGGTTTTAAAAATGGAATTATTGTGTCCGAAACTAGACTTAGCTTTTATACCATTGGTGGTTCCAACAGCGTGTGTAAGGGAATTAATCTTTCGGATAACCATGGATGTCCCTGGGATAACTTTCATCTGATTTTCGGATTTATAGTTAAACATGGATATTCTAAAAGTGGGATCACGTCATAGAATCAGGTAAGTAAGCAATCATTGATCAATCTGTAGCTAAACAAATTGCAGCTGCGTGATTATGCTTAGTTGGGTCGTTTGTATTTTCAAACCAGAATGAGCAAAGCGATGTGGGCCTATGTAGTTATCAAACTTGCGTGCCTCGCGTATCGATGAATGAATTGACCTACATTCATCCCTTTGTTTCATTGTGTTTGGTTACTAGGTTACATGCTGGGGTAGTTTAAGTTTATCAGACCATTATAATGTTCAGTGTATTTGTGGCTGCTTTTACCTCTTGAAATAAAGGCTCTTCGTTATTCAAATATTCAACAATTGTTCTGAAATAATGATGGTATGGTGAAATCCTACCCAAACTCGTTTATTCTCATTATCAATGAACATTTTTTTCAGCTAATTACAAACAATGCCTAGTTGGCTAACAACCATCATGTGCAGTACGTGCGAACTTGTGGAATCAAGTCAGTCAATCGGCAATTTCCATTCATTACAGATCAAAAAGTTGAAATCCCCATACATCTCTCACTCACATTAACACACACATTTTTATTTATGTTTTGAGGATAGACTAAACATACAAGAATCTCGTGTTCTACGAGACTGGGGACTCCCGACTGTGGTACATTACCGCGGGACATTATGGTAGGTGGGAGTACCGCGGTAATCAGTTGGGTGGCGGTACTCAATAAATTACCGTGGTAATTTGCTCCCGCGCGGTACACGGCGGTACGGTGTCTACTTTATTTCGAGCAATACTGTAGGTGAATATGAGGATATAAAAAGAAATCAGCGACTGGAAAATGTTGCTTCGTTATTCTTCATTCAAATGAAAACAGAAAATCCATCAAATATACTCCTTAACAACAACAAATCTAAGCTCTGACAGGATAGCATTTACGTAGGGATATCACTGCCATTCACTCTCACTGAGCCCATGACTCCCGTTCGTGACGTCACGGATAGAGGCCCGACTCTACGTGCACTTCCGGGTTTCAGACTTAGATATTTTGGTAGAGTTTACTCGAATAAATTCATTATTCTAAACTTGTTTTGTCGGGTGGACACCATTTGGTGTTATTATGGGGGTTAAAAGCTTTCTATTTATGTAATTATCTCAGTATTTGGGATTGTCTTAGAGTATCAGCTTTAAACCTTAATATTTTTATCATGAAATCTATTTTAACTATCTTCCAAAGTATCAAATTAAACTTTCTAAGATTCTGAGTGTTGGTATAATAAAGCCCAGATACCAATGGCCATGAATTATGCCATTTCAAATAACAATCAGGGCCCCGTTTCACAAAACCTTTTTCAATGACAAATGACAAAAGTCAGAGACAAATCTGCTGATAACCAATCAGAAGCAAGGATTTCATTTGTCACTGGTAACAAGTTTCGTGAAACGCCCCCAGGCTCATCTTGATGGCTTACCTTGTGCAGCCTGCGGATGATACCCTCGTTGTACTCCTGGGTGCCTTCGATCATGCCTCCCAGGGGGTTGGAGAACCATTCCTTGAACTCTCGGTGGGACTGGAAGACGTGAGGCATCAGGAAATGCATGAGAGACCAAAGCTCCATCAGGTTGTTCTGCAAGGGTGTGCCGGTGAGCAGGAGTCGACGCTGACTGCTGAAGTTGAGCAAGGTCTGCCATCTATTACAGAGAACAAACAAATCAAGGATAAATGCAGGCCACAATCAACATAACACTCCTGCAAAAGCATGATATGGAAAAAATACTTCAACGTGACAATATAAGACCATCAACAAGGAGTCTTGATTGACAAAAATATTTCAGTATTGATTGGTACTGGATACCTCTTTTCCATGAAGGAAGCATAGGCCATAAATCACTGGTGTTTTACCAACATGAGTATTATATGAAATTCTTTCTGTCACATATATGCAATCCTCAAAGACATTTAAACTATTGGTAGAAGGTAGATAACCTGATACTTTCAATAGCTTGACCATGACACATTGAAATTGGCTGTTCAAACCATCACAATATAAATGTTTTGGACCGAAGGCATGTTACTTGCCTTCTCAAAGACATTAAAGCCAACAGGACACTGTAACCGAATAACATTGGCTCACCTTTGAGACTTGAAATTCTTGATGTTTTGGGCCTCATCAAGCACGAGGTACTTCCACTTTTTCCTTCGGAATGACTGGTGGTCCTGAATGACTAACTTGTAGGATGTAATGCAGACATGGAAGGCATTTGATTTGGTCCAACCCTGTTCCAGAATGACAAAATATAAAATAAATGTTGTCTAATTCATAATGATTAGCAGATGCTGCAGAGATATTCACATTCAATGGCTATCTGTAAGTTGTTCAACCTATGGTAGGTACAAACAACATAGTGATAGGAGTTTTGCAATATTCTTTTTGGTACTTATCTTTCAAACATTTTATCATTTTCATTTCTGGATTACTTATCACACAGTCACATGTCACGCTTTCCTGGCCTTTACTTGAAATTAAAGTAATCGTGAGAATGTGGGAATGCTATAAAACCTGAGAATGAGAAGATTCCATTTTTATTTACGAGTTAACAAGCACGGAACAGCTTGACAACCCCTGCCACTCCGATGTTTCATTGCAATTTATCTTTACTTAGAAGGCATGAAAAGCAAGTTAATTAATTCTCTTTGAGAGATTACAAGAAGAACATTTGGGATACTTGACTCACCGTTCTCTTGAGCTTTCTCTCTTTCTGGCTGCCATAGTACGTGAGAATCTTGAAAGCAGGACACCACTTCTTGAGCTCCATCTCCCAGTTGAGCATCACGCTTGTAGGAACAACTATGAGATGTGGTCCCCAACATCCTGCAAAACAACAGATAGTGCATTTGATACAAATGTGAAAAAGGGAGCCTGAATTTCTGGACTCATCAAAAGGAATCATCAGGGCCCGTTGCACAAAACTTACCATCGATGGTAACTACCATGAAAACCTTGATTTTGATTGGTTGTTGAGCCCTGTTACCACGGTAGCTGCCATTGATGGAAAAGTTATCATCATTAACTGGTCAAGTTATAGAAACGAGCATTTAATAGTGTATGTTTATTTATCAATGATTTTGTGAAGATGTAAGCACTAGCACAAAGTGATGATGTTGGGCCCTTCTGCAATTTACTATCAATATAAATCAAGTAGCAACACCACATTATGTATCTGAATTAACTACCCCTGAGTCTAATTGACACACAGTCCCAGGGTATTGGAAACAGATCTTTTATTCTATGAGGATGATAGCACCCAACAAATCATGGTCAGACTGATGGATGCGCTATACCTCAAACACAACATTGCACAACTTGAAATCAAACAAAATTGAGCATTCTTCATCACTTCATCTTGGATTAGAACAATTGATCAAACTTGGTGACACAGCAGCCCTATTGACTAGGGTCAATAATTCAAGACTAGTACACTAGTGGTGGAATGTCTAATACTAAATATACATTTCACTGCTCATGTATGTCTCATCAGTGAAAGAACAGATCAGGGTCCCGTTGCATGAAACTTATTATTTATGGTAACTTCCATGGAATACTTGATTTTGATTGGCTGTTGAGCAATGTTACCATGATAGTTGCCATTAATGTTAAGTTTTATGCAACAGGTCCCTGGATGGTTGCAAATTTGTCAATCACCTTCGAGTTCCTCTCCACAAAAATACTACCATCCCATGGATGGCAATGAGGAAGGGGAAAAAATACCTACCTTCATCACAGGCAAGATGGGCAAGTAATGCAATGGTTTGGATAGTCTTTCCCAATCCCATCTCGTCGGCCAGGATACCATTGAGTTTCTTCTCCAGCATGGTGACCAGCCAGTCCAGTCCTATATGCTGGTATTCACGTAGGGTGTGGCGCAGCAGGAAGGGCACTTTGGTTTTGACCTACGTTTCACAAGGAACAGGTGTAATTTAGAGTGGTTACTATGCAAGGCATGCCTGATTACCGAGCTCATCCGTTACGAGTACAACTAGCTGTAACACAGTAATTCTAAGGGAATTTCGTGATATTGGTTTTATATTTATATTGTAGTTTTTATGTAGAAAGCAGGTTGTGGGACACTACAAATGAGCAATTAAATTTATCAGAAGGGGAAATAGTTAACCAGTACAAATGTAATCCATTCCTATATATATATATATATATATATATATATTTTCTTTTCGTTGCAGTCAAGCTTTGTATTCCCAAAGATGTACTAAAATCCTGAAAGTCCAAACACGATTAGAAAGAACCAGACTTCAAAGATGATGCCAATGACCAATCCTTCCAGTCAGCTGCTAACTACATTGCTTCTTACCTGTGTATCTGAGAGGGTATATCCTGTTGGTTGTAAACTCTGAGCAGCAGCAGCAATGTCAGTGATCTCCATGTTGGGACCAGCTTCTTCGGATGTTCCCTGAAGAAGAGAAGCGACACACATGCAATGAATACACAGATTCCCTTTGGTGGATCTCCCATCATATAGTATATTCCTTGCATTAGGCCAAATGGTACGATTACCTCTTGGATATGAATCATATGATCAATCCAATATCTCTCTCAGGACCAACTGATGTTACTCAATTATATTTTCAATTTTAGTATTGACAACTCTTTGACCCTAAAAGAGCTACATTTGGGGGTCTCCTATCCACCACAATTAGTAAACACTAGTCACGTTAATTATTCCCCCCCCCCCATGTACAATATGATTTTATTGCAAACTGTTCCATCATTGAACAGAAAAATATAGCAACTAGTGGGCTTGTGATATCTACTAGTCGAGAGGAGCCATTGCTTATCAGATTAACTGGTCATTGTGAAATAAATGGTGTGGAATCGTAAGAAAAAGTAAGCACTGTTCACAGAAAAATGTATGTGGGACTACACACCCATGTGGCATAAAAATCATTTTTAAGCCGTTACTTGTCATATTTAGAATATGAAGGCATTTGAAGAGCCATGCTTTTTATGAACATTTTTCTCTCTGATGTTCTTTCACACTTGCATAATAACAATGTGAACACAAATTATTTTTCACCTCTCCCCAGAGCTTGTCCTTCTCTTTAAACTGGCGAAGGGACCACAGTGAGGCCTGACAAATCTGGAAAATCAGAATACTCACCTGTGATGCTTTTGCTGCAAGGTCTTCATTTTCTTTCTCAGGGTTGATGAGATATTCCATTCCCACGTCCTTGAGTTCATCTTTATCCTGATCATCCTCTTCCTCCTCCTCCTCGGTTTCCTCCAACTCTTCTTCTTCAGATGATGAATCTACATGAATTGAAACAACAAAATATATCATTCTCTTCCAGATATTTAATTGATTCCATTTTTTGTTATTACCTGTAAAACAATCACATACGTCATACTTTCCTGGGCCCCGTCTTACAGAGAATTGATATCAATCGCAACCATGTACATAAGAGATAGGAGACTGCAAACTTGCGATTGATTTGGATCAATCGTAACTCTTTGTACAAGGGGGCCCTGGTCTTTACTTGAAATTCTGTTAACCTTGAGAATGTGGGAATGCTATAATTCAAGTTCCGCATTAGAGAGCAAAACCTGAGAATGAGAAGATTCCATTTTGATTTACGAAATGTTGTACGAGTTAACAAGCACGGAACAGCTTGACAACCCCTGCCACTTCGATGTATCATTGCAATTGATCTTTACTGAGAAGGCAAGCTTTAGGAAAACAGTATCCCCCTGCCACCCCCCCCCCCCCCTCCTAAAATATAAAAAAAATACTGACCTTGTGATGAATCTTCTTCATCGTCGTCGTCCTCCTCACTTTCATCTTCATCTGCATCAGAGAAGTCAAAGTCCTCTGCATAAGCTCCTTGATATCGCTTCAAGAGTTCTTCCATCGGGATCTCACCATCTGCAGCTAGATCGTCCAGCTCGGCCTTGTGATCAACCGTGCCTTCCGTTTCTTCTTGCTCGTCAAGGGTCTTCTCATCATCATCTGGGAGGGTGCACAGAAACCTTGATGTTACTTCAAAATTCACATTCTTCCACTACCATATCTTATGCTACGGTCACAAAGGATCGTACCAACGATAATTTTGTACCAATCTCAGTTTTGCCATCGTCTTCCTGAATTTCCATCGTCTGAAAATCGTTCGTACAGCGTTCGTACCAGTTTGTAATGGCTTTTGTGACCAAGGCTTTAGCTCTGTGCCAATGCAGTCAAACCTGTCTATAGCGACCGCCCAAGGGAAACACAGAAAGGGGTCTTCGTAGACAGGTTTGCATTGGCCCTTCTTCAATTTATTATCAGTATAAATTTAGTAGCAACACCACATTATGTATCTGAATTAACTACCCCTGAGTCTAATTGACACACAGTCCCAGGGAATTGGAAACAGATCTTTTATTCTATGAGGATGATAGCACCCAACGAATCATGGTCAGACTGATGGATGCGCTATTCCTCAAACAAAACTAGAACTTGAACAAAATTGAAACAAAACGAGAGTATAAACCTTGAATAAATCTTGAAATCTTGAAATAAACTTACCAACTATTTCTTCTTCATCTGCTGATAATTCAAAGTCCTTGTCATCTTTACTCTCTGAGATCTTGGAGTCAGGTGCAGTCTGTGTGGATAAAAGGATTTTTTTTTTGTTAATATTAAAAACCATTGTCTTGCTTTGCTAATATATAAGTCAACATCAAGAAAAACTATGCATTCTTTCCTTCTCCTTCTATTAATTTCAATCTTGCAATGCAATTTCCAAGCACCTTCTTTAAAAAGACCTAAAAATATCAACTCATTTTAAATCATCACCTTTATATCACTCTATCACTATGGTGCTATAAAACTCTCCAAATAATGCCTTGTCTAGATGCACACTCAACTCTCGGTATATCAGGAGAGAGTGACACATACACATCGGTGACCTCGTTTCACAAAACCTTTTTTCAATGACAAATGACAAATATCAGTGACAAATCTGCTGATAACCAATCAGAAGCAAGGATTCAGTAGCTTATAACAACAACTGTCATTTGTCACTGATGACAAGTTTTGTGAAACACCCTCCTAGTGCTTGAACATTGCATGTAGACTAGACTCACCACTTCTACAAGGGAAGCAGCATCTGGCTGATCCTCTTCCCGTTTCTTGGTCGTCTCCCCTTCCGCCTTTCCCCCAGAGCTCTTCTTCTTCTCTTCCTCCTCCTTCTTCTGCGCTTCCTGTAGAGAGCTGAGCAGCTCTTCTATAGGAAGCTCACTCTCCCTCTGCAGCAGCTCAATCTCACTCACACCACCGGCCACCTCACCCGCCTTGGCGGCCTGCTTCTCCTCCACGTCTATCGTCTCTTCATCGTCGCTGTCATCTCCCTGAGGTTCAAATTCAATGTCTGCAGGAGAGGGGAACAATGGGACATGTGAACGTAAATACTTGGGATAATACTTTAAAAGGCAGAGAATAACTGTGCAAAAGATAGTGTGGCATACAGATGGGGCAACTTTCATTATTTTCAGAATGGTAGATCATGGAGTAAATGGGAATAAAGTAGGATTAATTAAGCTTCTTCATAATCAACAGGTTAAGTTACATAACTAAAGGGTTTTATGTTATACCACCCTTCTCAGTAGGAGTATTATTACACCATCTGAAGATGTAGCATTTCAAGTCTTGTTTTGATTTTCTGACATTTCAAATTGCATAACAGAACTATAAACCAGATTTAAGATGTCATACATTTTATTAGAATAATCCATTATTGATGAAAAGTGTTCTTATTTTCAATTAAGATTAAGTGTGCCATGAGCCATTGCTGTATATGCTACCGAGAAAAAAAGCGTGTACAGAAGCAGTCATGACCGGGAGTTTATCTTGCCATGTGCTCGGTGCCGGGTGTGTAGACCGAGACTTATCACACCTCTTGTCGAATATGGCATAATCCAGCATGATCCAAATTTAATCATCCGTTCCCTTATATAAATTCATACCTTAATAATTTTCATCTTGCATTGTTTGTTTTCTTCACACAACTTTTAACCAGATTAAAGATGGCTTACATTCTATTAGGTAGTCAAACCTGTCTATAGCGACCGCCCAAGGGAAACACAAAAAGTGGCCCCTCGTAGTCAGGTGGTCACTAAAGCAGGTTTGACTGTATTCTTTACATGCAGAAAGCTTACCATCAACCATGCGATCAGACCTTGGACTAGACACCGAGGAAGCTTGAGCAGAAGACGCTGCCGTGCTGGTGTTAAGTCCCTCTGTGAGCCAGGATGAATACTTCTCTGTCTGACCGACGATGAAGTCCAGCTGAAGGTCCAGAGCCTTCTTCCTTCGTTCATCTAATCTGCTCTGCTGTTTATATTGCACAACCTGAAGTCAATACAGAAGGGAGCCTAATTAGAACTGTATTAGACACTATTATAAATTCAGTATTCCAATCAAATTCTTATGCAAAAATGTTAAAGCTTCCTTTCAATCGATGAATATAAACACTGTTTCAAAACATTTAAATTAATATTTCAATAATCCATTATTGATGAAAAGTGATCTCATTGTAAATTTAGATTACATGTGTCATGAATCATTGCTGTAAATGCTACGAAAATACAAAGCGAGTACAGAAGCAGTCATGACCTGGGAGTTTGTCTTGCCATTTGCTCGATGCAGGGTGTGTAGACTGAGACTGATCACACCATCTTGTCGAATATGGCATAATCCTAATGTTATCATCTGTTGTTTTATATAAATTCATACATTAATATTTTTCATCTGGCAAAATTAACTATCTGCAAGTTAATAAGTCATTTTGAATGAAAAATTTGCCCAAGATCAGCCCACAATAATGAACAAAACGTAAAATCATAGATCAATAATAAAATGTGAGCCCTTACTTTTTCTATATTAGCCCAGAAAGCTTTGATTTCTTTGGCGATGTTCCCTGCTATCCGCTTGAGTTTCTGCACCTCCTCCTTGCCAGCTTTCATCTCCCTGGCCTCTTGGTCCTGGTGGTGTTTGGCCACAGCTCGAGCCAACTGTAAGCAAGAACAATGGTAACATTTCTAGTAATCGTCTACATATGCACAAGTTATAATATTTGGTAGAATAGCACTGATGCTACAATAAACATGATCATGAAAATCTTTATAACGTAAGAATAGACATGTATACCTTATAGGGTTCTATTTCGGGGTAGGCAAGGGGATGGCCATGGGGAGTGTGCACATGTCAATGGCCAAGATGGAAGTGAAGGTTCTGCATAGGAAACTGTCCCAAGTCTGGTGCCAGACAACGTATAAGACATTTGTCTGAGGATATAGACCAGGAGTTTGATTTCTGAGGCTGTAAGCACCTTGCACACTATTGATAAGCAGAACAGGCGACTCTAGTCTGAAAGCCTCAAACTAATTTTTCTACAGTGCTATAGAAAAGGTAGTACTACAGTTTTAATATGAACTAAACTAAAGAACATCTGATGCAAATTTGATAAAACGAAAAAAAGGAATTCCTACGTGAATAGAAAAATTACACTACTTAACATTTGACATCCAAAATGAACACACTTTTAAAGTCAAGTTCTCTATATGGGCGCAGTGGGGAAAACCTATTTCATTCAAAGCATTGGTGGGTTGTAGCAAGCAGACTGCTACTACGTACCTTTCTGGCAGCATTTTTCTTCCACCTTCTCTCCTGAGCAAAGTCTGCAGCAAGCCACTGCATCTCCTCCAGCAGGTAGTCCCAGTGTGCCTTGTGTCGTGGAGGCTCCTGAACCCTGGGAAGACGCTTGGCAGACCAAAGTCCGTCTCTTCTCAGCTCGGCTATTCTTTGCATCACCTGGGCTTCCTGTTATACATCACCAAGTAAATTGAAAACACAAAGAGAGATAGTTTAGCGCTAGGAGAAACAGACGCAATTGCCCCTCAGACGCCAATATGGTGCAATGATGCAATTTAACAATACCAGGAATGTTGGAATGCTATAATTCAAGTTCTGCACTAGAAAGCACTACCTGAGAATGAGAAGATTCCATTTTGTTTTACGAAGTGTTTTACGAGTTAACAAGCACAGAACAGCTTGACAACCCCTGCCACTCCGATGTGTGTCCACTACCGTTTGTCCCTACCAGAAGTATCCAGTATATCGCGATTCATGACATGTATGGTCATTCAAGAAATGACAATGTTCCCCACCACAGGCTACATTGCACAGCCTGCCAAAGATTTGCTCTACTGTGGGCTACAGAAATCATCTAATATATCAATAACAATCTGTGAAAATCACAATACATATTTTGCAACAAGCTTGTCAAATCCATGTTCCTGAACAAATTGCAACAAGACAAGAAAAATTTCTGTATATTTCTTTTTTCTTCTCTATGACAGAAATTACCTTTGACATCCATCATTACCTACCTGTTTTGCTCTTTCTACGATCATCTCCTGAGAGCCGATGGTGTAGTCATAGACTGCAGAGAGGGCTCCCTGCCTGGTCCCTTGTCTGTCTCTTGATAACCCGGGCGGAAGAGGAGATCTGATCAGGCTCTTGTTACCCGAGAGCTGACCTAATGCCGATGGTCCACTTATGCCACTTATATTGCGTTGCGGGGGCGAGGCGAGACCTGGACAAAACAAAAATTGAGGAATGAGGAATGTCTTCCAATAGATGATAAGATACAATGCATTTATCTTTATCTGAAGACTGAAGTAGAACTGTCCCAAGTCTGGTGCCAGACAACGTATAAGACATTTGTCTGAGGATATAGACCAGGAGATTGATTTCTGAGGCTGTAAGCACCATGCACACTATTGATAAGCAGAACAGGCGACTCTAGTCTGAAAGCCTCAGATCAACATGAGGGAAAGCTTGCATGAATAAATTCTGTATACACCAGTACTTTAATGCACTGAAAAAAGATGTGTTGAAACTAGACAAACAAGACACACAAAAGGACTTTCAAAAAAAAACAATACCCTCTCAACATACAGTGACCCTTAGCAAATAAATTCATTGAAAAGTCCTTATTTCAAAATGCAAATAGTTCCCATATTCATCATCATAAACACTTTTTTGTTGGACACTATATGAACTTACCAACTAAGCCTTTAACATCAGAAGCATCAACAGCAACCTTGGTGACCAACGGTGCCTCCTCGCCACCAGACTTGTTGCCTATCGTTGGTGTAGCAGGGATCACAGTTATTGAAGGCAGTGTTCGTGAAGGAGCTGAAACAGATAACATTAATGGAACCAGTGTAATACATACCACGCATAAAAAGGTAAAATTGCCAATTTCTCAAACATTCACAGTAATATGATCATCAAAAGACAAGATAGACAAATTATAATATTTCTTATTAATCTGCATTACACACCAAATATGAAACTAATTGAGAAAGCTGTAACAAGCATGATAAGCAATGATTACGACATACCTGTTGAGGATGTTTCACTCTTAGTCAGCACTTCTGAACCACCAATACTCAGTTTAACTGAGCGCTCTTCACCAGCCTCATCAAGACCCGCCTGACTGCTGCTTCGTTTCCGAGCTTCACTGGCCGAGACTATAGAGGAGCCTCCTAATCCTGGCTGACCCTTCCTGCTGCTATCTTCTCCATCGAGGCGTTTCTTCAGCTGGGCTGCTGCTACCTCCTGGGGAAGCTGGGCAGAGATGGTTGCAGGTGAGCTGAGAGAGGCATTGCTGCTTGATGATGTACTTACTTTAACCTGGTGGAATAAAATGCATAAGAGAAAAATAATACTCTTGTTGATATTTCAAATAACTACAATGAAGAAATAATATTTATTATGATACAAATTTCAACATCTTTTAATACGCAGGGGTTTTGGGCATATCAGAATTTCAGAAAACATCTGTCCAAAGGACATACAGGGTCAATACGATGTCACACAGAGGTGAATTATCTTTTTGTTCAATCTTACTGCCAAAAAAAAATATATATATCTTATTCACAGGGTTCTTGTTAATAGCCGGCAACCGGCTATTTTTTCCGGCTGTAACGGCAATCGTAGCCGGCTGTAAGCCTCTCCAAAAAAAAAAAATAATAATACAAAAATCACATCATATTCGGTCAAGTCGCTATCTCAAACCCTGCTGGTCTTCAGACTGTCGGGCTGAGCATTCCCAGCCCCGGACTATGGCACAAATTGGGTCATCCTGATAAACAGAGACCACTAATAAACAACATAAAACATGTCTTATTATTCCTCATCTGAACTTGATATCATGATTAACCTTGCAAAGTTACTCTGCGAAGATAGCTGATCTGTGACGTGTTTATATATGCCTTTGCAATGCAATGTTTGCACATGGTCAGGGAGAGAGCTCCCTGCATGTATCATTGCCATATGAAATTATGTGGAAGTGTGTATCACACACACCCAAGACACACCCTGCAATGAGCTGATCCAAGTTAGTGACCAATGAGGAAGGTTCTCTAGCTATGTGGGTGGAGTTTGATACCAGCATAAATTACAGGTTGGTGACCGCGCGTGCTTTCACCGTACCCAGTTCAGTGGGAGGTCAAGAAGCCACGCCCACAAGTGTGCATGTGACAAGCATGAGCTCTCCATCTGTGTGTATGTACAGTGTATTTGGGCGCCGGAGGTTTGTGTGTACATGTGTGTGTGACTGAGAGAGCACGCATGGGCTAGCATGTCCCTGCATGTCCCTGCATGGACGAGGCAGGGACATGAGTAAGACAAGTAAGACAAGTGAGACTCGATAGAAAGGATGGCTGTGTTAATCGGCTGAATTGAAGAATGATCAAAAACTTAAATTACTCACAATATCCAAGACTTTGTTGATTGATATTTCTAAAAATTCAATTATTATTGTTATCAATATTTTTGTATTTTATTTATATATGAACATTATTTTAGGGGGCGAGTCGGCAAGGGATGGATATTAATATTGAGAGAGAGAGAGAGAGACTCGGGGGAGAAGGGATGTGAGAGGAACTGACCATCGAATGTGTAAACATTTAGAAAGTTGTGAGCTGAGAGTGCAGTAATAAGAAAAGGTACATGAGCGATGAACACATTGCAGAGAGAAGGGAATAAAGAGGGTGAGAAAAGAGAGAAGGGGGCTGGTTGTTTTATTGTTTACAAATTCATTCATGGGAATTACTGCTGCCAGAAAGCTGGCGCGCAGCGGCCAGGGTGTAACATTACACTGCGGTTTCTTTGATTATCTTTATCATCGGCTATTAGCACATTCCAAAATGTATGCAAATAACGGTTAACCGGAGCGAGAAATGAAAACGGTTTTGATGAATGCGGTCGTATAACCGTCGGTTAAACGGTTTGACTCAGGCCTAGTGTGAAACTGTGATTGATTTGGCGATGCACGATTCGATTCAGAATACGAGTGCTGCACAACCGGTGCGGCACGCTATACACATACACTGTCACAGAGACTAGACCGTAGACGTACGTTCGTAAACAAGCTCAAGCCAGCGAACTCCGCTCGCAATAATTTAAAGAGGCCAGCTCCAGAGCTCGCTCTGCGTCCAAATGATCACCCGCATTGGCATTGCTATTTATACTTCGTAATCCTAAGTTAGATCTACCGTATTGTGAATAAAAAATGAAAATTTGTACTCATATGTACTCAGAACTTTGTCCAACACTGATATAATCCTTACATGTATATCTATTTGATAATTGTTTCAATACAACAACAAAAAGGTTTTTTTCTGGATCTTTTCTTTTCGTGTTGTAACATTTTTACTTTTACTTTTAGCGATCTATTTTACCGATTCGAAAAACAGAGGTGGCATATTGCATATAAACGTTAAGCGCATGGCGATTGGAAGAAAAGTACCGAAAACTTTTTTTTTTTCGTAGGCCTAGAGTCTATAGAAATAATTATTAATTATTATTTTTTTTATTTTTTTATCGCGAACGATTTTCTTCACTGACAAGGTCCTGTAAACGTCAGTTAACCGTTTTTGCCCAGGACTACCTTGTATCATTATCATGTAATTCAAAATTGTAGATTCATCACAAATATGATTGATTTATCAGAAACAATAATGGAGCATTTTCATTTCATATTGTATATCATATGAAAAGTAAGTTATTCAGCCAAAATATTCATGATCTTTATCATTAAACTATGGCTCATACAGTGTGGTCATATCTTCAAAAATAAGGCTAAGATAGCACCAGAGAGCATCTAAAACCCTAAAGCTGGACCCCGGCCGCAAGGGACTTCGCGCTCGTGATGTGCGCTTCGCGCACATGGTCATGTGCAATATGCGCACAGAGATTTTTCTTTTGCAATTTTGGTAGCCTCCTGTAAATCATAAATAGCCTGCTATCAGAAAAATTAACAAGAACCCTGTATTCAGCTGTAAAAGTAAACCATACCTCACTGATCTGGTCCTGGATACGCTCTTCAAGTTGTCTGCTTTTCAAGTACGATGCCAACTGTAGATCCGGTTGCTTCTTTTTCCAGATCACATAGTCCATCATATTGTGACTTTGCTGCAGGAAAAACAGCTCTGTCAATTTGTCTACATAAGAGTTTTGCACATCTTTCAATGTTTTTCTCTTCTCCTCAAGAGTTTTTCTTCGAAGCTCAACCACCTCAGTAGGTGGTTGATTGGTCGCTACACTCATGATTGATTTGATGGGTTTAACAGGACTGGACTGAAGAGGGTTTGTCCGTGAAGGGCTGAAAGGGAGGGATGGTGTGGCTGTACTGGTCCCTTGTACGCTAGAGGGACCACCTGACGATAGGCCACCGAAAGGGTTATGAGGACTTCTTTGGCCTTGCTTATCAGGATGTGCTTTTGGTATGCTACCATCTGGGAATATTCTGCTTGATAACCCTTGAGCCAAATGATGTACTGCCCTAACAGGCTGTTGAGAGGGAGAAGAGAGAGGTTGGGAAACAATGGACTCGATGACAGGAGAACCACTAGGTGAATAGAAGCCAGCAGCACCTGGAAATGCTAATGAATACGCATTCCCTGCCGGTCTCTCATTCAACTGACCAGGGTCTCGTCTTTCGTCGAGTGAACTCCTGGCAGGTGATAGAAGTTGCCTCTGTGATGCTCCAACCGATCTAGTAGCAGCTGAATGAGCCAAGTAATCTGCAACTGAGATGAGCTCTGGAGCCACAACCTGAAGCTGCTGACCCTGGACACGAACTGCATGAACTGAAGGACTTCCTTGGAGTGGCACTTCGCTGGTTCCTTCAACTGCACCTAAGGATGGGTTTGAATATGTTACAGGATCAATCCGTCCCTGCGATCCAGCTGAACGCCCTCCATGTAGCACTGCTTCGTTCTCAAGTTTCTGTAGTTGGGTTGAAGTATCTGGGCATGAGTCCTGTCCTTGGCTGACTGCTCTTGATGGTGTTTGATGACCTAATCTTCCCCCTCTTTGCATCGTCCCTTTTAATAGCCCTGTAATCAAATGAACAAATGCACAGAACAGATGTTTTAAACTTATCAATCATACAATGTATTCATGATGTCAACTAAACATACAATGTAGTAGATCACATGCTAACTTTTAAAGTAAAGACAATGTTTTTCTTGTTGTTGAAGGAAGTTAACAATGAAAACGGAGGGATATTTTGGTGGGAGATATGATAACTCTTGACATGAGTGAATGTATTGTGAAAGAATTTTTTTTTAAACTTTGTTTTAGACCAATTTTTTACATTTAAAGGCATTAAAATGACATTAACTTCAAATGAGAGAATAATAAAATGTATGAATAACTTTATGTTGGGGAGTGTGTACATGTCAGTGGCCAAGATGGAAGGGAATGTTCTGCATAGGAAACTGTCCCAAGTCTGGTGCCAGACAACGTATAAGACATTTGTCTGAGGATATAGACCAGGAGTTCGATTTCTGAGGCTGTAAGCACCATGCACACTATTGATAAGCAGAACAGGCGACTCTAGTCTGAAAGCCTCAAACCAATTTTTTCAAAAGTGCTACAGAAATGGTAGAAATACACTAAATCTGATGCAAATTTGATAAAAAGGAATTCCCACTTGAATATTCAATTTTACATTGCTCGACATTTTACATTCAAACTAAACACATTAACTTCAGTCAATTTTTCTATATGGGTGCAGTGGGGAGACCCATTTCATTCACAGCATGTGAGCATTGTGGGTTGTAATGTAGCAGTGTATATAGCCTCTTGTCGATGCCCTCGCGCTGTTGGAGTCTCTAAATTCTGACGAGCGAAGCGAGTCAGAGAAACCGAGGCGCTTGCGCGGAGGGCCTCTTGACAAGTGATCTGAATTACATATTCATGAGACCCGATTTCCTACTGAATTATGCATGTCTAGACCGCAGCGATTGTGTGTGTGTACGTGTTTGTTCGGGATTGCCCAACTAGGCTAGTCTGCAAGCACAGACCCTAATTTGACACTTTATCAAAAAATCATTGTGCCTTGAGAGAAGCCTAGCCCAGCTATCTACTGGTACCTACTGGTTGTACCAATATAGGTCAGGAGCAGCTATAGTACGTGGCATATGGTAGTCTTATAGTGCACACTCTCTTTTACGACTGACCAGGGTTTGTGATTGCAGACAACTAGGCGGCCAGTCTCGCTCTCACGGAGGGAATTCGCACAGAGCGGTAGATATTACGTCATAGTATCTCTCTCTGATTGGATGACTTTCACCGAACTCTGCTGGGTCGGAATATTCGCCAAACATAGTAAAACATAAGAAATTCAGATCACTTGTCAAGAGGCCCTCCGCGCAAGCGCCTCGGTTTCTCTGACTCGCTTCGCTCGTCAGAATTTAGAGACTCCAACAGCGCGAGGGCATCGACAAGAGGCTACAGTGTATAGGACTGTTGCGTCGACATGCTCATGGGAGACTCCGAAAATGGGCGATGTGCCCGACACTGACAGTAGGGGGGAATGGGCCAAAAATGAGGATCATCTGCATAAACAAGGATAGTCTATCCTTGTAAACTCGGACAAATTGTGTCCTAAAAAATAAGTTTTTTTTTCTTAAGCGCTCTGCGCATTTACACAGACAATTCTTATTTCTGTTCCGCGCTAGCAATGCGAACAATGGATTCCTGGTAATAAAATACCACCAGTCTACTTTAGGGATGTCCGTCATTCCGAGGATTTATCCTTAATAACGTGAAAGTCTCTATGCAAAGTGAATGTGAAATGCATCAACAGTAGGGGCGCTGGTCTGAGAATAAGGGTCGTCTTCATAAACAAAGATCGTCTTTGTAAACGCGGACCAATGCATCCTCAAAAACAAGGATCGTCTGCAAAAAAGCAGATGTTCCATATTTTTGATCGACACATCGGCGATTCCAAAAAAACGGATTCAGGGATGATTTTCTTGAAGCATTTTACATTGACCAAGTTGAACAGAGACCTTCACATTATGAGCAATAAATCCTTGGGAAGGCGGACAACCCATAAAAGTAGACGGTCAACTAGGGTTATTTTCCCCTGGGGAATCCAAATTTGGCATTGCCAGCGGACGCCGATGAAAAAAACCCGTCCGCGAAAATGCAGGCGATCCTTGTTTATGAGGACGCGTTTTGTTCGCGTTTATGAAGACGATCTTCATCCTCGGACCAGCGCCCCTACTGATCAAGGAGAATCATCCCCGGCCCCCCCACTCAGAGGTCGGAATGACCGCATGCATGTTGCCAAAATGTCCGGTAAAGGGGTACTTTTCGTGCGACAAAGTCCGGCCCGAGAATTGTAAAAAAAGGGGTGTATTTGACTACTCACCCGGAGATTTCTTTAAAAAGGGGGTGTTTTTTCTTTTTTCTCTCTCATCTCTTTGGACTCCTGAGAAATTATTCCGAATTTAGGGGGGTACATTGAGCATTTTTCCTGATTTAGGGGGGTCTCCAAGGCAGGAAAAGCACGCGAAAAGCCCGCGAAAGGGGGGTTCGGAAATGTTGGCAGTCCTCAGATAGGGGGTGCTTTCAAAAAAAGGGTACGAGCATATGCGTACCCTAAGTAGGGTGTCTGATCGCGCACCCAATGTTGTGTGCTAAAACCCTTCCCATAGAGATTGTACGCTTCCCTATGTGGTCTACGTGCATTGCGCGACCATCCAAAATTGGGTCAATGATTTCATGAAAAAATTTGAAATTCAAACCTTTATAACAAATGATCCTGAAGGTGAAACTCAATAAATGAGGTGTCATATGAAAGAGCAGGTTTTTCTCCATATTCCCCATCGGGGGCCACCCCCAGAATTCTAAAAATATCTTGGTCAAAATAGCGATTGAAATGTTGTTTGCATCCTAGCTCCAAAATTTGCCACTTTCCTGAGCTGCCGCCCCGCGGCTTAAGCAGGGCTAGACGTAAGGATAATATCCAGATGCTTTTTTTTTTGCTAGCCCCAAGGGATCATTTGTTATAACAGTTTGAAAATACCCTCCCACATTTTTGGAATCAGCTAATTAGGGAGGCGTGAGCTCCGCTCAGTCCAAACCATGGTTACATCGCGTAACATGTGCGCTTATAGTGAATGAAAGTATGGATGGCCGTTCCCACTATAAACCCCGGAAGTGAATACACGTTGTAGTCAATGGCAATATCGCGGAGACATCTCCGCGATATTGCCATTGACTATAACGTGCATTCACTTCCGGGTTTTTTGTGCGACGAACGCTAACCATACTAGTCAATGGCACGTGTCGCGGAGACAGCGTAGCTCAAGCTTGCAAGTCGCGCATTGGCTGAGCAACTTGCGTACGATATGCATACGCTTGCATATCGCGCGATACAGCTGTTTGGCTAAATTTAGCAAAACAACATAACTCTGCGTGTACGTCTTTTTCGTCGATTCTGAGCAAAATGCTATGAATATTTCAGCGTTTTGAAGGGGCTGTATCTTTTGATAGAAACATCGGCGAGACTTGAAATTTGAAATGTATTATTCTGATTACATTTTTAATTCAAATATCAAACAAAAATGGTGAAAAACGATCCCAAATTGAAAATTGAAAAATCGTTCAGACACCCTACCCTAAGTAACACTGAGTGGGGGGGCCGGGGAATCATCGCAGAATCAGTTTTTTTCGCATCGCTAACGCGCAGATTGGAAAGCAGAAACGTCTGCGAAAATGTGGACGATCCGTATTTTGCGGACGCCCCTACTGACTGCCAAGTGCTCATCATCAACTCGTTTACAACTTCCAACAAATTTGAGACATGCACAATAACAACGAAACTTCAACTCACGACTCACAGAAGATAAAATCTGGGCACCCAAAATTTAAGGTCATCCTTTCTCATTGTCATCGTAAACAATCATAATTTTGACTTTATTTTCAGAAACAAGTTCAAATTCACTGTAACTGTAAGCTAATCTACAAATGGACAAATTTTTCGGACGAATCGAGATGAGCATGCCGATGAATTTCCATTCCTCGAAGCTCGTGCTCAAGTATTGATAACGATTCAAAGGCGCTGCCACTGCCGCTGATATCCGAACAGTGGTTGTGCGATGCGCATGGTGCCCGACACTGCCATCGCCATTGCGTGCCTACATTCGCTCAGCTCAGAAGCCATGCATCGCAGTTCATACATTCGAGACGTATAACTGCATTCGCCAGTGCGGGAATCAATCCATAGACTAATGTACACCGCTGCTTTCAGTATTTTGTATATGTACGAACGTCATTCATACCTGCATCCTAGCGATGAAATCGCCAAGAAAGGTAGCCCATCCACGGGCCAAGACCCTCCATCCAGCTAGGTACCGATCTTAGGGATAACTTGAGACCATTTTGGTCACTTCCCGGACTAAAATACAAGAAGAAATCGTAAATGAAAAATGCTCCAAAACCAGCGACGTAGTTTCGCCCTTATCCATCGAGGAGCAATGGCGATGTGTCTGTATGCAAATGAGCTAATCGTGGGCCGTTGTAATTGGTCGATTTCGGGCGCGGTGATATTACGAACCCGCGCGCTTACGAAATAGATTTTTCGTGATTTTATTCATTATTTTTCAAGTTCTCTTCCTTTTAATTTAGTTATCTTCCCCTTATTTTCCCTGTGCTCATCTCTGATATCAAAGACAAAGTGTGTAGATTAATTCTATGAAAATTTAATCCACTCACGGCCTACTGTCTCATTTCTCATTACAACAAATAACAAGCCAATCAATAAATAAAGCATATAATGTCCATATATGAGACTGCCCCTAAATATACAGGCCTATATGTCGTATGTTATATTTGTTTATGAGCACTATCAGAAATTGCAGTTTTACTAAAGTTGCTTACCATATATATATATATATATATATTACCCTTCATGCAGACCCCTAGTTTCATGGGCCAATCTGCCTAATGTGAAGTCTCTAAAAGACCACACCTGAACTTCTGAAGTACATACTTTCAGGCGTAGGCCTAGTCCATCCTCTATAACTTATCATTCGCAGCTCGTTGAACGAACCAGGGAGGTCTTAGGGAGTTTTAGAATCAGGCACTCTAATATTTTTTACAGGCTTTGTCGGTCTATGAATAAATACTATAGTTAGTTTTATGATACGGTACAAGGGCTCATAATTATCACAATACACTATACTGTGTTTACATATAGTTTAAAAAAATATAAGCATATGATTCTTCAAATTCTTTGTGTAGCCTACTATACTGTTTAACTTATGATATATGTTCATTATTTCGTTGTCATTGGTGTTATACTCGAGAAAAAAATGAAAATCAAATATTGAGTATTACTACAACTAACAGACACCCGAAAATTGACACAATCAATAAATATGTATAATTTAAAAATGAAAATAAAAGTTTGATACGTGTACGCAATCCGAACATAACTTAAAATTAACCTATAGAGGACGCTGTGCAACTGAATCATAGAGATCCTAATTTGGATCTGTATCGTGCCTCTAATCAAGGATTTGCAATCCCTTGACAAAGCAGCAAGATGAGTTTATGAAAATAAAGCAAGTCATAATTATGCAAAATTTCACACCAAAATATTGTGGTTTTCAAAAAAAATCGAAGCCCTGGTTTTGTAAACGACAAATGGGGTGAATAAAACATTGCTAGTTACAAAATTCAAATTTGAAAAGGAAAATGACTGTAATTCTGCTAAAAATGAATATTTTGCCACCATAATTTCAGGTGAATTTCAATTATGATGCTTAACAACATTTTGGCCCTTTTACAAGTTTTAAAAAATTACTGCAAGTCCCTGTGCATGTGCACAACGCACTCGATCTGCAGGCTACCAAACCATTATGGGGGCCATCATGGAGCTGATTTCGGAGGAGAAATAGAATGTACTCTCTTAATTTCTAGGACTTATTTTTAAGTCCAAAGAATTTATTCTAAATCCAAGGGGGACTTGGGACAGTGACAATTGTTACTGTCCCAAGTCCCCTTGGATTTAAAATAAGTCCTAGAAATTAAGAGAGTACCTTGTATAATAATTATAAAGTCACAGTAAGTGCATTTCATTTTTGACCATTTTAAGGTGATCAGAAAACATGGAGTTCACTTTGAAGTGAAAATGGGTTCATGTACATCATAATTAAGAATGACATCGGGGTAAATTGGTTGAAAATATTTATACACAATGTATACGATTGCTGGTCGTCAATATGAAATCTAACGTTCTGTCTTATTTTTATATTCGTAAGAATTTCGAGATATTTTTCTCCTTTGCTGCAATTTTTACATCGATAACAAAGTCAATTTCCATTTGGTTACGATATTAATGTACTTTCCAATGCAGTGGGAGACGAATTCGTTTTGCGGAAGTTGCATACATATAATTAAATTAATCACAAATCTACATTGTCAATTTTTACCCACCCCCCCCCCCACCCCACACAAAAATAAAATAAAAAGGATTTTGTTTTAGTTTTGTTTTACATTGGGTTTCTATTTCCACTTTTTTTTTCTCAAAACCACCGGTAAAGGATAAAAAGAAAACAACATTGTTGATCCAACAAGAAAGCCCTTTAAAGGGCCTTATTTGTTACATTTCTTAATCATTAAAGGCCCCCAAAATGAGTCTTTTACCCAAACTCAAATGTACTCTCAAATAGGAAACTCTCCAACTTCAAAGGCCCTCTAAAGTGTTGGAAGCCCCAAATTCGCCAAAAATTTGATGGCAAAATTTAAATTAAAAAGGATGTCATTTAAGACACAATTCTGCAAAGATTCTCCCACCCCCAAACAAATTGTGTTAAAAGACAAATATTGATAAAGGATTACATAATTTGAGTTTTTCTGTTGTACGCAGAAAACCTGAATTTTGTATCCTTTTATCAATATTCGACATATACACATTTGTTTTGAAATTCCTTGCAGAAATGTGTCCTAAATGACATCCTCTTTAACATGTTTTTGATTTATAATGTGAACATGTGCATCGTTTATATTTATGCATAAACTATTGATTTGTTCACTCATGAGATTCGATTTCAAGATAAGCCGCGTGGCATTTAAATACGCTTTGTTTTGGATAGATTATGGCGTGTGCATCCCTTCTTATTTTCATTTAGATGTTCGGCTAAGGTCGCCTTTTTGTGGCGACGGAGCCAATTTAATCTCAGAAGTTGCTTTAGAAGATTATTTGAATTGAACTTCATAGTGCTTGATTGAAAATGCAGTTATCATTTGCGTTAATTATTAACCATGCTTTTCCTGGGGCAAATTGCCACTCCTCCCAATTAATCCTTCTTCAAAGGAATCAACGACCCATAAAATGGTCTGCATTTGAAGGAAAAAACAGGTTTTCAGGGTATACATAATAGGCGAGTGCATACCCCTTTTTCACAGAATGTTCTTTTTGAGTGGGGAAACATTTCGTGCATGATGGGGACCATAATATCCAAACATCTTTGAAGGCCTGTATGCATAGGGATGTGGCTGTAATATGACATGAACTAATGAATAACACGACTACTACTACTACGTAGTAATAATACTGGTAATAATGATAATGATCAGAAGAATAATGATGTAAATGATGATAATCATAATCATAATAATAATAATGATAATAATGATAAAAATGATAAAATGATAATGAACATACTAATTACATTGACAATAGTAATATTGATAAAAGATAATAAAAATATCAATAAAGATAATAACGATAATGATGATAATAATAACAATAAAAATAACAACAATGATGATGATAAAAATATTGATAATAATAACAACAACAACACTTATAATAATAGACTAATATTAATAATTGTTATAATAATAATTATAATAATGATAAAGAATCTCAGGAGGCCTAACAGTCTTAAGTATTATCCCCGAGGTCCATAAATTGCCCTGACTTTAGCCAGAGCTGTACCAGGATAATAATATTTCTTCTATTCAAGATATGTTTCACAGCCTATCCTTGACTGATCGATTGAATACCTTTCTAGGATTTTTAAATTGACCGCTCTATCACAGTTTAACCCCTTTCAGACAACCTAGATCCACCCTTGATGTATCGGTCTTCAAGTCCTATATTTTCCAAATGAGAATTGCGAAGTGCATCCCTAATATACCGAATGAGGATCATTTGCAATGCACAGGTGCAATGCTTATTAATATTGCATACATGCATACAATTCCTTTTTTGTACCCACAGCACACGCACGTCGTCACATCTAATACGAGTCAGTCACACCGACACCAGACAACACACTGAACAACAATTTACATTACGACAATTGATCAAGAGTCAATCGATTGCAATTCGGTGTGCATGAGTCGGTTTGACGATTGAACTGAGTTATGAATAATACTGACTCCCGACGGTGATGACGTAAATACTATTTCATTCACCGATTTCATTTCACGTGCCCGCTCTCTAATTACATTATGCCACTGATGCAGTATACAACTTCGCGCTTCCCAAATCATTTCAAGGCGTTCGTTTGTGTTGGTTGGCTGCCATTGAAAAAGGTCTTTCAGGTTTTAGCTTGGACACAAAAGGAGTGTATTCTGTGCACTTAGTTGATGCCGGATTAAATCTGCATGGATCAGACATCCTTTACCGGGACATTTTGGACTTGAAAGTTGTTATATTACATGAGAACCACATAATCTTCTTATTTATTATTTCCAAGATCTTGTGGCGCCGGGAGCGGCGGCTTTTTTTTGTTCGTAACGCTTATCTTCACGTGGAGTATATCCACGTGGTATATAATATACTTTTATATAGCCTATATAGCTGTAATATAATAGAGTTACACGTGAAGCAGTATCGATTGGGAACCATGGGTGTCAGAAAAATAATTCAAGTCTGTTATCTCCTTATCGGCATCCTATCTCTTCTGGATGTAGGCCGATCAGAAAATGATGAAGACACGAGAGTGCATCAGCAACGTGGTTCATCGAAGGACAATCCAAAGGCGGGAAATTTCGAGAACTTTGTCGTCTGGCAGACATCTGACGGAAAACGGCAGGTGACAATTAAATCAGGAATGGCATGGGTACAAGAAACTGCAACATGGGAAATAGGGGAGGAGGAAATCCCTGCCGATTATGTGATTCGACAGGTCACGGATGGGTCATCGCGTGTCGCAGCCGTGCTCGATGGACATGGACGATTACGGGAATGTCACATCAGTCATGACTATAACATCGCTGAGCAGTTTATATCGGACATTAACAGGGACCACACTCTTTGTGCTCATGTCCCCGACGAAACACCAAAACTTCGTTTCGAATCGGACAACATCAAAGGAGTAGATGGTTCAAGTCTTCTTTATACCAACCTTTTTTTAACCTCTTTAAAGGATGCATCTTCCACTGGTCTCCCGCAGTGTAAAATATTCTCAAACGTGCTCCTGCCCTCTCAACTCCTTAATTTCACGAGCCTGATTAATGACTGTCAACAATTCCTTTCATCCGTGCCTCACTCCTCCGATCGTACTTCGAATTTCCTCGATCACGGTAATTTTTCATTCTCCGATCTCCATCATCCTGGTCACCGTCGATCTCGTCGAAGCCTCATGTATCCGGGAACCCTGTGGTGTGGCGCCGGGCATCGAGCCAAGTCAGAGTACGCCCTAGGTGATAACACCTTCACTGACCGGTGCTGCAGAGCTCATGACTTCTGCCCGATGGATATGCAAATACTAGCGTTCAAGACCAAGTATTACATGACCAATAAGAATATGTTTACACTTAGCCACTGTGCATGTGATAAACGGTAAGTATATATATATGTTTTCAGAGTGACAGAATAGATAAAAAGGCTATAGGCTATCTCTAATATTGGAAATGGATGCCTCAAAAGGAATTTAAATAGGGACCAGCCCCACACAAGACTTAATTGTTCTTTCTTGCTGGTTCCTCATTCGTATATATATTTATATTTTATGTTTATCTTTCGTTATGTTATTTGTATGTTCTTTACCTATCTGTAAATATCAATGTTATAATCAATGTTATAATCATGTATGTTTTTTATATGACTAATGAAATAAAATGAAAATGAAAATGAAAATGAATGAAATCGTAGATTTACACAAACGAAATATTATGAAAAGTGAAATCATGACTATCAACATGTTGTCGCCGTGTATGTTTTAATTTTACCACTCATCTTTTTCCACTCATTTCCTCCCACCGCAAGGGCACATAATTATTTGTATTCATGGAGCGTGCCCGGCATCCTTGAATTAAAAAAGAACAATGAGGTCAACGCACTTTCCCATCTCATTAACGTTGACCTACCTTTCATTGGTCGACGATACTACTTTGGCTACGATCCAATGGAATTACAGACAAGTAACTTAATAAAATACATGCATGAATGAAGACGCAGACATGTTTACATTTACAGTTCTGATCAATGATCACTCATCATGCGAATTTATCTTTTCTTTATATCACAATGGCATGAGTAGATAATTATATAGAATGTAAAATGTTTTAGAATTTGTTCTTCTGAAGTACCAAATCTTGGTAGAAAGTTCACGGCGAAGGTTTAAAAAAAAGGTCACGCTACCCTGCTGTTGCAAACAATTTTGTATAGGATTCAATTCCCAGCAGGAGGGTCGCCAAAGACTATTTCCGTTAACCCATTTTTGGTTGATGTGATTCAGGACGTTTAGACGCCCCCGCCCACCCCACCCCCCCCCTCTCCTTGTTGGCATTCTGTTTTCTTTTTACAACTGTTACTCTCACGTGGTAACAATATGTGCTTTTCAAAATGTCACCAGTAGTAATTGTGCCGTCTTAATGAACCCCCCCCCCCCTCCCCCACCCGAGCAATTATCGTGCCCGCCGCAGCAATATTTAGCCGCCAAAGGCACTTGGAAATAATTATAACCTTTTTGTTGGTCGTCATAGAACTCAATTAAAAAAGATGCGCCTTGAAAATCTGATGCCCATCTCCCACCCCCCCCCCCCTTTCCCCCTTGTCAACATTTTGGAGGCTATGTTTCTCTATCCAGCGAGATCTCTCTGGATCTACTGAAGGCAATTCCAAAGCCTTTCTTTTCTTTTCTTTTTATTCCAGTGCTAAATTACTGCAGCCTCACACAAACACTTTCCTAGTTGATTACATCTTTCTCCACATTTCAAAGTCTTCTATACGCCTTGTATATTTCGCTAAATATTCATCATTTCCCTACCCCCCCCCCCCCCCCCCCCCGCTTTCACAGGCATGTCCATAAAATGGAAAATTCTCCCGTCTCTTTGACAACAAAATTAATGTCGTGTAATACCTTACACTGCACAGAGACAATGGACTCTCGCGGTATTCAAAGTACGACTCGACACCTCCTTTTATTAAAAACACTCTGGTATATAAATCAAACTAATTTGAGAATCGACAGGAGATATTGTATGGTTGCTGATCGGATAAGCTTCTTTCGTGCAGCTCGATGTATTGCTTCCATTCATGAGAGAGAGAGAGAGAGAGAGAGAGAGAGAGAGAGAGGGAGAGGGAGAGTAAATACTAAATGACGAATTTGAATATAGTCTTGATTGCCTGTGAGTAGATGTTAAAATGAGTAAGTAGTACGTTATAGAGGGCAAATTTGAGAGTTTCATTTATGATTTTCGACCCCTCTGCCGTAACAAAATAAATAATATTGATACTCGCATTTGCTTATCACGTTTGAACATGAACATAATTGTTATCATTTCTTGTATGTTATTATATTTTATTGTACATACATGTATAATGTATTTTTGTATATACTTGCATTTGTGGGATAAAGTTGAAAATGAATTTAAAATACAGTCTTAATTAGCGCATGTAGGCCTAATAGCGCAATAAAATTGACAACTATTGTACATCAGGCATTGTGCCCGTTGCGCACAAGGCGTCATTTTGCTGATTTTTGACTGCGTCAGCAACTGGAGTGGCCTTTGATGCGTCATGTGCGAATGGCGTCAAACAAAGAGTGATTTAAGTAAGAATGAACATGCGTTAAGATACGTGTGTATAGGTTTATTGCCTTCTCAGGCTTGATTAGCGCAGGTAATGACGTAATCATAAAACGCCTCATGTTCAAACTTCATTTTGCTAATAGCGCATGAGACGTAATCTTGATTGCGTCATTCCTTACGCCTATATACCAATTACTGTACGTAATATTTGTACTATCCGTTTTGCATTCACTTCTTGTGTAAGGTCACTCTCTCCTGGTGCGTGAAAAACCGCGGCGTCGCAGACGCAGCTCTGCGTCAAGAAATGACGCTTCAAATGCAGTGGCGTAAAGCATTACAATATGTCTTCTATTCAAATTGATTTTTATATATACCTTCTATTTCTGTTCTATTCTATTTTCTCATCTTTACAGATTTCACAAGTGCCTCCGCCAGGTTCGCAATGCCGTTTCCTACGACGTTGGTAACATGTACTTCAACATCCTGACGTCACAATGCTTCGTCGTGCGCCAGAAGAAACAGTGCGTCGAAAATGGATGGTGGGGAAAGTGTAACAGATATGAGAAGAGACCCACAGCCCTGCTGCGTCAACCGCGGGCATTTCCAAAGTCTCTTAAGAGGAACAGATCGGGCAGAACGAGGAAAAATCAAACGAACGAACCGTGAAATTGAAATTGAAGAGTATTGATCGTTGAAGAGCTGCGTTTCTTTTGACTTTTGTTTCACTAGAATCAACGCATTCTCTATACGCAAGAAAATAGGTCATACTGTAGAATGAACTTTGACAGTGAAGGATTATCATAGAGCACCGTAGTCATGGAGCTGTTGGAAACGGTGACTAACCACCTGTAGACCTATAGTCTGCAGTGACAGTGATATAATATGGGAACAAAGCCGCACAATATTTCTCAGGGGCTGGTATCGCTTGCATTGACTATATACACTTTTCTGCTTCTAAGTTTGCGTGCGAGTGAAAATACAATTTTGTATCATCCACATATAATTTAATATATATCCAGAGCACTTCATTGTCCGAATGTTGCTCGTGGTTTTCTGAGTATTCGAATGTTGCAATTTGAAACTCCTCCGAGCCAATATCAACCTACGCCTATATGGATGTTGTAAGCTACACCTATTGTGATTACAGTGTACTCAAGATGCAACACACTATGCTATGCTATTTATGTATACCTTTATTACTACAGGAGTCCGTTATATTCGTACAATATTTTGCAATAATCATATTCGTCATGTTCATAGAAAAGATTAATATGGTTCCGAATAAAAGATAAAAACAACTAAAGAATATTATCTGTTATGATGATCGAATAATAAAATATTCTAATTCTAATTCAATTTCGATCAAAATTCAACATCAACTTTAACTTTAAATTCTAATTCAATTTCAATTTGTCAGTTTCAATCGATTTGTTGCTTTCGTCGTCAATGTTCAATCGGCTTTGAAAGCATGAAAATAGCCCTTTCCATTGCCAGCTATATGAATAGTAGTACTACATCATTGATATCAGTACTTGTATAGATGTGTCACTGAGGAGGTCGTTTGTGTTGTAACGAAGATAATTAATATAAATAGCAGTATAATATAATGCCAATATTTGTGTGATGAAGGTGATAGTATAGAGCTGTTATAGTAGTATTAGTGGTAGTGGTGATGGTGGAAATAGGAAGACTAGAAGTAGTAGTAGTAGTAGTAGTAGTAGTAGTGGTAGTAGTAGTCAGGCACGGATCCAGGGGGCCGAGCGGGCCTTGGCCCCCACCCCCCCCCCCCCCCCCCACCCCTGGCAACAAGAAAGTATCAACAAAAGATGGTGACCAGAAATGTACCTTTATCACTCAAAATCATGTTCCACTATTGTAAATAAAAATATATTGCGTAGCCCAAAGCTTAGAGTATGGCTTTGTCATAAAGCTGTGGGAACACTGTGAACACAATAGCAGCTACTTTCGAAATAAAATCAACCTAAGGAAATATCAATGATATGCATCACCTATTGAAATGTGCGAATATGACAATGACGTATTACATTATCCTATTCTGTACGATATATATTGAACATCCTTTACTTGATTTTTCGAAATTAGTTCCGTTCGTGTTTGTGCTATGTTGGTGAAGCCTCTTTACTCTCATACGAGAGGCTCTGGGTTCGATCCTCGCTCGGTGCTTACATCCTTGGACGAGGTGTTTTGCCCATGTATGTCCCCCTCTACCCAGGTGTATATGGGTTCCTGGCAATGCTATAGTTATGATAGTAATATTAATTGCAGGGCCCGCAGGTGATGTTGCTACCCTCGGTGAAAAAGACCCAATTATTATTATTATTATTATAAAGCTGTGCTTTTATCATGCTTAAAATAATACTTGTTGGCAGTATGGAGAAGGAATATAGAAACCTATTCGTAGCATCATAAATAAACGTGCCATTTAAGTCTCTGTCTGGTCCGATACTGTTTTATTGTGCGATCTGTCAACCAATGTTATCATGTTTGTTCACTGTGCTTTAGCTAGAAGTGCAATAAACGTTATTTTCTGTGTGTATCTTAATTGATTCGTCTATTTGCACAATTTATTCGCAGTCTATTCGGAAAGAAACTTATTAAAGGCATCGTTTGACAATGTTAAATCCGAGATACATGACCCTACGTGTTATCAGTGTCTGTGATATGGTGTGATATTGAAGCCCAAAAAAAATTGCGCTTCAAAATGATCATGAAGTGCCTCAAAAAGTAAAAAAATCTTTGAGTGACCGGTTTTACCATACTCATTTTCCCCAAATAGACTGTAGTGTTATAAATCGTTAGGAAAACGCAAAATTTTATTTCGATTTCCAATCATAAATATCTTGATAATCAGACAGGCGATCGGCTTGTAAAAGTCACGGGTTCCTGGCTGACCTAAATGTAGTATAATTATCATTGCAGCATGAGCTAAATCCAGGATTTTGTTTCAGAATCTGAGACAAAGATACCCAATCCCTTTAATATGAAATGGTGTTGCCCTTATGTTTTACGACTGCCCAATGTCCTAACACCCCTATCTTTAGGAAATGGGTCACAACATCGACGCACTTGCAAAATGTCTGTTTCACACCCATCACGAGGGGCAAATCCAGAAATCGATTAACAGGGAGGCAAATACGGTATAGAGACGTATCCAGCATAGTGCCCCCACCCCCATTTGAAAACCCGTAAAAATTACACCGCGTGTGGCTGCTCAGATGCACGCTGCCCTTCCCCACCCCAACTCATTCCCCCTTCTTGGGAGGATTCACCCCCTGTTTATCCCACACAACTATTCAATAATTTAGCCTTTGTTTTGCTAAGACTTATTTACTTCAAGTATGTAGGCCTACCAACATTTCGCCTGAAAGTCTTCTTTTCTTTTTTTTTAAGTGCGTTCGTTGATATTTTCATCATGTTTCACACCACGAATATTTGCCACAAGAAATCGTTAACTACTTATTTTGAATTTAGGGGTTAATTTCTGAAAACTTAAAAAAAAAAAACAGATTTACGTACAATTCTACAGAGAGAGAGAGAGAGACAGAGAGACAGGGAGACTTTTAACATTAACCGGCTCTACGTACCTTACCCTTACCAAATGAAAATAAATTGCACGAATACACACTAATTTACTATTGCATACGCGGATTTGCTTTTTCTTGTGGACTTTGCAGAGATCCGTCATTTTGCAACTGAGAAAGCGCAGAACATGACTTAAATGTGGGCGGAGAGTGTGTGGGCGTCTCTGCATGTGGGTGAGAGCAAGCTGTGTGTGTGATACACCTAGCTAGTGCAGGCCCTGGGTCCCCATAATATGTGTGACGAACTCGGATGCCGATCACACATATTCTTCATTCCAAAGCGGGAGGGGGTCTCCCAATAATAGTCATGCTTCATCAAGAAGATTTGAATTAGGGGCACCCGTATTTAATTTGTAGCAGAGTAGCTTGAAAACTAACGCTACTAGTATAGGAATGACCTTCTTTAAAGGTAATACAAAGTTTTGGTATGGGTTTATAAATTTGGTTCAAATGAACTTATTCAGTGATCGTTGTCGCGGTTGAAATCGAGTTTAAAGTTATGAAATTGTAAATAATAAACTCTTTATGTTGTATAGCTCCCTCTCAATGTCAAGATGTTAATAAAGCTATAAAACAATGTTTCTTGACATGGGTGTCGATCCCGGGGGGGTGGGATGGGGGGGATATATCCCCCCAATATTTCAGGTGGGGGGATGGCCTGTACAACCATCCCCCCCAATAATTCACCATCACAAAAAAAAAATTAATGATGAGAGCCCGATGAGAGTACATGTAATGGTTATTATACTCGTCTTTTGTTTTCTTTCTCTAATAATTCAATGAAACATCAAAGCTTCCGCGCTTCGCGCGGAGGAAGGGGAACTTGATTCAAACAAGGATTTATAGTCGAGAACGGTACAGCGAATCGTCTTCTTTCTCTCATAATTTAATGAAACGTCAGAGCTTCCGTGCTTCGCGCAGGAGGGGGGGAACTGAATTCAGACAACGATTAAGAGTCGAGGATGGTACAACGAATCGTCTTCTTTCTTTAATAATTTAATGAAACGTCAGAGCTCCCGCGCTACGCGCGGAGAAAGGGGGAACTTGATTCAAACAAGGATTAATAGTCGAGAACGGTACAACGAATCGTCTTCTATCTCTCATAATTTAATGAAACGTCAGAGCTTCCGCGCTTCGCGCGGAAGGGGGGGGGGGGGGACTGAATTCAGACAAGGATTAAGAGTCGAGAATGGTACAACGAATCGTCTTCTTTCTTTAATAATTTAATGAATTGTCAGAGCTCACTACCACCCCCTAAAGTAAAATCCTAGTAATTACGCGCTTGAGAGGATAATAACCCAGGTAGCAAGCTCAAGTGGGCCCCACATGGGTCCCATATTCTCTGAAATGTTATCTTTATTGAGGGTGACTTGAAAAAGTTAATAACTTGGAAGGGAGGGGTGCAACCTGCCACACGCTTCTACCTCTTGGTTGCTTTGATCCATTGCCGAAAATATTTTGGCCCCTTTCATTCCCCCCCCCCCCCAACCACGGATACAAATCGACACCCCTGTTTCTTGATGTTTCATATATCACAACTACATATTCTGAGATTTTCATGGTCGCAGCTGGCATTGTACGGCCGTATGCGCTATTTGAAATTTTTCAAAATTTACCGGGAGCACCGGTAAATTCTTATATTCAATTTTTCTCGAAAGCAGAAATGTTTTAGGGGCTAAATTTTCTAGTGCTTATAATACATCCACATGGGCATCCAAATATATCAAAATTGTAAAGAATCACTATCCACCCAATTTTCAAAATTTCCCAAAACTTTGTATTACCTTTAAGTTTATCAAAATTATTGTCTTAATCTTATCCAAAATAATTTTCAACATGGTAAACGTTTCTTGTCATTATAGGCATCATCATCAGTTGTATTATGTGGATGACTTGCTATAGGCCTACACAAGTGACTGGAAATAAAAAATAGTTAACCGCTTGATAATCTGCATTGATAGCCTATATTCATAAAGGAAAACCGTGACCTTGTCCTACTTGGGCCCTCCCCCCTCCCCCACCCACCCCTCCTCCCCCTCCTTCAGTGGATAATGCAATCGTTCGTTCGTTCGTGTCTCCTTAGATCAAGATTACTGTAATCTTGATCTTCGGAGTAGTTGCTACAACCGGCCGTGTCAGACACGTTGCCCCGGGGTGCGAGATAGGACTCTTGTAGCGTGCCCCCATTTAAAACAATTATACAGTTACAGTTAACAATACATTCAATTAATAGTATGAAACTATTAAAATTACTCTCATGTTACGGGAAAAAATATTGCATATACATATATTATGAATCAATTGATTTGGTCGATCCAGTTCGATGGCACAAACACGGCACTACTGGACAGAGATCCTAATATTTACAGAGCTTGGTCTTGTTGCTCTGTTCGCCAGCAGTTTAAGGATATGGAATCCCGCGGCACATTACTCACAAGAGTTCTAACAAGCCAAGCTTATACAGAGCCTATAATAATGCAATAAGATGGCCGCTCTATACTCTAGAAATAGTATCGTGGCCAAAATAAGTTATGAATGAATACCATGACACTGTCCCACTTATATCCTGCTCCCTACCCTTCCACCTCCTCCCTCATAATGATATAGTGGATCATACAAACGAGATGGCCGCTCTAGATACAGTACCGTAGATAAAATAAATTATGAATGAAAAGCATGGCCTTGCCCCAATCAGGAACGAATACAATGCGATCTGAGATTCATTAATAATACAGCTCTACTACAGCGATATAACGCTGAATATGACGTCCAGGCATTTTTGTAAATAAATTTATTTATAGATCTCTTACCTGAACCATAATAGCTTTGTTTTCATTCGATTTCACGTCTTGATGCCTCATTGTGATGCCGTAGGTTATACAGTGGCGTATCTACGGGGATCAGAGGGGGTAAGTACCACCCCCTAAGAGGCGCTTGAACAGGGCACAAAAAACGCCACCAAAAAAGAAGGCCGCAAAGGAAAGAAAGAGGGCAAGATGGAAACTAAACGCCCCAAAAAGCAGGGTAATAGGGTTCGAAAGTGAAATGTTCTTTTAAAAAAGGTCGGTCGCTCTGCTCCATCGTTTACGTTGCTTCGCGTTCTCCTTATTTCTTAGCCCAATACACCTTACAGAGTTTTTTTTGTGCAATTTTCTGTTTTTTTTTAGGATTGAAAATTTAAACATTTTTTTTAAAATTATCATTGCATAGCTCCCCTTTGTTTCGACTTCCCTTAATATTCGTTAATCTTGCAACAATGGCATAGAAAACCGCCTATCAGGACATTTAGTTTTGTTTTGTTTAGATATATCTAAACAAAACCATATATGGTTTGTTCGGTTCGAATCGGTTTAGTTTGGTTTGGAGAAAAGGTGTAGCTCCGTCAAACAATGGTCCTATAATGTGTGTGTGTGTGTGTGTGTGTGCACGCGATGACGCCACAATATGAAGAAATAAAAACTTTTATGCGCGCACCAACTTTTAGCAAATCATGGCTCGGTATAAATACAGGCGCGCGCGAAATAGCAT